AAAAATACACCAAATCTATTCCGCATAATTTCATGGCCTGAGCCCCATAGCCTAGAGGAAGTACTAATTGTGTAAAGTGTTTTGGGGTGACTGGGTCAAATGCCCTAAAAGTTATTGAGGAAAAACCCGTACTTTATATAAAAAATCCGTGAAAAATACACCAAATATATTCCGCATAATTTCATGGCCTGAGCCCCATAGCCTAGAGGAAGTACTAATTGTGTAAAGTGTTTTGGGGTGACTGGGTCAAATGCCCTAAAAGCTATTGAGGAAAAACCCATACTTTATATAAAAAAATCCTTGAAAAATGCACCAAATCTATTAAGCATAATTTCATTGCCTGAGCCCCATGGCCTAGAGGTAGTACTAATTTTGTAAAGTGTTTTGGGGTGACTGGGTCAAATGCTCTAAAAGGTATTGAGGAAAAACCCATACTTTCTATAAAAACATCCTTGAAAAATACATCAAATCTATTAAGCATAATTTCATTGCCTGAGCCCCATAGCCTAGAGGAAGTACTAATTGTGTAAAGTATTCTGGGGTGACTGGGTCAAATGCTCTAAAAGGTATTGAGGAAAAACCCATACTTTATAAAAAAAAAATCCTTGAAAAATACATCAAATCTATTAAGCATAATTTCATGGCCTGAGCCCCATAGCCTAGAGGTAGTACTAATTTTGTAAAGTGTTTTGGGGTGACTGGGTCAAATGCCCTAAAAGCTATTGAGGAAAAAAACATACTTTATATAAAAAAATCCTTGAAAAATACACCAAATCTATTAAGCATAATTTCATTGCCTGAGCCCCATAGCCTAGAGGAAGTACTAATTTTGTAAAGTATTCTAGGGTGACTGGGTCAAATGCTCTAAAAGCTATTGAGGAAAAACCCATACTTTTCCATCAAAAGTCTTTGAAAAAACCATGAAATACAATAAAATATTAAACGTGGTAGACTAAATGTAATCTTTAGGTGTATTTTCTATCTCTTTTCATTAAAATTGTTTATTTGTATCATATTATTGATTTACACCTAAACTACATTTTTTACACAGACAGTAATTCATAGACGGTCCCTAAGTTCGAACGATCTTAGTGCTGGAGGCGAATATCCAACGTCCAACGTGAAACCAACTTCACCACGGTCTCTGAGTTTTCGCTAGCTGCCGGTAGCCGACTCTCGGGTGCATACAATTTCTGAAATCAACCTTACCCTTCACCTCTCTGTCTTATCATTCCTATCGTCATCATCTTAAAATGTGTTATATATATGTTAGCCAAACCTGTAACTGCCCTTAGCACAGGAAGAACAAGAAAGGAGCTTTCAGATGAAATTGGATGCAGCCGAATTCTGCGCTCACATGCGCCCCCCTGAGGCTGGCCTCAGTTGGTGACATTACAAGCCGTGGTTTGAGCGCGATTAACCCATATTTGTTGTCAAAACACAATTTATGACTCATCCTCTCAACTGTAAACATGTTGATTGTAAAGGAAGAATGTTTGAACTTTGTAAACAGAAAACATTGCGATAGCAGCGCACGGGCCGCTCCCACAGTGAGCTGTGGCTTTTACGTCTCCCAAGAGAGGCTCGGGCTCGCCTCACAGCGCGCCGCTCTGTCAGAGAAAATATGACGAAAACCTGCAATTTCTAGGTAAAAATTAATTAAATAAGGCTAAGTTACATTTAAAAAAATACAATACCACAAATCACTTGATATAGTGACAAAGTATTATTGTTTCCATTTTATTTATTTTTCTTTCCATAATCTTAGGTGAGGCCAGGCCTCAATGTTGTGATTGGTTTGTTTGCCTCATCTGACCACACGTCACTGATTGAAATACAGTATGACTGAGTGGATAAAACACAAAAGTCAAGGCTTCTATAAGGCCTTGAATTGGGTTCCATCATATTGATATTGTTTTGAAGTCTTCCCAGTTAAAGCAGCGCTCACCGTCCCATTTCTCGAGATCTTCCATTAGAGCTCCATCCCCCTCTGTCGTTAGTTTTCATATTTATAGTTCAGTTGTTTAGAAGGTCCTTTATTCGTCTCACAATTGGGAAATTTCAGTTTGATGCATACACACACGCTTTAAACGTATAAACTGTAAAAGCAATAGATCCAACCATTTCTCTAAAGTGGATAAATTACAGTATACCAAGGTCTCCTTGTCTATTCCACTCAAGAATAAAGAGGCGAGGAGCTGTTTAACCCACAGGGCACAAAAAGCATTTAATAAAAACACAATTTCAGTGTAAACAGTATAAAACATTTTTAGAAACAACGTAAAATCAGTAAAATAAATGAAAAAAGTTTCTGAAAAAAACAAAAAACAGTGTAACAATCATCACTCTAAAAATCACTTCTACGGCACATGTGTGAAGTCCAGTTATGGCAATTTACAATCAAAAATAGTTTCTGTAGCAAAACCACGAGTTTAGTGATACTTTGTGACAAGAAATAGTTAATAGAATAAAACAAAGCTTATGGAGGCAGCTGCTTAAATAGGAAACCTTCATTGTCATTAACTATACAATCAAACACATCATTGATAATAAAAAGGACCGTTTTCTCAAATGATCAAAACTTAGAACCACAAAAAAGGCAAAAAGGCAAGAGTTGTGTACATTTCTCTCAGACCAGTTTTTTTAACCTGACATTCCAACTGTTTGTACGCACTATTGTGTCTTTTCAGCGGATTTGTTCTCCGCTTGTTTTGCTTTTGTCAACCAACTTTGATTTCAAATATTTCTAAATGACAATATTTTTAGTTGCTAATAATATCGTACTGCTATCCCAAGTGTTGTCTTTGTTGTCGTAAAGATCGTAAAGGACAAAGTTATATGCATTTTTAATATTATGATGTGCAGGTTTTTATTATTGTACTTGCATATGTATTGTATGTTTGTATTTTCATTAATAAAAACAGTATGAAAACTATGAGACAACACAACGGCACCATCTACAGTTTGCCATATTCAGGACCCAGGTTAGCGTCAGTATGAAGGCCCCCCTCGTCCCGGTTTAAGGTCCAACTGTCAGGTAAAAAAGCCTACTCTTGTCTGAGAAAAATAATGGCTTTATTACAATAATCATAAGACCAACAAACCGCATTGGACTTTAAAGTTTAATTTTATTCAACTTTGAGGACAATATTTTTGCTTTTCCTCCTCAAGTCATAATTCTCAACCTTTTGAAATGATAGTGAAACTGGGTCACCACATATAAATTCATATCCAGAGAAAAAAGTAGTGTAACAATAGTATCGTCAGTCTGTAGTGTTCTTTATCTACTATTCTAATCTGAAAGACGCAGTAAAAGCCTTGTTCCCATTCGTTTTTAAAAAGATCGGTCCAATTCAAAAGTGATTTCATTATCGAGGCACAGACAAAATGGCTCCTCATAATAATCTAATAAACAGACCGCCTAGAGCCATGAGAACAAATATACAGACAAGTAGGTGACATAGTGCAACTTTAAAGGCCATGTACCTGTTATTTCTACACAAAGATATGTTGTAAAGCAGCTATTTATGTCAAAATGTGATCGGCATTCTGCTCTAAAACATACTGGAGAGCGCTTTATTTTCACAGGAACAGGAAATGAACTGCTAATATGCTAGCTCTGGTTAGCAGCAGGCCTAACACTGGTCTGCATAAGCTGTGTATAGTGTTTAGAAATGGCGTGTCTCATTTCCTGTAAAAGTATGATGTCATTGTACCACTATGACATCACACTTAAGAGTATTGCCCATAAATTAGTTTTGGCATTTTCTCAGGTGAAATTATATGCAAGGCTGTGTTGGCATCCAATAACTTTCAAGTATGGATACAAAACAAACTCAACTCCTCCCTCTGGTGGTAGCATAGGGAATAACAGGTAGAAAGTATTTGATTCACCATATATTTTGCTCTTAAAGGAATAGTTCACCGTTTTTACATACTGACATATGTTCTTACCTTACTTTTAGACTAGTTAATATGTACCTGTCTGGTCTTAGTCCGTGCGCTCTGTCATGCAAACGGAGCAAAAACGGGAGCACAAACGCAGCCTCCTCTGTATACTGTATAGTACCCAAAGTATAGTAACACAGAAATGTAACTGTCGATTTTCTCAGCGCACTAACTTCTCTCCGGAGACTTCCCTCTACTACTGTGTCGTACTACAAGTCACGCTGCTTCTATTGACGGAAGTGAGCCACAGAGAAGTCTCCGGAGAGAAGTTAGTGCGCGGACGTAGCGCTCCTCAGATTACTACGCCTCACAATATAGTACCCGTTTTATCCGCTGAGAAAAATCGACAGTTACATTTCTGTGTTACTATACTTTGCAGTGTAACACGTCACGTAACTATATACATTTAATAGGGAACACTTGAAGAGTTTGGTGCTTCTAGCGGGAGCTACCTTTTGGTCCTATACAGTGACCAGAGGAGGCTGCGGTTGTGCTCCCGTTTTTGCTCCGTTTGCATGACAGAGCGCACGGACTAAGACCAGACAGGTACATATTAACTAGTCTAAGGTAAGGTAAGAACATATGTCAGTATGTAAAAACGGTGAACTATTCCTTTAAGATACATGAATTAAAAAATGTCTAAGACATGCCTTATTCTTGGTAAGTTGACTAAAAATGGGGGTGTGGCAGAAATGACTTTGTGATCTCACCCAGTGTTTTCCGGAAGAGTTTTCACAATACTAGATAGACACAAGATCTGCAGCGACTGTTCTTAAAATGGCAAAAGACAAGCACAAGGCCTTGAAGCTACAAAACATAAACATTGCATTATACGACATTAGTGTGTTATGTTATTGATAAGCCGTATATGCAGCCCTTACAAAACAGTCAATGCCTAAAGTTTATTTTTGTCAGTATTGTTCATGTTTTGACTCCTCTTTTATGCGTCATGAAGGTCACAAAAGTGGAAGAAGGAAAAGAGGTATGACTCTAGTGTTGGAAAAACAGAACTTGTGTGAGGTTGTGCGTCGTGACCGTAGTTCTGCTTTCGATCACACAGAGGTTTCGGATTGCAACTTCATGACAAACTTGTGACTTTTGGGGTCGACAAACTCCTCTCCCAGCGCCAGGAAGGGCAGCGGTGTCACGCTGACCACCAGGGAGAAGTCTGGCCGCTTCAGGGAGAACACCAGGCCCTGGCGCAGCGCGGAGGTCACGGCGTCTTCGCTCACTAAGGTCCACTGGCGCCCCCTGCCGTGATCCAGGTACTGCAGGGTGGGGCCCAGAGCCAGGTACCGCTCCAGGAAGGCCTACAGACACAGACAGACGAGGAGGTCAGGCCGGCTTTAAAGTGCTGTGTACTGTTCACTGTTCACAAGGCACCACAAGTTTTAAGAGAAATATCTGTATGACCAGAACCAGAAAGAAATATTACCTCATACACCACTCAAGGGTTAGCATTAGGTTAGGTTATTTCTGACAATGTTTAGAGTTCTAACCACAGACTATATAAAGTACTGACGTCACCATAGTGTTTGCCAAAAGCAGAAGCCGGTTTTAACATAAGCTAGCTGAAGCCTATTTCCTTATATGGATTGCAATTTACTAAATGCTGCCATGAGATTTTTTTATTTATTTGACTGTCATCCGAGCTTTCTTAAAATCCACACATCTGTGCATCAAGTTCGCACTGCTCTATCATTGGCTTCATCTGCTCGAATAACGCAATGCATCATGGGGGATGTGGCACTACCCGGATGTAGCTAAAATACTAGTTCCGGGTGAGTTTTGGGGTTAGCAGCGAGTGGCTAACTTCAAGCATGGGCCAATGAGTACAGGCTAGAGACATGAATGGACAGATATCTTGGATCAACCAGAGTCTGATTATTTGCCTAAAATTAGTTTGAATAGGAAAACCGTGGAAAAAATTATAATAAAATAAATAATGTACTCCACTTTCAGCAGGTGCTATAGCTTGCAGATGACACCTAAGTAACCAACAACAAAAAACAGTTATAATTTCAGTGTAGTGTACCTTGGGTGTCATGTTGTGTGTGATGCAGAACTGCAGGTGGTTGATGATGCTCTCCATAGTGTGGTAAGACTGCTGCCTAGTGGCCCGGAGGTACTTCTGCATGGCCCGGGCCATCGGGGCAAAGATGGCCTGAGCCGCCTCCCGTGGGTCCATCACCTCGCGCGGGTGTTTAGGGGAAGAGGGTGTCGGCTCATCCTGGTGCCGCTTGATGTGAGTGAAGGCTTCCTCTACTGCCACCACCAGCCTGGAGGAGGACATGACAACCTGAAGCTCCAGCAGATTTAAACATGGACGTACAGTATGTGGCAGGTCTGATGAAACTGAACTTCCTCTGTTCTTGTCATCCTAGTATTTTTGTTTATGCAATGTGGGACCCCATTTATAAGCTTTGCAGAGCTTTTTGGGGAGTCCATTTTTCACAAGTCACAAAGATACCCACAGAATGTAATGTATTCAATATCCGTGGTGATGTGAATTTTTTTTTATGAGTAAATTTATTATTACAGGGTCGTGGTGCCTCAATAATACATTTTAAAGTTGATTTCAGTACTAGAAAAAATACTGGAGACCAATTTCGAAACCAAATCAGTTATTTATAAAGGCTCTTTTGGGATGTAAATAGTACCATGAAATATTGCAATAATGGAAACACTATGAGATTTAAAAGTTTTCACTGAAAGTTGAAACATTGTCTTGTCCAAGCAGTTACTAAACTAGTGTCTGTCTAGTTCCTAATGCTTTGCCAATCCATGGGTTTCCAAATGAAGATACATTTGGGCTGTTGCCAAATACACAAAAATTATATCTTACGAATGGGGAAGAAGTTGTGAAAATGTCCAATATAAGAAAAGTGAAACTCATTGTTCTGAAGTGTGTGCAAAGGTATATTTTGGATCATTTTGAGTGCGCAACCCACCTGGCCTTGCGTTTGCGGACCCTCCTCTCCATCTCGGCCTCTTCGTAATAATACTCGTTGTGAGAATTGTCCCGTCTCCGTGCGGCGGCTGCGATCATGGCGCGGGACTGTCCTGTGGAGTTCCCCGTGCTGTTCTCTGACACAAGCAAACGATAGCAACATGACGACGCGGTGGATCAACCAGAGTTTAACATGAACTTTATGTAAACATCAGGAAAGTTTGATTTCATAAAGCTGGTCACAGATTTATGAAATTATTTATTTTGGAATGAATGCTAGGAATAGTGGAACGCAGGGGTATAATGCAAACGAGTGCGAGACAATATGGGGGGAAAAAAATCATTAAAATCTTTTCCCCATATATTGATCCATTTCGATATCCGATTAGATGTTTTATACTTTCATTAAAAAGCAAACATTACTGGTAAGACAAAATACCTCTTGATTGATAAACTTTAGCACCAGGTCAGAACGTATGAGTAGAGGTAAAAACGCAGGCCATCAGTCTCCTGCTGTTCCCAGAGGTCTCCCATTACAGTACTACCCAAGCCTTGCCCTGCTTAGCTTCAGATACAGGTCTAGAGAGACAATCCTAACACTATAATATACTACTGGCTTTTCCAGGATTAGAAAATGTTGCTGACATTTATAATTCCACTTCCTGTTTGAACATGAGTTATATGTTGTATGACAAATAAATTATTTTGGTAGTTCCGCTGCTATTTACGATTTTCGGTTGTCACTGAATGTGTCCTGTCACTTTGGATAACAGCCATACTCAGTTGCAAAGTTTTGAGTTTATCGTGTCTTGAAAAGAGATAAAATGTTACTGTGTGAAATAAAAGCTCCTGAAACATGGACAGAAACCTCAAACTTTCACAAACTTGAGGCTATCCTATTAAACAAAATAATCATTTCAGATCTATGGGCCAATGTGGCTCTGCAAAATGTGGCACAAAACACCTCTTCTGTCTAAATTCTCAATCTCAAACTCAACATTTTTCACATTTTGAAAAAGAGCTGCGTGTAATGGCCTTCTTCTACCAATAGATGGAGGTATTTCACTACTCATAATAATTACATCCTTTATACATGTATTTTCTAATTAACTATGACAATTTTATTTCACATTCTCAAACAGGAAATAGCAAAGCAAATATTGTAAAGATTATATTTTGGGTTTCTAGGAGCCTGCAACGAACCCACACATGTGAATAGGCAGACGTGGCAAGTTAGTATTTGTACTTAAGTACTTTTCCTGGTATCACTATGGTTTAAACCGTATTAGTCGGCGGTAGTTTGCATTGGAATCCTCACTGATGTATCATGACCAAGAGCTGTTTTCTGTTCACTGAGGCCACACAACTACAATATTTTTGACTTAATTGCGATTAGTAAAAGTAATAAGACTTCTAGTTGATGAACACATGAACCTCTTACACTGTTCCAGGGTTAGCATTAGGTTATTTTATACAACGTTTATAGACTTCTAACCATAGACCATGTACAGTATTAGGAGTGGACTGACCTCACCGTGTTTGCAGAAAACCGATTTGAAAATAAGCTAGCTGAGGCTAAATTGCCTTATATGGATTGACTGTCTTTGCAATTTACCAAATGCACCCATGAGAATTGCTATTTTAATTTGACCCTTATCCTATACTTTGTTTTTCTTCTTGAAATCCACCAGTTTTCCATATATCCACACATCTGTGCATTTCCTGGTATCAGTTCTTTACTTTTTAAACTGTATTAATCGACGGTCGTTTGCGTTGGAATCCTCACTGACCACGATATGATGTTGGTATAATATAGTGTTTCAAAGCTTAAAATAATATCAATACATAAAATAATCCATAAATGCAGTCTAAGTTTATCCTTAAGTACACTGATACCAAAGCGTGTACTTTTATACTTTTACTGGGGTTTAGTGGGGTTACCTTCTCCGAGGCTGTAGATCTTGAATGCGGAGGCTTTTTTGGACAGGATGGACTTGGGCAGGTTTAAAACAGCCGGATTGTGAACGGGGAAGTCGCTGTAGTAATGGTCCAACACCCAGGCGGCGGCTCTCTGGATGCTAAGGCCACAGAGGAGGGACGTGTTAGAGGTTAGGTGAAAGTGCTCGTTATACAGTCTAATCAGAAATGCGTCTCTGTAATGGGGAGAAGTGTGGACTCTGTGGAGCTGTGCTGGAGAGAAGGATGAGGGCTCTAATACAGGGCATCCTGGGTAACTCCAGACACCTCTATGGCTGCAGCACTATGGCTGCTCAGGGAGAATCAAAGCAAAGGCTCCTATCACTACACTGCCGAACGAACTTTCAAGGAGATCCTTGTTCCTTCTGACTGACAGTACAACAAAAAAAAAAAGAGTCTTCTGTTGCTGGACACTGAATTTCTCCTACGGGGATCAATAAAGTATCTACTGTATCTATCTATCTATGTCACAGAACTTCTGACAAACTTGTGCAAAGGATGTGGTGGAGGTGGAGTCCATGAAGCAGAAAAGCGAGAAGCACTAAAAGCAAAAACCTCAGCCGCAAAACCTCATCACACTACAGAGATGAGATGACACGTTTTATATGGGCCAACGAGTCCATGGGAATGAACCGTGTAGCACAAAATGTATGCCATGTTATTGTAAGGAGAGATTTGTGCGTTTTCAAATAAAAATTGACCTAATACCACACTACACTAATACATTTTAAGGGTTGGATCATCTCATCATCACGGTGCACCATTCTTTTCTGCTTAAATCATAGCCTGTTTGTGTCTTAGAATATGACTAATTATTGGTTCATGCCGGAATGATATCACAAAATCATTCATGATTTTGTGATATTTCTCAACAACCATGCAACTTATTGTGCATAAATGTGTTATCAGAATACCCTAATGCTTACTTCAACCATCTACTGATTCTAGAAAACCGAAATACACCAGAGTTTCATGAGAACATTGGCCTTAAAATGAGATATTTGAGAAATGTGTTCTTACAAATGAACATAAACCACACATGTGTATCTATGTTCAATATGTGGCACAACAAATCCATGATAATGTGGCTTATTAATATGGATGTACTCAAAATATTTATCCAGTGGTGATGGACTTTATGGTGATACATGTATTTAAAACAAACCAAAAATCCAAAAATCTTCATGAAATCTTTAAAAACCTGATGCTCATTGGTGAAAGGCGTGAATCTGTAAGATGCTCAAAAAAACAAATCCAAGGCACTCTATTAGAGCCTTTGTGATATGGCTATGTTTAAAATTTTTAGATATGGACGTGTTTCAGCCAAACATGGCCCTTCTCTGGGTGTGAAAAGTACAAAATGTGTCTGACATCTATTCAATAATATTTACCAGACTGCCTTTTTGTTTTACAAGCATCTTAAGGTCATCTTGAATCCTGTAAACTCTAACTCAGCTGATGGCAACACTCAGTCTGACTCCACTGGGCTGAAAAGGTGCATTGTGTTCTGATATTAGGTCATTGTGAACATGGGATTCCAATTCATTTGGTCATTTTAAAAAGGGTCAAACATGGACAGCTGGATTTCCATGGATTGTGGTAAAGATCTATACGCACATTTCATATATGAGTCTTGTTTGTGCACATCATGGTAAAAACATGTGTTTGTGACACTAAAAGTGAAGACCCGTGTGTGAGTCTGACCTGAGGTGCCCCACGTTGTAGAAGCGGCTGACCCCGTCAGAAGAGCGCACCACTTTGAGGCAGAAGGCGGCCCGCAGGTGGCGCACTTCCAGCAGCACGAGCGCCAGGTACTGGATGAAGAGCAGCGCGTCCACCAGCGATGCGGCGTATCCCACAATGCCTCTGTAGTCCGTCTCCCTGGGTTCCAACACGCGCACGCCGTAGAACAACCAGTAGGAGGCGACAAAGAGGAAAACCAAGGCCAGCAGCAGACAGCGGTACACAAAGAAGCGTGGGAAAGAGGCACGTGGCGGTCTCAGAAACAAGGCCCAGGTGGAGATGAGCAGGATGAGCAGTTTGAAGGCCAGAGAAATGTAGAGACCCTCACAGGGGGTCCCACACGGGTCCAGAGAGTCCCGCCACAGCAGCTGAGGCAGCGCAAGGAAGGCCAGCGGCGTCACAAAGGCAAACAGCCCAAGGATGGCGCCCAACGTGAGGCCGAGGTAGCGGCGGCAGTGCAGCGGCGTGGAGTCCTCCAGCTCTTTAGTGACACGTGTCAAGTCCTCCTGAGAAACACTGTCCACAGACGTGCCAGTGACCACCGTGGTGGTCTCACCCCAGTTATCGTCCTGAGAGGAGACAGCACATCAATACTACCACACCCAAAACCATTTCTCTGACCTAAATCTATCTATATTTCTAATAAAAAAAATATTGAACATGAATGAATAATGATAATAATAATAGCAGTATTTTATGATAATAAAAATGAACAGTAATAAAAAGTTTGAACTGTAGATTAATCAGGCTTGAGCAGATACCCAATTTACTGCATGTCCTCTGATGTTTGCCATTTTGCCATAAATTCTTCCCAATGCAATGATAAATACCGTCAATTGACAAATGCAAACTTAGATCCATGAAGAAAGAATTAACCGATTCATTTACCAAACAACTAAAGACTGACAGATAGGGTTGGGCATCGTTTGCAATTTTCCGATTCCGATTCCGATTCTCACTATCGATTCCTGTTCTAAACGATTCTCGATTCCGATTCTTTGAGGTGCAGGAGAGAAAAAAAAAAGATAATTTTTTATCAAATTTTATTTCATAAGTACTTTTCCTGCCATAAGGCAACAGAAAGTGCTTTACATAAAAACAAATTAAATTAAAAAACAAGGAACACGAACACACACACACACACACACACAAGCGGTGTTTATGTGGCACCGCCCACCATCATCTCAGAGCGGCTGAAATGTAAACACGTCTCTGTAAACCGCTGAAAAACGGCTAAAGTGAGAATACCGGAGGATTATCGTTGGACGGACTGACAGATTTGACCAAAGCACAAGGACTCGTGCATCGTGTTTTCGGAGTTTTTTACGGATTATTACATGGAGGAGGAGCAGGACTTTTTGCGGTCCTCGGCAGGTGGACAGCGTGTTTCCCTTCTTCATAATTACAAAGGGCCTGACCAGTAACTTTAAGGTAAGGAACATCAGTTTTGGATGTGTTTGTAAAGCGAGTGATGAAACTGATGTAGCGTGAGTTTGGGGAAACTGCACCGGGCTAGCACGAGTGTTCAACCGGTCAATACGCCCGTTAAACCTCGCTGTCTGGACTCTAACTCAACCAAATAATATCTGAATTAGTCATTTGACGGATAAATGTTTGCTTCCTTTACCCCTTGACTCAGTTTTATCTGCGTTTGTGGAAAATGTGAAGATACAAGCGTTGAGAGGTTTCTTTGCGATGGCAGGAGTTAACGGTGTGGCTGAAGCTAAATGTGGCAAATACTGAGCAAACACGAGCGCGCCGTCTCATAAGAGCTTAATTCACTGAGTTTTTCACAAAGCGTAATAAAGCCCTGGCTATATTGCGCTGGGTGGACAGCTGCTAAGCATTTTTGAAACGTGTCCCCCCCCACCTTCCAAACGCTTCCGACGCCGCTGTGCGGGCCGCATCCGGCATTTAGGAATCGAAAAAAGAATCAAAATACAAACGTCTTCTTAACGGTTCCGGAACCGCACTTTAGGAACCGGTTCCAAATAGGAACCGGTTCCAAATAGGAACCGGTTCCAAATAGGAACCGGTTCTCGGTGCCCAACCCTACTGACAGATACAGATTACTTTATTTATCCCACCAGGGGGGAAGTCGTTTAAGCACCACATTAAACTCATTAACTCAAACCAATGTCATATCTATATTTTATTTCATAGTAGAACCTGAACGCACGATGCTGTTGGCCTCTTATACAAGTTTAACGATTGCAAAATAAGATTGTATTCTGAGATAAACCCACTCACCCTCTCCTCTCCTCTGGTGGACTCTGCGTCCAGCAGTGGTTCTCCCGGAGGCTGAAGACTCGACTTGTCTCGACTGCTTCCATCTCGACTCTTGGAGCTCCGGTGTCTGTCTCTGCGCTCTCTGCAGCGACATCAAGCATTTACTTTTAAAAACACAGAACTATCAGATCAAGAAGCTCAAACATCATTCTATATGTAACTTTTCTTTACATCATTTCATTTGTAAGGGAATTACTACATTTGGTTGATATAAATTCTTACTATTTTAGAGGAAAATTTTTAAATATATTATTCGACTACTTAAAGCTTAAACCTACATTTAAAACTACAATTAATGAATATAGTTAATAAAATCCATGTTTCTTGCCCTGAAAACAGTCTGGTGGTCCCATACATGTATTATTGGACCCTATCCCATCATCAGCTTTCTTTAGACAGAAAAGGGAAAAAGACAGGCCCTTTCTCACAAATATGCAAAACAGGTTTCAAAGCAAGAGGAAAAAAGCATGTTGTGGTTACATTTTACTTTCCTTTGAGACAAACTAGATCAGGGTCAAACTCCTCTTAGTCAGGGGCCAAAAAAAACAAGAAAACCATAGGAACTGTCTGGAGCCAGAAGAATACAGGGAATTCATTTTCATTTTTATTCTACATTATGATGGTATTTTGACAAGACTTTTACTATTTTCTGGTTTGATTTTTCTGAAAACAAAATGTGTTTAGATTTCACCAAAACTAGACCAAAAATAAAGTTAAACACATTGTTTTAGATGTAACTATTTCACTTCTAATACTGTGTTGGGATAAAATGTTAGAGTAAAATATATGTGGTTCTTTTCCTGAGAAAATAGATGATGTATCACATGACCCTCAAAGCTGCAAGTTAAAAAAACATTTTAGGGGACACAAAAAAGATTGTTGCAGGCTAGAATTGGTCCACGAGCCTGAGTTTGACATGTAAGTCAGGTACCCCAGCTTTAAACATTGATAAGTTGTGTGTCATTACATTAATTCCTCATCAGAACCACAATGCTACAGTTGGACCCGGCCTCACCGGTGCTTCCTGGAGCTCCGGGAGTGGGATGACTTGTAGGAGTATCCCGAGTACGTGGAGTCGTTGTCCATGTCTGTGGCTGTCAGAGCGCGGGCTCTGGGGGCCCCTGCTCCGGAGCCCTTGTCCCGGGGCCCCAGCAGCTGAGGTTTACACTGAGACAGACTCTTGGTGGACAGGCCCAGTGGCAGCCGCAGCAGCTCCACTTTGGTCCTGAGGGAATCTATCTTGGAGGCCTGCGGAACACAAGAGGGTCTTTATAGTTTCAATTCAATTCAATATGTTTTTGTAGAGCCCTAAAAGTCACCTCGATTCACCAACAACAGATCAGAGAATCAAACTGTTCAGACACACAGGAGCTATTGGCCCATAAATCCATAAATGTTCATAAATTATGTTATTATGACACTGCATCAGCAAGGAACGACTTAAAAGAAACAGTGAGAAACCTGAGGGGAGGGCCACAATGTTCTACTGCCGTGGTTGGTAGGGCTATAGAAGTAATTATTTAATCTTAAACTTATATTTCTTACAAAAACAATACACAATTTACAAAAGCAGCAACCGCTTAAAGATGCAGCCAGTCAGTGATTTATTTCCAGCTTTTTTATAAATATTGTGATAATATTGTTCTCAAGTTATCATGTGTTTTCAAATAGTAATGGAAATGACCAGATGCCTATAGTCTCCAAAAATGAATACAAAATATCATGTGGCGGACCGATAAAACTAAACCAATGGGATTCGTTCATCCCCAAACGAACCAATGGGATGTGTTTACCCCTTTCACCCTCTTCCTGTTTCTCGGGAGTGTGCGCTCACATGAGTTATTGGATTATTTTCTAAAACCTTAAATAACAGAAAATGCCAATTTCACGTTTGCCACCCACTCTCCCCGTTGTGACAAAGAAAAGAAAATGCTGGATGTTTGGTTTGGTGGAGAGGGAGGGGAGTGGTTTCAAGTTGGTGCTACGGCTAAGCTAACAACATCACTAACTGCACCTTTAATGGACTCCAACCAAAGCACTGTCTTTCCTCCACATACGTCATAGACTCTTTTTTTGTAACATTTTTGAACGGAATCATTCTTTAACATGTTTTTAAATAGCAACTTCACAGACTGAGATTCACATTTCATCACAATGGCTATTTTAGTGGAGGCAATTAGAAAATCAAAAACACAAAACTGAGAAATTATGTAAAATTGCTTAATATAAAAACAAGCAAATATTTTAATTTTTGTTTTCCTTAACAAAGTATGGTAAATCTATGAAAAAACAAACACCGCTGCGTGCTATCTGTACATTGGATACATGTAGTTGTGACAAATTGAGATTATTCTGGGTGGATATTAGTTGGTACCATAAGTAGTGTCACAATACTACATTGAAAACTTGATTGTGATACCATAAAAAATACTGTTAGTTTTACTACCGTATCATCCCGAAAGTGTGTTTTTTTTTTACACATTACCTTGATATAGTTTAACGTTTACCGATCACATTTTTAGTTAATTAGTATCCGATTCATAATACTTTCGAAAACTTAATCTCATTGGAAAACAGCCGTGAGACAAAAACACATTCTAAAAGGACGAAGGGCACAAGTTGGCACCATGAAAACTGGTCTTTGAGGATTTTTTTTTTCTAACAAGGACAAAACAGGCTTCTCAGAAGGAAACAAGACATCAACAAAGAGTGATGCATTGTGGGAAGGCCGGCTCTGTGAAGTGACTGAAAGCCTCAGTGTAGAAGCTTTGACCAGTGCTCTGCTGGAGGCTTTGAAGTCGTTTAAGAGCAATAACTGGAGTGTTCCCAGAAAGACCTCAGCCCAGGAGCAGTTATGTCTAAGCTAATGTCAACCAGAACATTTGGGTCTTTAAACAAAACAAAGAGTATTGTGGTAACATTAGAATATAGTTAAAACGTCAGTCAGAGCTGCACCCAGTTCACAGAACCCCAGCCACTCACTGATCCTCCTGCAGGGGGAGAGTCCACAGGAGGCTGCTCTGACTGAGACGGGACACGGGGGTCTTGACGGGTCTTGATCTTTCAGCAGAGGCTTCAGGCAAAGTGGGTGCCCAAACTTTTTTGTAAGGGGGCCACTTTAGCTTGTCAAAATTGTCCAAAGGTCGACAACACAGAAGGTAAAACTGGTATCACAAGTGACTAGCTTTGTGAAAGATACTGCTATTTTGGTTGAATTGCAGTATACAATAGACATACAATGAAGCCAGGGCTGCCCTTTGTCACCGGTTCTGTTCACTGTATTTATGGACAGAATTTCTAGGCGCAGCCAGGGGCCGGAGGGGGTCCGGTTCGGGGACCACAGGATTTCATCTCTGCTGTTTGCGGACAATGTTGTCCTGTTGGCTCCAACGAACCACGACCTGCAGCATGCACTGGGGCGGTTTGCAGCCGAGTGTGAAGCGGCTGGGATGAGAATCAGCACCTCCAAATCCGAGGCCATGGTGCTCGACCGGAAAAAGGTGCCTTGCCCTCTGCAGGTGGGTGGAGAGGTCCTTCCTCAAGTGGAGGAGTTCAAGTATCTCGGGGTCTTGTTCACGAGTGAGGGAAGGATGGAGCGTGAGATTGACAGGCGGATCGGTGCAGCGTGCGCAGTGATGCGGTCGCTGTATCGGACCGTCGTGGTGAAGAGGGAGCTGAGCCGAAAGGCAAAGCTCTCGATTTACCGGTCAATCTTCGTTTCCTCCCTCACCTATGGTCATGAGCTTTGGGTAATGACCGAAAGAACGAGATCGCGGATACAAGCGGTCGAAATGAGCTTCCTCCGCAGAGTGGCTGGGCGCTCCCTTAAGGCGCGTTCAGACCAAAAGCTTCAAAAAGCTTTTGACGCGCTTCAACTGACGCCGGGATAGTTTTGTCATTTTGGTGCTTGAAGCTTTTGACGCGAGTGACGCGCCTGACGCCGGTGGGAGGAGCTTCTCTGTTGCCTGTAGTCAGGACAGCGGTGGATTTTTCAATGAGCAGCGAGCCTTTATTTGTTATATAAAGCAAAATAACGTTGTTGTAGGGCTTCAACAAAACATGTTCTGGGTTCACCACAGACTTGAGAGGCTGCAGTGTTTGCAGAGTTCCGTCATTTACTCCAGGAGCTGCGTACGGAGGAGTTTCGCTTTCAGCGGTACTTCCGCATGTCACTTGCCCAGTCTGAGTTCTCAAACCCCGGCTCTCGCCTCTCCCTGCCTCTCCCTGCCTCTCGCCGGCTCTCGCCCGCCTCTCCCTGCCTCTCCCCGGCTCTCGCCCGCCCGGAGCTGCCTTGCTCTGAGCCAGACTCATCGTCAGCCTGTTCTTATTTTAAATAAACTACGTTTACTACACAGCATGTGTACAATGATTTTGTTACTCAGAACGTTACTACTCATACAAATAATATTACTAATAACAATAATGACAATAAAACAGCAGCAGCATGACTTCTCTTCATGACAGAGACAGACCCTCTGCTGCTGCTGCTCCTCGTCTCCTGATTGGTTGAAGCCCGCGTCAAAGCTTCAAAAGCTCAGCTTTGCTCAGCTTCGGCGTCAGAGGGATTGTTGTGATACGCGAGCGTTTCGCGCGACTCTTGAAGCTTTTGACGCGCGTCAAGTGACGCCGGGGCTCTCGGCTTCACCTGACGCGCTTCACCATTCACTTTCAATGGAAACCTGACGCTTTTGACGCCGAAGTTAAGTCCGGTGTGAACGCCCCTTTAGAGATAGGGTGAGGAGCTCGGTCACACGGGAGGAGCTCGGAGTAGAGCCGCTGCTACTCCACGTCGAGCGGAACCAGTTGAGGTGGCTCGGGCATCTGTTCCGGATGCCTCCTGGACGCCTCCCTGGGGAGGTGTTCCGGGCACGTCCCACTGGGAGGAGGCCCCGGGGAAGACCCAGGACACACTGGAGGGACTCTCTCAGCTGGCCTGGGAACGCCTTGGGGTCCCCCCGGATGAGCTGGAGGAAGTGTACAATGAAGCGCAGCAGCTACATTTACAAATAATGTGAAATGCTCCCACTTGAATATAAGCCACGGGTTCATGTTGTAATGAAACACTTCACCAAAGGCTGATATAATAAAGTAAAACAAAGCGAGACGGACATTTTTTAAATAACTAAAACAACTGTTAGCTTCCAGGGCTTATTTACCGATCTAATTTGACAATAAACAAGCATCCTATAGTTATTAAAACTTGATGGAGTAAGATTATTATTACCAAGTTATTATTAAAGTCTATAAACTCACAACAGCCCAACTTTACCACGGTAAACAACATACACATATGTAGAGGCCTCAGGATTCAAAGAAATGGAAAATGTACTCCGGTAATTACCCTCGTATATATATGGAAGATTTTTTGTGTCATCAGATTTTGAATTTTTTTTAGCTTGAATTCTTCAGATTGAAATTTTTAACCCTGAAAAAGCAAGTTTGAATATTTTTATCTTTACATTTCAGTCACTAAAAATTCAGTTTACAAATTTCAATGTGATTAAAATTTCAAAATAACATATTCACCCTCAAAATATTCAAAAAAAAAAAATTTCAATGAAAAAAAAAAAGACGGATTATTTGTTCCATCAGAAATTGAATTTTAAATGGACCTGAATTCATCTATTTGAATGTTTTTAACATCTTGAATATTTTTTTCTGTGAATTTCAGTCACTGATTATCAATTTCATAATGTCAAATTCAACGAGAAAAAATTCAATGGTGAAAAATGCACATGACACATCCGGTGTTCTGACGAGTTATGTGCTCTGTCAGTTGGTCTGCGCATAATGAACTCTGTTTTCTCTTCACTGACGTTGGAATCTCTCGTTATCTACATTAGACCCTTTAGAACTAATGGAGATTTTGTTAACTTAGAATATTTACGTTACCGTCACTTTAAGAAAGAGAGAGAGAGAGAGAGAGAGAGAGGATTTCGCTTTGTTTACAGAGCGAGTGGAGCCGAAAGAGCACGTAACTTTTCACAGCTCAAGAAATAAGCAGCCATACGGTGTTCTTACCGTTGTTACTTTATTTCAGAGACAACTCAGCAAATATCATTTAGTGTACAAGAGTTCAAGCTGTGGAATACATGTTTTTTGTTAATTCCTTTACATGGAGCTCTTTTCCAAGTAACACGAGTGAGCCCTGTGGAAACTGCTACACGGGAAACTAGACCCAAATACTGTGTAACGTAACCAACAATAACACTGTCCTTTGTTGCTATAAATGTTCAAATGTGATGGTTTTCATGAACACAAACAAACACACACAGCCTAAATAAATAAACAGGAATATACAGCTATAATGATTTGAAACGAGCACATTTACCCAAAAAGACTAACTCATCCAATTAATGTAGTATCATCTTGTTATTCGCCTTGGTTTCATTACAATCCATTCATTAGAAATCCCATATCAACCTGTTAGATTCATGTTATCAACCGATGGACCTGCTGAAAGCTAGCGCCAGTCTTTACCTCAGTAAAATGACGCATGCGCAGACCAACTGACAGAGCACATAACTCGTCAGAACACCGGATGTGTCATGTGCATTTTTCACCATTGAATTTTTTCTCGTTGAATTTTGACTGTTGAATTTGACATTATGAAATTGATAATCAGTGACTGAAATTCACAGAAAAAAATATTCAAGATGTTAAAAACATTCAAATAGATGAATTCAGGTCCATTTAAAATTCAATTTCTGATGGAACAAATAATCCGTCTGTTTTTTTTACATTGAAAAAAAAAAAATTGAATATTTTGAGGGTGAATATGTCATTTTGAAATTTTAATCACATTTAAATTTGTAAACTGAATTTTTAGTGACTGAAAAGTAAAGATAAAAATATTCAAACTTGCTTTTTCAGGGTAAAAAATTTCAAACGGAAAAATTCAAGCTAAAAAATATTCTAAATCTGACAACACATAAAATCTTCCATATATATAGATCTGATTTTATTGAGAATGGATTTGGCAAGAAACAACATCACACTCTAATCGTGAAATGTTTCAATTTTGATCTAAAAAAAAAAAACTAAGAATAAAGCTATTTTAGAGTACACGGAATAAAAAACAGTTCATGTTTTCTCGCCTTGCTTGATAAAAACTGCATTTGAAAAACCACTCATTCAATTTTTGAGACTATTTACAAATGCTCTTTTTGTACAAACTGCGATTTAAAAACAAAGACGTCTTGTTTATGTCATTATTTTTAGCATCAACACTCGCTCAATTTAGTGTCTAGTTTTGAGCCTCCATACTTTGATACTTTTGACAACCGTAACACAAACACACTCAAGACGCTTAAGTCCCAGATAGCTATATTAATGCCGATATTAAAGAGTTCCTAAAAACACTAATAATAACAACTTAATAGACACAGAACTATGCAGTCACATTTCTGGAGCGCTGACGGTCATACCAGTCCTGCATTCTCCAAGAGCTCCCTGCGGTCTCCGGGGGAACGGGCTCGGCTGTTACAATGGCAATGAATGAGAGGCGCGGGGTGAGAAAAAATACAGGGGAGGGGGTCGTTTCTAGGGGCAACCGCAACACCAACCCCCCATCTCCATCTCCTCCTCCTCCTGCCCCGTGGTCTCAGAATATAAGTGCTCCGGTGCAGACACTTTTCCCCCATAATGGATCCTAATGTAATAAACACGGCTTTAGCGCGTGCTTCTCATTCTGCTGTTTCCGTCTCCATGGCTTCACTGATGGGATTCATGTGACGGAGCAGCGAGAACAAGACAAACACCGAGAAAAGTGAGATAGAAATGAATCAAATGGGATTGATTTTTTAAAGGCGATTGGGGATGGGAAATCTGGGGAGAAAAAATATCAATTTTTTTTTTGACCAATCTCAGTTTTTTTTTTGCATGTACTGTATTAAAAACAGGATGACAGGTGCGGTATAGTGTTGTGGGAAAAATAAGAAAACCAATTTCTACATTCAATTTCAATTTAATTTTTGTAAAGCCCTAAATTGCAACAGTGAGTTATCTCATAGGACATAACAAAACTGTTGAATTTGGGCAACACAGATCAGAGAATCAAACACAAGAAATGATAGAAAAACACACAGAGCCATTGGTCCATAAGGGGCAGATGTCCAGAAATGTTGATAAAATCCATAAATATATATTGATTTTTATAGATACAATATAGATTTTTTATTTTGGTCTTTTCCTGATTGTATTTTTCATATTTGCCAAAAATTTGTGTAAATACGTATTTTGTTTTAAGTATAATAATAATTAATCGTAGGTATTTGAACTAAAAAAGCATCGTTGGCGTTTTTTTTTCCGAATGTGGCAGAACGTTAGAAAAGGGGCCACAAGCCTTAATCGTTCAGAAATATATTGTATCACATCTGTAAGCAGATGTGTCTCGTATCAGCGAGCTCTGTACAAACAAAAGAAAAAACGCTTTCTAAAAATGAATGCAATGTGATGTAATGATGAAGACGAGGAGGGCGGGGCAAAGATGAATCGACATTTCTGATTCAAATGCTTTAATTATACTGTATTCAAAACAACATAATATATGAATAATACAATTGTTTTTATATTGCCACACTTTTACATGAGCGAGGAGTGAAATTATATATTCATATCAAAAGTATTAATACGGGGTAAAAAATCATATTAAAAGGTATTAGGTTTCGGGAGGATCATCAAAACTATTGGTCCTCTTAATTGTACATCCTTCTGCTGATATGAGACGTAAGGTCGTTGTACGTGTTTGTCAAACAAGACCAGAGTTTTTTGGGAGATTCTTTCAAACAATGGCTTTTGCTGAAAGCCCAGGTTTGACTTCCCACTGATGCTTCAGTTGCATTTGCAGAAATCTATTTCAAATCACTCCCAGTAAAAGTTATCTGTCTATATTGTCTGACAAAGTGGAAATGAGCAAAACTTTTTGGAAAGATTTGCTCACGTTTTAGTCGGCGTCCCCTCTCGGGAGCTGGGAGGCCGTTGTGCATACATGCATTTTTTCAAAAAGCGAAGAGCGGTTCTTTCCTCTTTACCTTTAACAGCAGAAAATCTGAGAATGCTGAACACATTAAAATGATTTTCATCTAAGAAATAGTATTGTGTGGTACCATTACAAAGAACTAAACAGTTGTATGTCATTTATCTGGATCTTTAGGACGACGACATGCAGAGCTCAGTCATTTTCCATCCCCTTGTGTTATCTGAAGGTTTTCTGTTTGATTCTCTGATCTGTTGGCTCGACAACATTATAAAGCCCTCTGAGATGAGATGATAGGACTTTACACAAATACATTGAATTGAAGGTCAAAACCTATGGACGTGGCCGACGCTTAGGGAAGCTGCTGCATTTGATATGAAAGCATGTGAGTGCCAGGAAAACTCTGGTCTTGTCGATTATGCTGCAAAACAACAATAAAACATGTTTTCTGCAGATAAATGAGTTAGTATCATATGTCTGTCCTCCTGACTCTCACAATATCTGCTGAACTAACACCTTTTACTCTTCTTTATCCCTTTCTGCTGATACAGCTTATCGGCGTGTGTCTGTATTAATTCAGGTGTAGATAAGTCAACAGCCAAATACATAAAATTACCATTAAAGTAGTTTAATTTTTCATTTCATTTCCATCCCTTTATTCATCCATTTCTGGGTCAGGGCGATGGCAATCAGAGCTGTCACCCAATTCACAAAGCACCAATTAATAAACTATTAAACTAGTGTCTTTGGTAAATAATAGAAGCTTCTTAAAGTTTTTACAATGTGTTGACAAAGTATTTGGCCCTGAACTAACATGTTCACAAAACCTACTTTTGTGGGTTGTATACATGTCGTGCTAGATCACTTTAATAAACACGTTAGAACATGACAGAAGAATAGGAGGTGTCTGCAGAGTGGTTTTGGGCTAATTACAATCCCTGTTCTAAATCAGAGCTCTGGTTATAAATAGGACTTGAACTGACCCAAAGGCTTATGCATTCTCCAGAGAGATTAAAAATATCAGGGAACTATTTTAACTCAAGTTTTATCAGTGTAGCTTCAGCCAGACCAGAAAGAAAGACAGAACCATCCACATAACAAAGCTGATGTGACCTGCTCCCGCTACAATCAATCCATAAAGATCAATTTAAATCAGTGTTTGGGAATTAGTGATGTTACAGTTTCACACGCTCCATGTGACCCAGAGGCTCAGTAACAGATATTCATGATGATGGTTAAGAGCAGAGAGAGCGGTTATTACACAGTGAGTAGGAGCTCATGTTGGGAAGATTGCCAAACACACTTTTTACTGTAAGAGTTAGAGGAACCATCAAAGCCAGAGTTTAAAACGCATTGTTTCCAGTATCCAGTCAGAGAGCAGCCATGACATCCAAGTCACCCTCTTCCACCATGTTGTAAATATCTCCAAACACGTAAATGTTGTTGGTGCCTGTTCAAACAGATGTGGATTGTAGTTTGTGTGTGGCCCGTGGGGGCGGGGGCCCGGGGCCTCCAGGCCTGAGGGTGGCACTGGGCCAGTGAGGCGTGGCCGCTCCTCTGAGCCTGGATCTGGGCCTTTTACGATGCACAAACAAATCTCAGGTTTATGTGCCGTAACTCCGCGTTCTGGAAAGCACTTGTGTCCAAACACTTGTTCATGGGAACAGCGGCGCTCAGAGCCGCGGACAAAGAGAGGCGAGGCGCAAACAACTGTTGACCAACTAAACTCACATGTGCGTGTGACCAGAGACTGGTGTAATGTGTGTGACCGTGCCTGAATAATAGACACAGTGACCTCACGACCAGGACTAGGGCTCGGATGCAGTCCAAGGCACCGTGCGTAAAAGCGCAGCGTTCACCGGGACTTTGGCTCCAGCGCAGGAGCATTTATCAGATCCTCCAGAAGAGATCGATACTCGATAATGTACCGACTCCACAGACGCGCGGAGACTCAGAGATTCTCACGCAAACGTAAACAAAAGACACAAGAGTATACATGTGCAGATAAAAGCACAGCGGCCGCTCCACACAAGAGTAAAAGTGTTAGAACAAAGCCTGTTGCAGACTCTCACCTTTCTCCCGGAGCGAAGCTGCAACAAAGAGCGCAGAGAAGGGAACAGACGAGAACAGACGCCCGCGCTGCGCCTTTACCCGGGACGGTCCTCTCTCTGCCGGGCCAGCCGCGGTGTGGGAGCTGCTTCAGGGCCGTGGATCACTCAGAGCTGAGCCACAAACACTTGGGGCCATAGACTGAACTCTCACCGCTGATCCACGTCTGTTGCGCCTGAATGAACCGAGGGTCGAACCGGCGCCTGACCACCGGGGGCACGCGCAGCTTCCGGTCTGGCGTTTCAGCGTAGAGTCTCCAAACATCACACTTTAACTACTTTATTATTTCTATGACCCGGATAGCAAAATCAACACATGTTTTCAAACACTGGATGTATTTTATTAATCTAAAGAAGCATTACTGTATATACAGCTATTCAAAAACAAGTTTTCTATTGTAAGGCAGGGGTCGCTCACTTTCAGACCACAACAATGGGACAGTAATCAAATCCTTGTAACTCTAGAACGGTTGGCTATTACTAGTTTCCATATGCATGTATTTGGCTCTGTCACATCAAAGAGGGTCCGCTCACTCGCCTCAATGAGCTTTAAGCTGTTAAAGGGTCAAGTAGTGACTCGCAGGGCTCTTTCTTACAAGTACGCAAAATACAACTTGTTTTCTGATATGATAAAGACAACATGATCTGGTTCTAATATCGGGGGGGGAGTTAGGTACCGCAGCTTTACGTTACTAAGATTAGCAATAGTCAGACCAACACACAGTACATTGCTTATGAAAATGTATGGTGTTATTTATTCACAACTTACTTTGAAAGGATGGAGAAAGTTGGCTGTATTTACATTTCACATTAGGCCAAAGTCAATGAACCAACAATATTATAGTTTTTAACCAGTTTTTTAATCTCACAAAAAACATGAATTGTTGACAGGATTTTGTTTTCCTTCTGCGCCACTAACAATCTCTTTTTAAAAACACATTGAGAAGAAAATAATTTATACATCCTTTTTTTTAATCATATCTACAAAAATAAAATAAAATAGTACAAGGACTAAGGCTTTACAGAAAACAAAAAACAAGTGTGTCCGATCTCTCTACGTTACATGAATGAACAGGTTTTAAACAAAAGTGGGTGAGAGCATACAGTAGTTTGCACCGTGCAGGGAAGATTCACTTTGTGCAACATTTATATATATTTTATAAAACAAAACAGCTTGATTTTAGGCTCCGAGGGCCACCGCGCGGATGTAAGTTTACAAAAAGATATGGAAAATGTTAGATACAAAATGTGTGAATGTAGAGGTAGGAACTGGGAATATAAAAGCGTACGCAAGGAGGAAAGATGAGAAGTGAAGGCTTGGAAAAATACATGTATAAATAGCTATGGAATTTCTTGTGTCAATGGAAGTTATTGTTCTTCACCATAGACTGTATATAGATGGACAATGCTAACACCCGAGTGCAATGCCCAATAGGGAAGTGCTCATAGACAAAGTTTTGCTCCTATTGACTTACATTGAAAAGTAAGTAAACTTCTCTCGCTCAGTAACTTTTGGTGTCACAGTTACCATTTTGGGTGATTCCAAATTCAGAGGCAGAGGATCCTCTTCGATCCTGGTGTTTATAATATTATGAAATTTGTAAATCCTGATACGAGTCTTAACCATCGACCAATCAGGAGCCTTCTGTCACCGAATTTGGCTTGAGCAAGCGAGTAAAGTAAGTGCGGACAGACTGGTGCCATTCCGAACTGGCGCTTGGTAACAGAGCAGTTACCGACAAAATTTGAATACATTTAGCTCAATATTCCTGCTCAAATAGCCCGGTTAAGCTAGCTCTAATCGGTTTCTTAAACATTAAGGCAAATGCTATGGGCTCTCGGTCGGTCCACTAATATACAGTCTATGTTGTTCTTAGCCTGGTAGCACAGTATGGCATTAGTACAGTGGCTACAAGCCGGTTACAAATCAGATCTGTGGCCAGATAGAATCATTCGCGAAACAGTGCGATTTCAGAAAGCAGTAAAACATCAAGTGACAAGAAAATACAATGGTTTAATGCCATAGTGTGGAACAAATACTAAGGAGAAACATCTCGTTCAAGCCACTGTTGGAACCCCGCGTCTCCATGGCGATTGATTCACGGCCCCTTGAATATCCCACATCATGGCATTGATACAGTGTCTCGCCACAATGTGATGGTTTTAAAGTCTGCTCAAAACAAAGATTAATGGACTTGGGGTTATGTGTTAAAGCTGGGGTACCTGACTTTCAAAACATACAAATTTAACTACGCAATAACATCTATGTAACTAGTTCTTCACTCAAAACAGTTTATTAATGAGTTTTGCGTCCTGTACATTTCTGTTACAGCTTTTTCAGAAAATACAAAAAATGAGAGAACCACCCTCACTCGGCCAATCAGAACTCAGACCCTATGAGTCACAATTTGACACTTTGGGCTGTTTCCATCCAGTAGTTGAAAGATAGCGTGTATTCTAATAAGTTTAATAAAAACAGAGTGTATTCCATATGGTGAAAAAGTTAGGTACCCCAGCTTTCCTTCTGTAAGTCAAAAGATTTAGGTTTGGTCAAAACTCAAAACCAAGACACAATTAAAAAATGTGTTTTTTCTCCGTAGTGGAAGTATTCGGATATTTCTTTAAAAAATAGGCATAATTTTTAGTCCTGGTCTGAGATGTTCAGATATTCGAGCAAAAACATAACACAAAATACACTCCATTCAGAAATGTACACAGTGGTTGATCATTTTGACATTTTAGCTTGTGTAACTTTTGTTTTTTGTTGCTAAAATATGAAAATCTTCAACCAAAAGCATCATTGAAGTTGGTTAAGTCTGGTCAGTTTGAGTTAAAGCGATATTAGTGTCAGTGTGGTTCTGTCCAGGAAAATAAATAAATATCCTTTTTTTTTCAACGTCCACAAATGTATCAACACATTATGGAAAATAGCCCTGTTATTATTGAAATAGAAAAAGGCAAATTATGTCATTTCCTTGCATTTGTAAAGTTGCAGCCCATACGACTCGCAATAGAGATACAGGATTTAAGAAATTCAATGTTTTCATTAGTTTTAGTGGCATAAAAACAGCCATATTGAGCAGAATTCTCTCATTTTTGTGGTATAAATATTGCATGGAGAGGCTGTCAGATGAGCCACAAGGCCTTTGAAATAAATTGTATGAATTGATGCAATTCTAGGCCTTCTTGAAAACTAATTTGTTTTGACGTCGTGCATATATAAAAAGGGAAAACTCAAACAATAATCCTATTTGTCAGCCCAACATTACACAGAAACAAGCTTATACAGAGTGGTTATATTATCTTGGAGAAAAAAAGTAAAGAGAAAAATCCACTTGGTTTCATGTATGAGACATAAAATATGCTCTGGTTAGTGTTAAATGACCAAAATAAGTAGTTTTTTGTTGTTGTAGTATCCACAGTGTTAACTTATATGTGCATAAACTGGACATTGTTATACATTTTCAACAAACCTTCTTTCGCTTGTGCAATTATATACTTTTTTAAACGGACAAAGCTACTTGGAAATGATCCCTTCTTGGCCCTTTTGTTTTGGAACTTGGGATATGTTCACAGCACTACTATGGTTTTGTCTATTTACACACACACACACACACACACACACACACACATACAGGGGAGCACAGTTGTAGAGTGGTCAAATTCAAGTAAAAAAAAAAAAGACATTGTCGTCACAGTCAGAGATTTTCCCTTCCTCTTCAACACAAAAGGCAGTCGATGCGTTTGTAATGTGTCCGCTGAGTTCTTGTTGATGGAGATCGGCGAATGGATCCAGAGTTTCAGTAGTAAGCAGCGCAGTAGTACTTAAGAGTTTATACATGAATGAATGAAGGACGCATCCGATTTCTGTCCGCTTGCCCCCTCGACTTCTACAGGCTTGAATTAAAACATATTAATCTTGACCGTTTTGATTTAAGATTCGCCGATCGAACAAGCAAGTTCAGTGTTATCAAGAAATGTCCTCATTTTCAGAGAGAAGTTGTGACTTTTTCTTACGTAAAACGCTTCTTTCTGTTATTGGTTGCGTTCAATTTCTAGAATTCTACTTCAGTTAGAGGGCAGGTGGCGATGCAACTCGACGGGAAACAACCCATTTTTGAAAGATGTTGAAAAATAAATCATTATTGAGATTAGATTCCTCTTCATACATATTCTTATGCTTTAATCCTTCTATACGCCAAAATCAACCATGTTTGTTGAATAATCTCACCACTTCTAGAAACCTTCATGAGAAAATATTTAGACAATAGGTAATTCAGAAAATTAGCTTCAAAGTACCGGTAAAAAAAACACAGCGTTGGCGTCAAATGATTCATTACTCAAACGTAAATAACGGCTTGTTCCATTGGTGAATCCTGTTAGAAAACGCTAAAATCAACATGAACTGAGGGCGCTTCACACTTGTCGGTCGGGTTCACTCAAACTGGACTGATTCTGGTTCATTTTTCAATAAAATGTCGTTATTTGCGGATGTAAAACCAAACGAGTCAACAAGAGTCCGCTATTGTCACTTAAAGCTGGAAGACCCCACTATTTTGTTCGTCACAACAGAAAGGATCGTGCCTCTTTTTTTTTTACTTTTTACATAATGAGAGGCGACTGGCTCAGTGAGGCCTGCGACTCTATCATTTCTGCCTGAAAAAGCTAAAAACACGACAGAGGCCAGAAATGCATGCATGTGAATAGTAGTGGTAGTTACTTTAGAGAGCTAGGAGCGAGTTACATGGATATTGTGGTTTCAAAGTTAGGAACTCTAGCTTTAAGTAACTTCTTTTGAAACAGACCCAGTGCAGTGAAAGCCAACACGAACAAACGCGCCCTGAGTTTTGTCCTTTTTTTGTATTGCAGTAAGATAAAAGAAATCCATTAGCACTTGGTAGACGCATTTGAATATAATAAAAGTAACTAAAAAGTTGAGAAGGCCAGCGAACAAAAATACGGCACGATTAACCGAAACGTCAGTACAAAGTCATTTTGCTGCTCGAGTGTGCGTTGCTCCCACTTGCCTTTCCTTCAGTGCGAAAATCAAAAAACTGAATATTTATGAACGATAAGCCCAGTGCAAGTAACCTGAATGATCGATCACAGTCCTTCGGCAGAGCGTGGGTTTTGCAGTAGTTCTCGTCCCTGATGTCTGGAGGTCGCACGCGGTACAAAGAGAAAGATGCTCTGTGGGTAAAGTGCTAGGGTAAGTACGGGTCCCCTCGGAAAATTCCTTACTTAAATTAACAATATAACATCAGTCTGTTCCATTCACGCTCTTCAAAAGTTATCGTCGTTATCCTTCACTTGGTCCAACGGGTTTTTTTGTGTGCACTTTTTAAAACGGTCAAATCCAAATAGTTTTTCTCTTCATGACTTGTCTCGAGTTCCTTCATTAGACTTTGTGTTTTGTCTGGTCGCTCTCGAGGCCAGTGCTCAGACCTGGAGTCCTGGTTTTAGAGAGAGACCAATGTAGCGGCGAACGTCAGTCTGAGCCACAGTCACGGTCAGAAGCCGGTCGACTGGATCTTCAGTTCTGAGCTTCTTTCTTTCCCTGTGGAACCGTGAGAGAAAGGATTTTGAAAGGCAGTTGTGGTTAAAACATGACAGGTGAAATAGATAGATATTTTTCTGTTTTCTTCAGATTATTCACTTGGAACTAATCTGAAGAAAACAGAAAAAAACATGTATGAAACATTTTGATCCATTTTGCTTTGAAGGAGCTATTTTCTCAGTATTCTGAAAACTATGGATGTCAAGACTGTAATATCCAAGTGTAAAAAGCATATATAATAATAACTATAAAAAATCGTACTTAAGTTATACAGTATACATATAATTCATCACGTTTTTTAAACCGTTGACCATTTTAGTCTCGGATGAGTCGTTATCTGCTCTATAATCTTCCAAAACATGAATTTGCTTAAAGAGCGACTAAATACCAAAACAACTTTTTTCAACTCATAAACTGCATAAATATGTTTATTGTAGTGCTCTCTTCATATCCTGGTCATTTTTTTTGACATTTTAGTTCAAATTAGATAAAATATCACTTTTGAGCCAAAAAACGTCTGTGTGGCGCCCTCTCAACCTTTTTGGTGGTACTACATTTGAATTTGGTTCTGGCCTCTCCATTGACTCTGTATTTTTCTGTGACATCAGTTGTTTTGTGTGACGTCAGTCTGTCTGTGCCAGTGATATAAACCCATTCAACTCTCACACACGCCCCAGCTGCAGTTTGGAGTATTCTGGCGCCATCTAGTGGATTAAAATTAATCTTAAAAAAATTAATCTTGAAGTTGCAGATTAAATCTGCAACTTCAATCTAATTTATGTGTTTTCAATAATAGACATAACAAAAAAACAACAAAACATTGTAATTGACCATACTTTAGTTCTTCTCGGCCCATAGTCTTTAATACCCTAACCCTGCTGTTCTGTGGCGTATGGACACTGACCGTCTGTGGACCCCATGGAGGGCGTCCGGGACACAGAGGCCGAGGAGCAGCTGTCGGAGTCCTGACTCGCGGTGGAGGATCGAAGGTTCTGCAGCAGCTTCTGATGGGCCTCCTCGATCTCCTGCACATTACATTCACATTATCAATCACATTATCAATCACACAGCAAACTCAGAACAGAGAAGGTTCTTTTCAGGGCTGATACAGATACATATAGAGCCGATTCATTTGCACTACAATGCTTAAAGGGACAATATGTAAAAATCTGGCCAAAAGTGGTACTGCAGTCACAGTCAATATTTTGTAGTCCTCTCCCACTCTCCCTGACTCAGGTTGCCAGATTCACACCAAATCCAGCAGCAAACACAGGGAATTATTTTATCAGTTGTTTGTCCGTCTCCATTCACATTGCCATGACAGCCGTGCTAATGCTGAATGAATGTTTTGATTCATGTTTTTTTATTATTATTATTTGGACATTTGAGATAAAAAAACAAAAACAAAATAAAAGCAATGTAATTATACATAGTTTATGCAAAATACATAAGCAATTGATGTCCAAAATAGGAGTGGGAAGAATGGATGTTGGAACGTATTTCTTCAGCGTATCAACATCAGGGTTTGCTCAAGAGGATATCACCTTTCAATTTTATTTATTCCCTATTTTTTAGACAAACATGTAAAAGTCCCACATCAAAAAGAGACTAACATTATTTTAATTGGGGTACATGTGGTCTGAAATGATTATTTTTACAATTAAGCTATAATCTGCAAAAAAACGTCTTGACCTTCATCTTTTACCGTTTTTAGAGCAATCTGTCATAGAATGTGATAACATGCAATAAATACAAAAAGACATAGCCCGGAATCGAACCCGGATTCCTGCATCGTAAGCGCACAATTTTGACCACTAGACCAACGATTCACACAGTTAGAGTCACTGTGAAGAACGGAGTCAAACTAGAAAATTCTGCATCACACGTGAACTTTTATCAGCTGTCTCAATTGTTCAAAGGCGTCCCGATATAAATCCTCGTTTTAGTCTTTGTTTTGTCATTAATGATTTGAGAGTCATAACAAGACCTTTTTTAGTTCTGCGCCACATGTTATTTTACCTCTGAGATTAGTGAGACGCGCGGAGTTCTGGCAACCCGATCACGGACTTACATGACACTTCCTGATTGGCGAAACGGCGGAGGGTAGGACATCAAAATCAAAACAATAACAACTTTTACGGGTCGTAAAACTAATTTTGATAATCAAATATCTCGGATGAACTACTGTTATCAGTTAAAGATGTGTTTGAAAAGAACATGATTTATTAATGCCTTTTGAAATATTCGGGTCATTTAATGATGACTTGACATGCAAATATTACATATTGCTCCTTTAAAGGTGCCATATTTCAATTTTTGACTTTTCTCTGCTTTAAACATGATTACAGTGCTATTTGGCTTTTATACACATGCCCAGAGTAGTTTTTTCTCTTTAGTTAGAGAGTGATCTTTCTCTTTCATACTCCAGAGGCAGTGAAACGCCCGGATCCACATCTGTGACGATTTCAACATTAATGAATATGACGCGCAGAAGACCGTTTTTTATTTTTCTATTTTAAATGGTTCTTAAATATTGTCGTCAAACAGGAAAAACGATACACAATAAATATGCTGTTTGTTGTCAAAAATGATAATAATAGTGATACTGAAATCCAGGAGGTGACTGACAAATCGAAACAGGGAATCACGACAGCCAGCTCCCGAGTCCAGCGTATGTCTGTGGTTTGGTCCCGTGGACACCACATGGAGCGACTGTTTTTCTGCTATTATCAGCAAAAAATCTTTTAGGATCATGTCAACATGAGGAAATTTTGTTTTTAGTGTAAATATGTGACATACTATTTGGCCAAAAAAGGAAGAAAGCGGCTCAACCTTTTTCACATGATCTGCCTCTGTTTGAATGAATCTGTTCGTTCTGTTCATCTACAGGGACAATGGAACTGGACTTACTATTCCTACGATAAAAAGACGCCCCCGAAAGAACCCCCGATCTGTAAGTACCATGACTGTGGATTCTGATTGTGGATCGAGGACATAGGGCTCGACGTGACGGATTTTGGTTGTTGGAAAAACTTTCTTCTCAGGTCTGACATGACTATGTAACAGCGAATCGAAGAGTTTACTTTGGAGATAAACGTCCCAACGCTCATCAATGAAAATATGATCACACATGTGCATAGGACGGACTGTGAAACATGAAGAAGAGCACAATATGGAACCTTTAAAGCTGGAGTTCAAATACATTGTAATGAAATCCATCTAATTCGTATCTCGCTCTCAAAAAATAGGTTCTATCACTAGCTTTCACACACATTTATCTTTTGGCCTCTTTGGATCAGCTTTTTCAAACAGAATAGTGAAAAACAGAACAACCCTCACTTAAACCAATCAGCTCTCAGCCAAAAGTATCAAATAGTGATTTACAAAGACCTTTCTTACAAGTATGCAAAATATAACATTTTCTATTTTGTGTTTAAATGCCTGAAGAATTGGTTGTATTGGTTTTAAAAAATAAAATAAAATAATAATAATAAAAGCATAGCTTTATGGGAAGCACAGATCTCCTAGTTAAGAGAATGAAGTATCCTGTTATTTAAGTACATTTTGACCAAACCAAACTTAAAGAAACTAATCAGACATCTTGTTTAGGCACATGTACTGTAAGAATGAGAGCTGTTGTGTTGTGCAATAATATATGTTTGTGTTTAGTCAAGTTGTATCGTTGTTTAGACCAGTAGGCTGAAGACTACTAAGAATTGGACTTCACAAACGCCCATTCAGCTCACTCACCCGCAGATGTTGCAGTTTACTCATTAACCCCTCGATCGTGTGGAAAATCTCATCTACATTTTTGATCACGTGACTTTGAGAAGCTGCCTCTGATTGGCCCTTGTTGTTTTCCTTCAGTAGCTCTGATTGGTTCAGTTGTGCGTCTGATGACATCACTTCCTGGAGATGTGGGGGGAAGTGCGTGGCGATGGGCGTGGGGGGATCAGTGAGGTCGTCCGTGCCGCTCTCGCCGTGATCCGTGGGCATCACCAGGTAGAACAAGTTCCCTAAAGCAAAGACATGAAATTAGAAATGTGTAATAAAGCCCCCGTCATTTGAAATTTGGATTTTAGCAGACATTAAGTTTACCCACCGTGGCTCCACATATACATTTATATAAATCTGGCAACCCTTCCTTAGCTATATTCAGACGTAACATAAAAATACCTACTTAAGCAGGCTTGCGTGTGGCTGTTGTTTATGTATGTACAGTGGGGCAAAAAAGTATTTACAAATGAATTCTTTAAAAATCCTACATAGTGAATTCCTGGATTTTTTTTTCACATTCTGTCATTATTTTAAGTGGGAGAACTTGCACAATCGGTGGCTGACTAAATACATTTTTTTCCCCACTCTATATGTATGTGGGTAAGATGTGTATTTTTGTTGAGTAGCACGTGTTTACAAAAATAGTAGAAATATTTTAAAAAAAAACGTTAAAAAAGGCAGTAGAAATACTTGGAGGTGAGTTGTTCTGGTGTTGTATTTTTGTCACATCTTTTCAGGCAGAAAAGGGAAAAAGAGGTTCATCATCACTCAGCCAATTATCTCTCAGCCTAAAGTGTCTAATAGTGACTCACCGGGCTCCTTCCTACACGCACGCAAAAGATAAGTTGTTTTCTAGTAATAATGAGACAGGATGGAGTGGAATGATTTGTTCACATAACGTTACTTTTAGACTCGGGGTTAGTTTGTGGCATAATAAATATGTCCCGACAATGAGGTCATCTTAATGAAAAAGCAGTTGGGAAACCCTCCACCAGAAGATTCACATTGTTCAGAGGAAAGTAGAAATGTAGTCAGCAAGTACGTCAAGTAAGGCGACGCTGATTAACCAGGAATGAAGCGGACTGAACTCCTGGAACCATAAATGTTTTTGTTTTTTTTGGACACCGAAAAAAGCAGTGTTATGTATTCATTATGTTATTATTACGATGAGAGTTACTGTTCACTTGAGAACCGTCTTATGTCTCGTGCGGTGATGCTATGTCGTGGGCGTGTGCAGTGGGGCTCACCGTTCGTCTCGCTCGATTGGTCAGAGGAGAGTGTGATGTCATCAGGGACAGAGGAAGAGAAAGAGCCCCCAACCACAGCTACAGCAGAGGACAGAGCAGCGACACAGAAGGCAGCGTGAGTTTATTCATAGAAGTGAGGGAAAAGAAACCATTGTGCTTGTGGAGCCGGTACAGTTTAAGCATGCAAAAAAAAAAACCGCAAAGTTAAGTAATCATGCAAAGACAAGCGGCTCATTACAGCATAAGAACAGAGATCTCACACAGTTGAATTTAATTATCGTTCAATATTCCTTTGGAGAATCTGCTTAAGACTTTAAGCTGATCTTTGATGTAATGTACGATCATAAAGATAGGACTTAAAGGTGGAGAGGGCGGTTCTTTCCTAAAATTTGGGAAAATCCTCCTGTATACCTTTCACTGGAACAGGTAAACAGTTTTAAAATATTTAACTTATAAACACCTATAGAACCTCCGCCCCGGAGGCAGAGGCTGAGGATGTTGGGGCGGATACTTCCATCTCCCTGGCAGAGGTCACCAAGGTGGTTGGCAGCCTCCATGGTGACAAGGCGCCGGGAGTGGATGAGATCCGCCCTGACTATCTGAAGTCTCTGGATGTTGTAGGACTGTCTTGGCTGACACGTCTCTGCAGCATCGTGTGGCGATCAGGGGCAGTGCCAATGGAGTGGCAGACCGGGGTGGTGGTCCCTCTATACAAGAAGGGGGACCGGAGGGTATGTTCCAATTATCGTGGGATCACACTCCTCAGCCTCCCTGGCAAGGTTTACTCCAAGGTACTGGAGAGGAGGCTACGGCCGATGGTCGAATCTCGGATCCAGGAGGAGCAGTGTGGTTTTCGTCCGGTCGCGGAACACTGGACCAGCTCTGTTCTCTCCATCGGATACTCGAGGGTTCATGGGAGTTCGCCCAACCTGTCCACATGTGCTTTGTGGATTTGGAGAAGGCGTTCGACCGTGTTCCCCGGGGTGTTCTTTGGGGGGTTCTCCGGGAGTACGGGGTCCGGGGTCCTCTGCTGAGGGCCGTTCGGTCCCTGTATGACCAGAGCCAGAGCTGCGTGCGCATTGCCGGCAGTAAGTCAGACCTGTTCCCGGTGCATGTTGGCCTCCGCCAGGGCTGCCCTTTGTCACCGGTTCTGTTCACTGTATTTATGGACAGAATTTCTAGGCGCAGCCAGGGGCCGGAGGGGGTCCGGTTCGGGGACCACAGGATTTCATCTCTGCTGTTTGCGGACGATGTTGTCCTGTTGGCTCCAACGAGCCAGGACCTGCAGCATGCACTGGGACGGTTTGCAGCCGAGTGTGAAGCAGCTGGGATGAGAATCAGCACCTCCAAATCTGAGGCCATGGTGCTCGACCGGAAAAAGGTGCCTTGCCCTCTACAGGTGGGTGGAGAGGCCCTTCCTCAAGTGGAGGAGTTCAAGTATCTCGGGGTCTTGTTCACGAGTGAGGGAAGGATGGAGCGCGAGATTGACAGACGGATCGGTGCAGCGTGCGCAGTGATGCGGTCTCTGTATCGGACCGTTGTGGTAAAGAGGGAGCTGAGCCAAAAGGCAAAGCTCTCGATTTACCGGTCAATCTTCGTTCCCTCCCTCACCTATGGTCATGAGCTTTGGGTAATGACCGAAAGAACGAGATCGCGGATACAAGCGGTTGAAATGAGCTTCCTTCGCAGAGTGGCTGGGCGCTCCCTTAGAGATACGGTGAGGAGCTCGGTCACACGGGAGGAGCTCGGAGTAGAGCCGCTGCTACTCCACGTCGAGAGGAACCAGTTGAGGTGGCTCGGGCATCTGTTCCGGATGCCTCCTGGACGCCTCCCTGGGGAGGTGTTCCGGGCATGTCCCACCGGGAGGAGGCCCCGGGGAAGACCTAGGACACGCTGGAGGGACTAAGTCTCTCAGCTGGCCTGGGAACGCCTTGGGGTCCCCCCGGACGAGCTGGAGGAAGTGTGTGTGGATAGGGAAGTCTGGGCGTCTCTGCTTAGACTGCTGCCCCCGCGACCCGGCAACGGATGAAGCGGAGGAAAACGAACGGACGGACGGACACCTATAGAACCAGATATCTGTATAGTATTGTGTTGCCTGTTTTGTCTTCTCTTAAACACTTTTCTCCACATTTCCAGGGCGAGTGTGAATCTGTATCGTAGCTTTTATTTTGTGGACCCATTCCAACAAGCGTTGGTTTAGATATAATTATTTATCATCAACTAGAGCTGCACAATTTGGGAAAAATATTCAATCACGATATTTCTCATCAATAGATTTTCCATATACTGTGTATTCTGTTCCGAGTACAAATGACAAGTTCAAGAGAGAAAAGAGTAAATATGAAGCGATTACCTCTCAATCATTTCAGAAAAAAGATAGTTCTAACTCACTCAGTTTTTCTCACATAATTATTCAAACCAGACACATTTTCAGTTTATATAATGTTTGTGTAATGTCGTTCTTATCTGGACTTCGTGTCTGTAATAAAGTTTAATAATAATAATATAAATTATGAAATAGATGCGATGTTGTAAGACTAAAGACATTTGTTTAAAAAATCTTTAAAAATGAACTCAAATCAAGAGATATTTTATGAAATATCAAGTCCTATTTTTGTTTTTGTGAAGAATGATTGTAGTCTTTGCGTTTTGCCAATTTCAACAAAAATGGTGATTTCTTACTAAAGTGGTTTTTTCCATCATCACTGTACTACTTCCTTTTTGATCACGACTGAAACTTGAAGTGTTGGAGATAATGCTCACACGTTTGTAAGATTACAACAGACCAAAGCTGTCTTTATATCATCGCTTTCAACCTGAAGACCACAGTCATTTTCTCTTTGGCACCTGCAGATTCTGAAAACAAAAGCACGCCGTGATCCCACACCTTTCCTCACGAGTCGTGGCTGAGGCTCCTCTAGTTCCCCTGGTTCTCCTGGTTCTCCTGGTTCTCCTGGTTCCCCTGGTTCTCCTGGTTCTCCTGGTTCTCCTGGTTCCCCTGGTTCTCCTGGTTCCCCTGGTTCTTCGCTGGTACTGAAGTTGAGAACCGTCTCCAGGGACTCGGGCCGCCGTTTGTCCGTGGCCGAGTCGTTGGTGGGCGTGTCGTCTGAGTTCTGACTGCAGCCGTCCTCCTCCAGATCCCGTAATATGAGCTGCCTGAGTGTTTCCACTGCGGCAACAAAACAATGAGGTTAAACAAATTATTCCCTACATGTCTTTGGACAGTTATGCTTTGCTTCAGCTCTTCTTCTCCGTCTCACTACTTCAACATTTGTCCATAACCACCAACCACCAACATACTTTTTAGCCTCTTTCTTTTTTCTTTTTTTTTAACGGCACAATCATAGACTGTATATATTAACGGACGTAATCACGCCTATCTCCGCCGTTCTAACTAATGGGCCAAAAATTGGGCTCTTATGGAGTGATTCAAAATGGAAAATGTGAAAAAATGCATTTGCGCATGCGTCAGCTGGCACGAGCTCCATTCATTTAAATGAGTGACTTCAAAAATTCACAGCGAGTAAACTAGACTGGTCCAATAAAATTCACTCCCCTCAGCATTGACACACATGTGGAACGGAGCTTTGAGCCAAGAGCCAACTTTTGGACCATCCTGTAAAGGTGTTTTCGAGAGGTAAGAAGATGCTATATGTTAACATTGGCTAATTCTTAATCCGGGTCCACCCCCATTGGCCCAGGGTGGTATTGCAACCATGTCAGCGCACGTCATTTGGCCACTTTTGAGCCGGGACCCGCCCCCCACTGGGCACAATACAGTTGCATAGTAGTTGTGTATGTGTTCGAACTGAAGACGAATGGAGCAAACACAAATGGAATCTCAATTCTCAAACCACAGTCTTAAAAGGGTTGGTGTGGCTGCAGGTTTTCATTCCAAACAAAGCAGCAGGACACCAGACATTTTTATAGGTCACCCCTCAGTTGCCTCAGTTGGTAGAGCATTAAGCTTTAAGCCCAAAGGTCGTGGGTTCGAGCCCACCATGAGACCTTCTCCACCAACTTCCACTGATGTCTGCTGTCGTTGTGTCCTTGGGCAAGACACTTAACCCACTTTGCCTATAAGGAGCGCAGAAGTGATGTCCGCTAATTGCCTTGATGTATATGTGTGTATGCATCAAACTGAAATTTCCCCATTGTGGGAAGAACAAAGGACCTTCTTCTAAATTCTACTTATTTGAGGCATTAAGTAAAAAAGCTTTTTCCACACAGGATTACCGTTCTGATTTTTATGACATGTCATTGCAATGGTAAGCAATTGGGCTTCACAGCAAGAAGGTCCTGGGTACAGGGCTTTCTGCGTGCAGTTTGCATGTTCTCTCCGTGTCTGCATAGGTTTCCACCGCGTGCTCCGGTTCCTTTACCGGACAATACATGAGTGAGTGAGTGAATGGTGATGGTCAGAGGTTTTGACGCAGTGTATAAATAAAGATTACTTTCCTTTTATGACATGTATGCGTTTGGAATTTTATAGCAAGTTTCAAAAAATAGAGTTGGAACCAATATAAAAGCAAAAGCCCAAACGAGCAGAATAGCTAAATACACTCTAGAATCTAGGACACTTCTTATACATAGACCAGGCTTGACACACTAAATGTTCTTACATATTTTTCTTGGGATTTATTTCTGTTATTGATTTGAGTAGTCCTCAATAGTTTATGAAATGAGTCTGTTTCACATCAAATTTCGGAAATCAAGATGATTATTCGATTTACCGTCTTGTAAAGCCGCCTCCGCCACGCCCTCCTCTCGCCTCTCGCCGCAGAAGAAAGAGTCTTGTTCTGAACTTGTGTCGGCTAAAAGCTCTGCGTTGTTGGACGAATGGTTTCCTCTGGAGTCCTGCCGCTCCATCAGTGAGATTTCTGAACAGGAGAAAATATCAATTCAAGTTTAAAGGACAGAAAATTACATGATTATACCATAGATAAATGACAGCTTTGCACAGATCTCATTTGTACCTTCGTTCGTTGATGTTGGAGAAGAACTGCCAACGCTTTGTGAGCTGCAAAAAAATTTTTAAAATGAAATGAACCTTGGTTATATTTTGAGTATTTTTTCAGTTCTTGCGCACTCACGATATTCGCTTTGACCCGTGGTTGATGAGCGGCGATGAGCCACTGGATTGAGATATTGTTTTTTCAAGTAAATCTTTCCACCTGAAAAATAATATTAAAATAATTAAAACTCATTTTCAAACACAAACTGAGAGAGTAGTGGATGCTTACGTGTTTTTCTCAGACAGTGTCCCGGCCACCAGTTCGTAGATCTGCCTCTCGGTCGTGCTGATGATGTACAGCGCTTTGTTATCTGCGATGAAAGTTTAACACAGTCACGACATTTACTTTTATCCATAATCCAAAGCTAACCATATAAACAGCCAAATGAAGCTCGCGGAAATTCCATCTGGTAGGCTACCTGCTGCAGCCCATCAAAGCCTTCACCCTTGGCCAATCACACAGCGCCGCCAACCTACGCCAATAAAGCCGGCTGGTTAAAAGCGGAAATTTCCCGACATCTAAGCCCTTTTCCAAAGCCTCGCAAGGAGTTGGTCTGGAGGAGTCACTTTCGTCTACTCACGTCTCGCAACCAGCACCTCCCCGCCTCCTCCTTGACCTTCTAGCCAAGCCCTTATCTCAACTTCACCCCTCTGGCACCATTATTCTTTTACGTTTCTATTTTGATGCTAAAAAGAAAACAAAAACTCAAGACCAACTTGGATACCACATTATGAGTAATTTTGGGATATGAACAGAGCTGAAATGATGACAATCTAAAACTCAAGGAAAATAAAAAACATCAATAACAATTTATCATAACTGGAAACCAATTGGAAAACCAAATTATTTCTATGGGTTTACCACTAGGTGGCAGTCCTACACTAGTCTGTAAAGACAGGTAAGTGACAGAATAGTGGCTCAAACAGTGTTTCAAGAGTAAACAGGGATTATGATGAAATCCAGCAAATGTTTCTTTTGAAATTTCAAGGAAACCGAGACATGTAGAAATAAACGGCTTGCATCTCTGAGGGAAAAAAGTCTCACCTTCAAACATGGCATAGCGTGTGTCTGTAGCAGTAACATAGAATACTCTGTAGCTCTACTAAAAATCTAGATCGCTGCCACTCTGAACCAAAGCTTCTGAAAACTTCTGCATTTCAATGCGTTAGAATCTGATAATGGATGCTTTTGACAGCCCGCCCTCTGACACTGTGCTGTTGTGAAGAGCCACTGACCTGTTGCCACTGAGCGCACCAGGAGCGAGTCCAGTTTGACCAGTGGACTGAATGAGGTTTTCCCGTCCCCCGTGGTTCCCCCTCCTCCCCCCATCCAGCGGGACGGGTACCGCAGCTGCAGCCGCTCGTCTGGACACCTCTGCAGGAGAACCAGGCAGTCCGACAACAGCAGGGCCTGGATCTCTGCAAAATACGTATGAGAGGGAATACATTTGAAGGAAACATATGGAGTAAGAATGGTACATATGTTATTGCAAAAGTGAGAGCAGAAAACTGACCCAGCTGCTTGTCTTTTGTGACTTTCCACGTGAGAGGGCCTTCGTGGATCATTCTTTTTGTGGTTAGATCGAGACTCTGGAAACACAAACACACAAAATAAATGACATTCAACCTCACAGAGTAGACATGACAGACAACTATGATACAAAGGAAAAGCCTCACTATTCTAATTTTCTAATCTGCTGGTTAATCAAAAATTTGGTAACACCCTTTGAGACGACTGCTGTTGTGATTTTGGGCGATACAAAAATCTAATGATTTGATTTCTAACGATGGAATGCATTGTCCAGAGAAGGCGGCTGAGGCCCTTTTGACCCCTCCCTGGACTGCTGTGCCTCCCAGCTGAGAGGCACATCTCCTCCAGCATGGAATCGGCATGAACAGGGAAGTCTGGTGACTCTGTGACCCAAAAACTTTGTAGTAACACAGTAGATTATATTAGATTTAGTATTTGTTCTGTTTACAAATCCCTTCATAATGCAACAGTAAAATCTTGGGCTGGGTGATATGCATATTTATTGCCCCATTTGAACAAATACAATTTTAAATCAATATGAATAAAAATCACAGAAAACCATAGTTTAATGAAGGAGATTATTCCTCTGAATACTTGAGTTTCAAATCCATTGTCGAGTTCCCCACAAACCAATGGATTAAGTATTTCATGCAGACATTTCCTTCTTTGTGGACCACCTTGTTCACATTGTTGACTAAAATCCTTATTTAAGTCAATTGATTTGATTTGTTCCTCACCACTACTGTATGTATAGGCACATGTCTAATCCCAATGCTTTTAGTAACCAAGAGTCTCAGAGCTGTGGGCATGACAGTGATCCCAGTGAGTTATAATAATGAATATAATCACATTTTTTTCCCGTTTTACAGAAAAGGGATGAGCTCACCTTAAATTGTGGCGCGGCGTCGAGTCTCCGCTGGTATTGGCCGAGCCGTAACCGCTGCTCCGTTTCCCCGACGACCTCGTTAACATACTGTAGTATTACCCGGCAACAAGCCTGAGCGCGATGTAGTGACAACAGGTCCGAAGAGCCGGCTAGAACGGGAAAACCATTTCACTTAATGTGAGCTGAAGGATTTGGAAACTGTTTGAAAGTGACTGCTTATTCTAAGACGATAAAAGACGGGTAGAGGGCATTTAAAGCTGGGGTACAGCACCAACCTTGCAAATACAATCCTTATAACTAATTCTTAAACTGTTTTATCACTTTTTCACATGTATATATTTTTTGTCACATCTTTGCATCAGCTTTTTCAGAGAGAAAAGTGAACAAGAGAGGACCACCCTCGGCGCTTCCTTTTTTGAAGTATTCTAAAAGATAAAATTATTCCTAATAAAAGAAAGTTTCAGCATGTTGTGATTTCTCCACAAAATGATTCTTTTCATATATCATTTATGAAACAAAAAGGTTAGACACCCCACCTTTAAATAGATTTTAATTATATTACAGTTACTAATAAGTCATTCAATCCTTGTTATTAATTGAGGGAAATGTGTTAAGTTTGCACTGGTGAGAACTAGTATTCAATGAATAAATAGGACAAGATTAATATAAATATTCCAATGATAATTGAGTTCAGATATTGAGGTACCGTCTGTGTGCTTGATGATGTTGTCCAGGAGCAGGGGATACTTTGTGAGTCTCTGCATCTCACAAACCAGAAGATCTTTGAGCTGCAGCCGCCGACAGTGAGGGCTCGACTCGCACTCCTGAGGGCAAACAGGAAAACAAATTTGTTTTGTATCATAAAATGATCAAATAGACCCTTTAGGCGCCATAATGATGTAATTTGGATTTGTCTCAGCAGTACTAAAATTGGTAATATCATAGTGAGTATTGACTGAAAGCCATGTCAAACACTGACTGTAGAAGGAGTGGACTAACAGGGTTTGCCTTAATGCGAATGAAGCCGATTTGAGTGGACTCAAACTGGATATTTGAGCAGGAATCTGGAGTCAAATTTGGGGATGGCATCGACCGAGCAAAAAATCGGGAGTGGCTCTGGTCAGTTCCCGCGCGCTATTCGTTAGCTAAAGCCAAATTCATGGATAGACAACACCTGATTCATGAGTTATTAGGAGACATATTTACAAAGAAATAGTCAAAATAAAAATACTTGGATTGTGTAGAGAAGGCATGTCCAACTTAATCCTCGCCCTTATTAGCAAGCTATCTCTCCATGTTAACCTTCAAACCTTTTTTGTAAACAGATAGTTGTGTTTGATTGGGTCACAAAATTCTGTATAGATGCTAATGTTGCTGGTGAGATAATGCATAATTTCTGTAAAAGCATATCCATTTTAAAATAAAATAATGTTAAGACTCAAAACAGCCCAAAACCATTCAAAACAGCTTTACAGTATGGGTTGTCGGCCCCTGGACAAGTCTGGTTAAACTAAAGTGGCTTAAAGGTTTGGACAGCCCTGATGTAGAGCATACATGAGTGGATTACTAAACCCAAAAAGGTGAATGAAACCAACGGTTAGAGAGAAGAGTTTAGTTTTCAATGTAAGTGAATTGAGCCAAACCGAAAATCGTCCACTTCTCTAGGTGTCAGGTTTGTATCTGTATGTATATATATTTCTGTATTTTAATGTATTTTTCACTTATTTGTACAGCACCCTGGTAAGCTTAGGCTGTTTTGAATGTGCTCAACCAATAAAAAGGTATTGATTGATTGAGATGTCACCGAGCATAGTTAGCATTGTCCATTCACCGACAGTCCATCCACTATATAAACTAAACAATATACACTAAACAGCCATCATGTCAATAGCATTAATATCTCGGAGTAACTGAGCACGTACTTGGATGATGTGAGCGAATCGAGGGTCTTTGCGCTGTTTGTTTTTGATCAGCTCCAGCGCCTGCGACTGCTGACTGCACAGCTGACCTGCCTGGTCCTGGAACTCCTCCCCGGCTGTGCCTTCAAACTGAAATAAAACACACACAGGAGATCTTTAAGAGAGAATATATGAGCTTAACAGAGACTTCAAACTGACATACACACACGTGCTACATCCTAAAGAGAGGAGGAGCTTAAACCATTCATTCATTGAAGACAAGATGGCACAAGTTTTGTTTTGTCTTAAGTTCTTGTTTTTGTATTTGTGACTGTTTCATTAATCCAATAGTTTTCTCATTTTATCAACAAGTTACATATGTGTTTATAGATGGATACTATACATACATACATACATTATATATATACAACAATTTTTTATATATATATATATATATATATATATATATATATATATATATATATATATATATATATATATATATACTGGTTTTATTCTAAGTAAACTCACTCTGGCAAGGATTACGTCGCCGATGTCCGGTACAACGGGGGAGTCTCTTCTCTTTTTCATTGCTTCACAGAGACTCGCTGAAATGAAAATACACAGCAATCATTAATCAGTTTAGTTCAGTTAGAGATGTTAGAGAAAAAAACATACAAGCAGAATGTAATTGATCACTTCTAGATCACTAGATGGAAGTGTTGCACAGTCTACTCAAGTAACAGGCTCCTATCACTACGCTGCCGAACGGAACGCTTCAAGAGATACTTTGTTCTTTCAGCTGTCAGACCGTAAAACAAACCTGGATGAGTCTTTTGCTGCTGGACACCTGACTTTCTCCTACGGGGGATCAATAAAGTATCTATCTAACTTTCTACAGTATCTATCATCCCTAACGCTGTGTGTCAAGTTTATCCACAAATGTTCAAGGGCCAAAATGAACACAGAAAATACAAAAAATGTCCGAACTTTAGATATATACCCATAATCTAGAGGCATTTGTGTCTCCTAAAGTGAATATGTAATGTCCCACAGCCTGAAACGCACCATGGAGCTCGTAGACTTGTTGGAGGTTGGGGAAGATGCAGGTCAGCTCATCAAAGTTCAGCACTGTCCTCATTTTCTGATAGAAAACCTGGTCCAGGACCCTCAGAGTCCTCAGATGGGACACCTCCGTCATGAACAGCTCTGAGAACACAAAGTTTAGTATTAGGACCAAATCACGTACAGCAGAAGAAAAAAAAAAAAACGGACTGAAAGGTGAATTCTTCTGTTGTAAAAAACACAACATGGCATCAGTACAAGCTTATTCATTCTGACACATTCCTCGCTTCTTCATTATTGATACATCAATGGTTTTTAGATGCATCTTTTTATAGCTTTTAAGAGACCAGTGCGAACATTTAACATTAACATTTAAATCCGTGTTTATGACATGTAACATTTTTGCACTGGGAAATCTCACATTTTACAGATACATAGAACAAAGTTGGATACAGGTTTCTTCAAGCTGGAGTAACTAACCTTTTTGTTTCATTCATATTTAAAAATACATACTTCATATTATCTTTAAATTATTTGAAAACATTTCATCTTAAACATTGAGTGGCTGAATGAGTCTTTTTAAATGAGAAAAACTGATCTAAAGCTGTGACAGAGGCCAAAAAAACATGCATGTGAGGGATCTAGTTTAGTAGTTTAGTTTAGTGAGCAAGGAACTACAGTAGTAACAAGGATTTTATTACAGTTTGTTTATGTGGTCCTCCTGTGGACTCACCACCTGCAGAGGGTCAGTGAGGGGCTGGTGCTATGAGACTTGGGTGGCATCTCTGATTGCCACCCCCCTGACCCAGAAATGGATTAAAGGGTAGAAAATGGATGGATGGATGTTTATGTGGTTTCTAATGGTGCTTTCAGACCGGATCATGCGTTGCGTCGGGTTTCAATGCAAAGTCTATGGTGGCTCACGTTCGAGCGTCACAACGCACGGACCTCTCGGCACGCACGAACGGACTGTTCAATAATGACGCACGGACTTGGCGGGAAAGCGAAAAACGAGGAGCAGGAGCGAAAAATCAACGGCCACGGGAGATGGATTCTGCTCATCCATTCCTTGGGACGTTCGTGCGACAACCAATCAGAGAGCAGCAAAGTGGTCACGGGGACATTAGCGGACTGAGCGAGCAGACTGAAAATACTCATAAACAGCAAAAACAGGACCCACACCAGGCTTCACCAGAACTCAAACCAGGGTTGACAATGGGGGACTCTGTGCTTGTGAATATATGCGTTGTCATGCTCCCGTGACCTTATGCAACTGCTTCGAGTGTGTTCGCAGATGCGGAAATACCGTTTAATAATATGAAAACACGTATGGCGCACCTCCGTGAACACATACTACTGTTATATAAAGCCCGTGGAAGGTCTCTGTTCAAAGACACGCTGCAAATTGGAGAAGATCTGTATACAAGAAGCCGCTAGCATAGCTATGTTAGCATTAGAGCCGGCCGGCTACTTCCGGTACTTCTGGCTCGCGTCAGGACGTTCTGGTGTGAAGTCCTCTGCGTCTGAAAACTAGAGAATGCGCGTCTGGTGAGCGGGGCTTCTGCGTTTCAGCGTTGGCGGTGTGAAAGCCCCATAAGTTAGGTACCCCGGTTTTAAAGGAGCAGTTTGTAAAAATCTGGCCAAAGCTGGTACTGCACTCTCTGCCCGACTCAGGTTGCCAGATATGCAGACGGATCCAGCTGGGACCATAATATCTGAATAAAGAGTTTTGTCAACAACAAATTTATAACCAACACCTTTTTCACAAAGATAGAAATCTTGGTTTTATTCCTTGTTTTCTAGTTAATTAATTTTTTTAATACAACGGCCATATGTTACTTTGCCAGTGAGATTAGCTTGACGCGGTGAGTTTTGGCAACCCGGATCACAGACTTTCTGCTTGGTAAAACGGAGGTCAAATTGAAAACAATAGCAAGATTTAGGGGCTGTATAACTAAATTTAAAATCCAAATATCTCGGCTGAACCACTGTTATCAGATAAAGAAGTATTGGAGCATGTTTTATTAATGCCTTTTGACATAGTAGGGCCATTTAATAATGAATTGAAAAGAAAATCTTACATATTTCTACTTTAATGCTATAGTGTAATTATACCGTAAATGACAGCTTGCCGGTCGACCTCCTTGGGGCTGAGTGTTGCCAGGAGCTGAGCAGAGACGGTCTCCTGCCAGTTCTGAGCTTCACAAACTTCGTCCTCGAGAGCAGGAGCGTCCGGCAGCAGAGCCAGCGGAGAGTCCATACTCCTGACACGAGCAACGAAGCATAAAGTTACGTTTCAATCACACGAGTTTGGGCCAGCGACGCAAACTGACGTGTGGGAATATGAGGTGGATCTTATGGAAGTTATGGGGACTCACCTGCGTCTGGAGCGTGGGGTGTATGGGGGAGTGGGGTTCTCAAGGGACCTGAGAGACACATGGGATGGAGTGAAAGCCAAAATGCATTTATGAAATCTGACATGTGTAAAGATTGGTCTGTGCATTGTGCAGATGGTTGTTGTACATATTAGCTCTGGCTGGTCTAAATCGCAGACTCATTAGATATTCTATGGAAAGTCTACAGTAAACTAGCATTTTTCTAGCCTGACCAGCCACATCCTTCCACTTTCTAACATTAGTGAGTAGATGTAGAAGAGGCTGACAGCGGGTGCTTTCGTTTCCAGTACCACAACAAGAAAATCTTCCGACCAATCTGCAATCACAGAGCTGGGAACTACGCCTGAATGACAACATTTTTATTGAACTTTGTAACATAAACAAAGACCAACGTTGCAGTGAAAACATCTTAAAATGGTGTTAAATGTCACATGATCAAACGGGTATTCATGCTCAATTTTAATGCAGCCCTATGCAAAGATTCAAGATGGCCGCCTCTGCGTATTTCGCGATTGTTTTAGATGCAGATTATTAAACTATTCTTTGTGAGAAACAGACGAGGCCATGTGCACATTGTTGTTTGTTGTCGACATAAGTTGGGAAAAAATATTTGAGGAAGTATTTTCACTTTTCTGCAGTCACTTCCTGTTTTGTGTCCAATCAAATGCGACCAAACAAGGCTATTGAAATGGGCCGCTGGGGCAAAGATGCAGAAACACATGTACTGTAAAATCGTGTGGCTCTGGCTGGATAGGCCATGACGCTAATAATAATTCATATCTTTTTATCCAATCCGCTATTAGGAGGCCTCTTTGAAAGGTTTTTACATTTAATATATATGTATGTAAAATGGATTGCCAGTGGATGGATAAAGTCCTCAGAATAATTAAACAGATACCAGGAAAAACCATTGTAACACATAGCAACATTAAGGACCTTTAAAAGTTGAAAGGATAATACAAATTTTCTTTGTGTGAAAACTTATTAATTTTTAAGGCTTTTCAGCAATGCTTTCAGTAACATTTGTGCGGACATGAACATTAATAATATGAAGTTGAAATGACAAATGCTTGTGTGTCTTTCACTGCGATCTTTACCGAGCCGAGGTGCTGGATGCAGACGACGAGGCGCTGTGCTGCAGTGGTCGGAGTGCGTTGCTCTCCCTCTCCTCTCCACACTCTTCCATGTCCACGTCGCTACGGGAACGGGGCACGGACTCCGGCCCTGACCCCGCCCCTCGCCGACGCCCCTCCCCCTGTGCCTTCAGGGACTCGCTCCGGGCCAAGCGCACAGAGATGGTCGGGCTGCGGGACAAAGGGAACATGCATCGTTTCAATGTGAACGGTTGTATATAGTGCCATTCTCATCAGATCAAACAAACTAAACTGGCATCATTGGAATTGGGCTGCACAATAAATCAAAAACATATTGGTAGACTCTTGGTACAGTGGCTGGAATGAATAAAACACGACATGGAGATGAGCAAAGACTGCAGCTGTGACCCGCTTTTTCAGTTTTTTTTTTGGGGAAGGAAAATATCACATTAATACATCATTATCGCAATCGTTGACACCACTGTTGCATATTGCACTTATTTTGATATCATGCAGCCCTGTGGGGGGAGGGTTAGAAAACTTTGTCAAAAACTTTGTCAAAAATGTGATCTGTAATATAGATAGAGAAATACTTTATTGATCCATGTAGGAGAAAATCAGCTGTCAAGTAGCAGCAAAAAAAAAAAAAAAAGTATCATTCTAAAAAGATAACAGTAATAATAAGCAACAGCTTCAGGTCACAGTAGCAGAGGTGGAGTAGCATATTAGTAGAATAGTAATATCGACATAAGCATCACTAAAGCCTCCTGTGCTTTTGCAGTCACTACTGCTAAATAATTGAAAAAAATGTCAAATGTAATTTTAACATTAGAAATTAAAATGCTATTTAAAAACAGAAACATGAACATATTAGAGTTGCATCAGCTGGAGTAACTAACTTTTATGTAGATGAACTAAGATTTTGTGAACTAATGAGACACAGCATCTCTTTATTTTATCAGAAAACTATAGTTACATGGATGTTATTACGGTTTATTTTTCTTTCTTTCTTTACAACTACAGGATTTGACCTCTACTCTTTTTAATGCACTATTATGAATTATAATCATAATTCTTTTTTGTGATTTTAATGTTTTTACGGACCTGTGTGTTTTTATTGTGTCGTTAATGGTGATTTTGGAGTTTCTTTTATGTGATGATTTGTGCTTTGTGTTATGTGGACTGTGAAGCACTTTGTGTTAGTCTGTGTAGGAAAAGCTAAAATAAAGATTGATTGATTTGTCTGAATGATTCACTGAGAAAAAATCTGAATGGAAAGTTTAGATTCCGTGGCTTTAGTCCTCGCTGTGATTTATAGCTTTAAAGGCATTACAGAAACCTACTTAGAATCGAATTTATTTAGTGGTCCCCAGTGCGAGAGAAATTTTGCACGCAGCATTGATTTGTCTGCAAGCTTTTTTGTGGTAATGCTGGCACTCATTTTTTCGCCCAGATGAGGAAGGAAAGGAAAGGGCTTGTATATGTGAGCTTTTTCTCGTCTACGCTATTTCTGTGAGATCATAACTTTAACAGAATGAAGAATCAGAGTCAAATAATAAAGCAATATTAAATCAAATAAAATAAACAGTAAACTGAATGAATGGAGCTCTGGGGGTCACCTGTCCATGCTGTCTTCGCCCAGGCTGCTGGTGGAGAGTCTCTGGGAGTCCGAGCTGTCGCCCTCCTCTCCCGCCTCCGAGCTGCTCTCAAACTGCTGGATGATGTTCCTCACATTTCCAGGACGCACTGCGGGGTTTCAACACAAAAGCAGAATCGTTACTCGAGCCCAAAATACACAGCATCGAGTCATGAAAAATGTGCAAACGCAAAACGTACAAAGAGGGGATAAAGAAAATGACAAAACAGGTGTACCTTCGGAGGGAGACAACGGGGCATGGGACGCTACAAAAAAATAAAATTAAGCAAATAAGAAATCAGTGAAAAGTAAAATTCGAACGGACAATGGATGAAATAATGTAGAAAATAAACTAAAACAGACGAATGAGTATTAATTAGGGCTGTCAAACAATAATTTTTTTTTATCGAGTTAATTAAAGCTTAAAAATTAATTAATCGTAATTAATCGCATTTCAAACTATTGGCAAAATTATGCCATATTTTTCAGTAAATTGTTGTTTGAATGGAAAGATAAATGACAGCTTAGTGAACATATGAACTGTATTTGTTTGTTATAACAATAAATCCATATAAAATGGCATTAAAATTATTAACATTCTGTCTTTCTGTTTAGACTCAGACCAAAACCATTGTTTGTTACAGATGAGGGACATTTCAAAATAGTCTGAAAATAGTCTGAAATGCAGAATGTCATAAAATCTGTTTGATTTGCTCACACCATTACTTTTTTGGCACAACTAACATGAACTGGTGGTCGAAAGGAAAATTAGGTACCTCAGCTTTAATTTAGCGAGTGCGCTTCGGGAGAAGACGCGGAGGAGACTGAGGCTCCGCAGTCCAGCTTCAGCGCTGTATATATTGTGTGCATCGGTTACGCAAAGACACGTACGCACACTAGAGAATAGTTCTGTAATAGTTCTGTGCGTGGTCTTGGATATGATCCCATTACGCAGCGCCGTTCGCCGTGATCACAGCCGCTGGAAGTGGGAACTGTCCAGAGCGCTGTGGCGCCCGCAGCTCATCATGCAGAGTTCATACAGGAAACTACAAGTGCCCCGCGGTCACGCGTGTATTCTTTCAAAACTTGAATTCCCAGAGGGCCTACCTGCTCTGTCCCCATCTTACACACGCGCATGCGTCCGCGGCATTCTGAGTGTTATTATGGGACGCATGGGCATGTGTCAAATGCGTTAATTTTTTTAACGCGATTAATGAAACAAATTAATTAACGTGCGTTAACGCGATAATTTTGACAGCCCTAGTATTAATACGTGTAGCAATAATCAATGGGTCTGTTTTCCATTTACTTGACTGCGACGAGTTGCGTGGTTTTCCGATGTATTTCAAGATGGGATTTCTCTTCTTGTCCTCGCCATCTTTCTCCTTGTCTTTCTTAGCACCGCCCAGCTGCCACACAAATACATTCAATATGAGAGATTTGCTTCTAAATCAATGATTAGTAGAGCTGGGGGACCCAACTTTCAAAACACAAAAAACATAACAATTAATAACATCCATCTAACTGGTTCTTTGCATGTATACTTTTGTACGGAAAAGTGAAAAAAGAGAGGACAACCCTTGTTCAGCCCAAAGCCTCCAACAGTGACTCCCAGGGATCTTCCTCAACTCATTGACTGCCATTGATGCATTTGTCTGACATTGGTGATTTCTGTCAAACTTCGCTGTATTAAACTTGGGATTACAGGAGAACCAAACTAGCTAGAAACAAAATTATTTTTGCTGATGAAAGTAGACGGTCCGATCTTTCAGAATCTGGTTTCACATTTCACATAGTCATAGCACACAATATTCTGGTGGTCTTGAAAGCCAGTGAAATCCTAAAAAACGGCTGGCAGTCAATGACATACGCCAAAGATTGAGACAGTGTGTTGTGGTCATGCTGCAACATTTTACTTTTACAAGTTAGGTACCCCAGCTTTAATGTTACTGAAGACCCTGTACAATTTATTTTACAGACTTGAGATAATTTAGGCATTGCATTTGAAACACTAAATTAAACACTATTTGAAACAGCATTATACCATTGTAGAAAAATCCAATTACTACAGTTTCAATGAAATTGCAGCTATCCGAAGTATATTTATATGTTCTCGACATCCTAATTATTTTTGTATTATTAAAATGAATTCCTAAATATTCACTGCCACGAGTTTATAAGAGCTTTTCACACTGTGCATAAATCTATATGTTACGGTAAGCTAACCTAAGCTAGCCACAATGGCAGTGCACTTTGCCCATCAGTGATCACTGTGTTCTCACTGTGCTATTAGAAAAAACTGTGAGAATGAAAAAACCAATCAGGTCCAGGCTTTTTTCAGTTACGTTCCCACAAACCTTTTTGGTCTTCAAAAATGCGAGCCACTTGTCTTTTTCAACGCTGAGCCCGGGAAAGACTTTAGAATCCCTCAGTTTGATCCCAGAGTGTCGGAGGTACAGAAGCACGGCTGAAGCGATCGGAGAACTGGGAAATATGAAAAGATAAAGTGATTGACACAACTAATCAGAGCCAAAGCACGTTCAGAGCACATGGCACGGCGGGTTTATCGATTCAACCACAAATAGAATCATACTGAAAATTCACAAACCCAATAAATAAATAAAAAACTGTTTGCAATTTGTGGCCGCAATGACACTCACATATTTGGATTTTCAACCTAATGAGGTCCTGATCCTAAAAGCTATATATGACAAGAAGAGATGAATTTGGCGTGATGACTTTTTGAATGTGTGAATATCATATCAATAACAGCAATATCTGGGCAGACCTCTAACAGTTATCAATTACAGATGCATGGATGGTTATATAAAATGGAATAGATCCAGATCTTTAAAATCAAGTATAGCAAGTCTATATTGGCCGAGCTAAAACTTGACAAAATGAGTTGGTGGATGAGTGCAGAATAAAATAGACATAAGTGAAATTTGTATGTTATGTCCCCGATGATAAATGAATGTGTGTAAAATGAATTCTACACAGCTGAAACTCAAAGTTTTCACACGGCTCAACGATAACTCACCTTCTGTCCTCCTCGTGTTTTGATCTGCAACAAGAAACAAATACAAAATCGTGACTATTTACATTTATCTATTGCATAAATCCGGTTAAAATGTAAAAGTGCAGATTCCCGGACGTGTGTACACGGAGCCACAGCTGCAGCACAGTGGTCATGTGTCACTGTCATGTGGTTTTGTGCGGGCTCCGGCTCCTGTCGCGACCTTTGCTATGGTTGCTTGGCGGAGCTCGTTCTGTCACTTTGTAATAAGACTTTTATGGAGCCTTCTGCGTCTGACGCCGTTCCTGAGCAAACACTCCCGAGCGTGCGCGCGGCTAGTCATATATTTAACCAGTTTATTTTAGTGATTAAATGTGTAATTTCTGCCCAGAGTTACTCAAGCGTGTTTGCTGCGCATCTGTTGGCTGCAGGAGGGCTAGGGATATATTTCATGGATGGGACTTTTTCAACTTGTATGTGCTTTTGTTTGCAATATATATATATATTTATATGTTTTTTGTTTTGTTTTTTTTTCAGGTTTCTCCTTAAAAACAGCAGTGGTCAGCGCTCGTGCTGCACAGCAAGAAGGTCCTGGATTCGATTCCTGGGCGAGACAGGGCCTTTCTGTGTGGACTTTGCATGTGCCCCAAACCAAATAAATTGCTCAAAGTACCTCCATATTGTATTCAAAACAAATTAAAAGAACACTGGATGTCGGTTTCCCTCTCCGCTTCTTTAAATGTTTGTGTCTATCAAATAAATATACATTTTTCATACTTGCTATACTGGGCTATACTATAGAAAATATGTTTTTCAAATGGTTTAAATGAAATGTGAAAATGGGTCCAACCTATGGATGTCTTATATTATCTAGATAAGGTCTTGCTAGATTAACCTCCATCATGGACAAGGACCACCTGCTGCACTGCAAAGAGAAGCTCATCCTCAGACGACACAGAACCTGCAGCTTTCTCAAAGGTTGGAGTTTGTGGGGATTTTCATGGTCATGCTGAACTTATGTTCTTCAGAAATCCACATGTTTGTGCAACAAACTCTGCTTGTTCCCCAACATTGTGTAAAAGTAAAACACTGTCCTCATCTTGCGAAATGATTGGCTAAATGGATGGCTCTTTCGGTTTCATTTTTCTGTCTGATAATATCTAAAGATGTTTCATTGGAGATTAAGACATAGATTGAAAGTTAGGTATCCCAGCTTTAAAGTGAATGAATGTGTTGCATAGGTTGGTTGTGGACTCACAGAATCTCCCACAGAGCGGTGAGCTGTCTGTCCACCACCTGCCTCTCCTTCGCCGGGTCTCCGTCCAGCTGCAGCAGATCCCCTTCTCCGAACAGAGAGCCCAGGCCCATCATCTGCTTGTTTCTGTCAAACACAAACACGTCGTCACAGACGGAAATGAAGACACGTACTGACTCCAGTTGCAACTCACACAACTCTTTACTGAATGACACGTGTCAACAATAGATCAAATTTATCCTAAGAACACCACGACTTAAGTTGAATTGAACCATTTTGACAAATCTTAGACCAAACTAGGAGTCTAGTTTTAACACTTTAGGCTTGTTTTCCAAGAAATGTCATCTGAAGCAGACAAAAGGTGGTGCCCTGAAAGATTAAGAGCACCTCTAAAAATAAAGAAGAAAAATAAAGAAAAGAAAAATATGCACAAAAAATATTGGTAAACGTTTGTGGGAAGCCAGGTCGCTGTATAGAAAGTGCCCTCAGCTAATGTAGCAATTCTGTCGTTTTGACGCCAAAAAGGGTTTTATATTCCAGCAACAATATATGACAATGATGTGGCGAAGCAGCAGAACAAATATTCACGTTTGTGACCATGTAAGTAATAAAAGTACTGTCCCATAAATGCACACATACACCATTACATTGCAGGTTTTTCAGTTTTTCTACCGTGGATGTGCTCAGAGATATGGTATTCACAAATATAAGATTTGTTTGATCTCTTTTTCACAAGAGTCCTGGCTCGAGACAGAGGGGAGCTATTCTACAGGTTTCAGTGGAAGTGGAGCCAAGGCATACACAAGGAGAAAGGCCCTCCAAGCTCCACTCAGAGAGGCCCTTTTCCAACCGATTGAAACCCTTGACCTTCTTGCAGAGAAGCGAGAATACAAACCACTCTGCCGATTCTAGGCACAAACTGCGCTATACAATAAAACTTTCCTTGCCCCGCCTAGGGGTCCTAATCCCACAATGCATTTCAATATGACAGACACAGATTGTAGACAAGTATATTTTTCCATCCGCACCTGTAATCTTGGATCTGGTCTTGTATGTCCGGCAACACCTGCTGCTGAAGCTCAGACAGAGGTCCCCTGATGTCCTCCTGAGCATGAAGTCTCGTCTCTGAACAGATGTAACAGTATTTTAAGATCGGTACTTAGTAAACTTTATTACTGGACACAAAAGTCCAAATAATAAAAAATTATGATTTAAAAAAAACCCATCATCTTACCAATATCTGACAAGTACTCCTCTCTGGCTTTGATTTTCAATGGCTGCAAGAGCAATAATAAAAAGTGTAATTATTATTGTCGTCATTTATTTAGTTTATATGTTTAGAGGCTTGTTACGTACAGCGTCAGAGTCCAGGAAATGGGAGCAGATCTGAGGGGCGAGGGCACGAGCATCTTTAGGGCTGGAGCCGAGGTACGCCTCCACAGACAGGTAAAAGAGCTGAAACGATGAGGAGAGGAAAACCATGCATTAACAGAGAGTATCTGCAAATATAGTAATAACTGAATAACGTGAAAAATAATATTGTCAGAAGTCTGATATAACAATTTTGACATAATCGAGCTTCTTTGGCAAAATGTAAGGTTTGGCAAAGAAGAAAAAATATGAAACACTACCGCACTTATAGCCAAGACTAATTTGCAAGCTAATTAACGAGGCAATTTTTTACATATTTTATCTTGGTTTTTGTACTGTCTTCAGCTATGTTTGTAAGGAGATAATAAATAAATGTACAACTAAAACACGTTTCGACTTTTTACCAGTAGTTATTCAGTTATTCAGACTAAACCAGGACAAGAAAAATATCGAGAAAATAATCAGAGAACTTATAATTGCATACAAAATAATAATCACAGTTTGTGCGTATTGGCAAAAACGAACTCACCACTGTGTATGGGGATGAATAAATGAATGAATAATAACATGTAAAGCGTCTTTGAGTGTCCAAAAAACGCTATATAAAACCGACGCATTATTATTTTATGTGTCAAGATGTGGTTTAAGTGTAGGTCTGCATGTTTCGGGACAAACCAGAGGATTGGGGTCGAGGAGTTGGCTGAACACGTATCTCATGAACACGGTCATGTGAGCGGGACGTGACTTTAATATCTCGATGTCCTGAAACGGGCCGTCCATCTGAGAACACACACAGAGAGGACGGAAAGTTCAGACACTTTTACAAACTTGAAATTGGCACAGAAGACGGCGAGCGGATGCGATCACCTCGATGTATTCGTAGCCGTCGTCCTCCTCGTCTTCATCCTCAGGGCTAATGATCTGTGCCTTTACGTTCTGTTCACCATAAAACAGAGAATTGATTTAAAATGTTTACGTCAGGCTTTTTAAAATAAATTAACATCATGAAAAAATAGGTGACTTTTTTTTTCCTGTTGATTTTCCACCATTACTTGGAATCTATATTTCTTTCTAAACAAACGTCTGATTCAAAAAGAAAATATTGTTCGTATTTCTAGTGCTGGGGGAAACCGGAGCACCCGGAGGAAAGCTACAGCGACACGGAGAGAACATGCAAACTCCACCCAGAAAGGCCCTGTGTAGACCGGCCTCATAAAACAAAAATAATCAAATTTGTTAACTAAGGCTAGAGGCTCAAAAAACACAAAAAAGATATTTAAAGAGTTTTTGCTATTTAAAAAAAAATCCTATTTATTTCAAATGTAATAATACCGTGATCTTTATTTGAAACTTTTCTCAATGTGGACTCCCATTTTACCTATATAACTCTTGTCATATCATTTATGGACATTGGTCATCTGTCCCCTATGGACCAACGGCTCCTATGTGTTTGAACCGTTAGATTCTCTGATCTGTTTTGGCGAATCAATAACTTTGTAAAGTCCTCCGAGGCAACTACTGCTGTAATTTAGGGCTAAACAAAAATAAAAAAGATTTGATTTGAATTTGATTAAACGTGTTTGAAAATAGAATTATGTAATATAAACGCTGTCTATTCTTATTCAGATTTAGTATTCCAATGGGGTTTTACTGCAAATGGCTTATAAATGCATCTGAATCTGTATTTAGTTTCTTTATTTGAGCTGCTTACGTACAGATAAAAGCTCAAGAGGAAAATACTGAAGAAAGAAAATGCATGTGCGCCTACCCCACCTGGTCGACCAAATGAAATAATTTGCCAAGGAGTCAAAAACCAACAATCAACTAATCAACATTAGTCGCAATTAGTACTATTTTACTTGGTGGCTTGTGGTGAGCAAAACAAAACTGTATAAAAAAATATAAAAACAAAACTGGTCATATAAAATAAATACTGAGTTAAATCTGTAAAATTCCCCTTCACGAAAAGACAATTTGAAGAGTGTAATTCTCACCGACTCCGACAGGGGGTGTGTGTCAGAGTTGTGCCGTCGGTGTTGGGACGTCCTGAAGGAGGATGAGGGGGAGGAGTGAGGGCTGTCAAAGGCCTAGGGAGGACGGGAGGAAGGGTGAGATTCTACAGGCAGAACATGACAAAAACATCTTAAAGACAACAGACGAGACCGACCTCCATGTCTCCTTCCCCAGAGTCCATCGACAATCGACCTGTAAAGACATGGCATAGAGAGGACACATCAAGCATCAAGCAGGTCCAGGTCATCTCCCTTGACATTTGTCTGGTTCACTGCATCTGGACCAAGTCTGGGTTCACGTGAGGAGACAGGTTTCACGGATATGTTTCAAAATATAAGCCAAACATCATCGCCTGAATTTGGAGCTGCTTTAAAAACCAAATGTGGATGGATGGGGTAAACAAGTGGAACCATTTAACAGAAGAATTAAAAACATGTACAAACACATTTAACCCTACAGGAGCACGTAATGGTAGAAAAGTGTAGGGTCGGAGAGTGTTTGAACCTGTGTATGTGTACGTGCATGTGTGTGTGCGTGCGTGCGTGCGTGCGTACGTGCGTGCGTGCGTGCGTGCGTGCGTGCGTGTGTGTGTGTGTCCAAGTGGGTAAGAAATAAATACAGAATTACATTTTCAACAAAGTCTATGAAAATCTTATGTATTCCCAGTTTCCGCATGACTTTTCACCCGCTCTGCCTGGTATGAATCTGCGTGGATGTTATTGTTGGAGCGACTGTGTGACAGCCTCAATTCATTCAGTCTGCCCCAGGACAGCTGTGACCACAGAGCAGTAGGAATGAACCACACACAGACAAATCATACTAGATGCAGAATTGGTGAAAGGCTTTTTATCGAGTTTGGTGCCATATATTTCAATGATTACTTCACAGACACTGATGCATACCTCCTGCTAGGACGTAGCTGGTCACAGATTCTGGCCGTGATCCCTCCTGAAGAACATCAAATTACATATAAAAAACATTTTCAACAACAAAAGACTTTATGGGATATATATTTTCAGTCCACTCCACCTGGTCTTGTTGAATCTTGATCCGGACTTGTTGAGCTCTCCTCTTCGCACTTTCGATTCTCTCTTCCAGTGATGGCGACGGGTTCCTCAATCGCTCCTCCAGAAGGCTCTGGGCGTTAGACAGACAGTAACAACTTCCATATTGATCATGTGATTATTACACAGTATGTAACATGGATGACTGTACCTGTAGCTCGGCTTCTTCTTGCTCCAGCATTTTCCTGAGGATTTCTGTGGCGTGTTTTTTAACTACGGGGTCCTGAAACAGCCACAGTAAAGAAGAACATACTTTGGTGAGAATCTACACATATCCGTCCATGCAGCGATTTGCTTCTATCCTACAGTTTTGTTAAACCTGCATCAAGTTTGAGTATAGACTAGCTCGTAATGCATTAATATAACTCTATACTGCCCACTTGTGGTGCGGGTGCAGTAAGAGCAAGAATAAGTAGCTGCAAGTTGCATTGACTCAAACTGCTACTGAAAGTTTCCCTCGCTGGACCATTGCCAACTCTGTTTCTTCACAATCATTTTAGTTTCAGTTCAGTTTATCAAAATATTTCAGACATTTTTGACAATTCAAAAACAAACAAGGCCTGTAGCTGCTACACACACATACACACACATAAAAAAGTAATTTACTCCATAATTAGGCCGAGCCAATACGAAGTATTGGGGAGGCCTATTGTTATTCACCGGTTTCATATTATTATTCTTTTTCTTTTTCCGCAACTTCAATTCGATTTTTGACCCTGAAGACATGCACGAAAGTCTGCACATGGGGGGTCTAAAACGACCGGTTCGGCGAAAAATTTGATAAAATGAACGTTTCCAGATTGTCCGACGCTCGCCGACTCTATAACGCCCCCTAGAAATTTCATTTTTTTTGACCCTCTGGGGATTTTTTTTCAAATTTTTGAGTAGGTATACGAAATTCGGATGAGTGATAGATCTCTATGAGACGAGCATAAAAGCCGGTCTAAGCACATGTCTGGGACCGACAGGAAGTCGGCCATGAGGGGCCGAAGTTTCGCCACTAATTTGACTTTTCATTTACAAATTCGAACTAGTCCCTGGTTTTTCATCACACAGAGTTCTACCACGTCATTTCCCAATCTGGACGGATTGAAGTTATATAATCATCGAAAAAAAGTTAGAAAATCTTCACCGTTTTCGTCCCTCGCCATGGCGAATAAGGCCTTCGTTTTGGCCATTTTCGCTGAGCCCTGAGGGCCACAGGCTCAGACCTACAGAGCTGAGACTCACATCAGTAATATTAGGTTATGGCCTGAACGCAATGACACTAAAATCATTCGCCCAATTTGAGCTCTTTAGCGCCACCTGTCGGAAAGTAATAGGGCACTAGTGCTCGGATCGGCCCGAAAATCGCTGAGTGTATTTTCTGGACCGAGACGAGCAAAACATTACATTACGAAAAAGTTGTACGTCCCACACCTGACCACTGGGGGCGCCCTAAAGTGAATAAATGAGCTTTTTAGGGCAAAATCTTTGTCCGATGAGGCTAAAAATGAATTCAGAAATACAGCGTATGACCCTGAACACAACGATATGCAACACACAACTGTGAGTGCAACAGCGCCACCTACAGGCAGTTCAATGTGTCTCATTTTTGGCTTCGTTCTAGTCCCTGGATTTTCATCGCACAGACTTCTACCATGTCATTTCTCCATCTGGACGGATTGAAGTTATGCAATCATCGCATAAAAGTTAGAATTTTGTTATCGTTTTCATGCGAGGTAGCGGGGAATTTCTCCATGTTTGATGCTCTCCTGACCACAGGCTCAGACCTACAGAGCTAAAACTCACATCGCTAACAGTTGGTAATGGCCTGAGAGTAATGGTGTGAAAACACACACCTAATATGACTCTACAGCGCCACCTATGGAAGGCTTCTGACCTAAACTTTTCCGATCTTCACCAAAGTTGCAAAATCAAATCTTTACATCTGCACGAGCAAAATACTACTCTACGTAGAGGGTGCATGTCCCGGAGGTGACCACTAGGGACGCACTTTATCATATAAATGAGCTTTTATATACGTAATCCTGGTCAGATCGGGCTGCCAATTCGTTGGCGTGACGCTTGTGGGACCGGCGCCCAGGAGGCGGTCGCAAGAGGGGCGAGGCCTTTCATCGCCGCTTGCGGCTTTAATTATTATTATTTTCTGTTGTGCACTTCTGCAGTCTGTAAAATCTACAGCCAACTAATTCTAGAGGATTACTCCAGTCCAACCACAGATATACAATGCATTTTGACTATTGTCACTGGGCTTAACGAACATATCTCACCCTCCCAGGAGATAGGCACTTTCCCTGCTCTGAAACAGATTCTGAACTCAAAATGTGCAGTCCTCACTGAATGCTGTGATCAGAAACCATATGTACAAGTTTATAAAACAAGGCATCGGAGGAACTGTGAATCCAGAATGTTGTAAATATTGTACGTTTGTGTGCTGTTATTCCAATTGTCTGTTTTTGAAATGTTTATCTGGACCTTTTTATGTGTCTGCATAAAAAAACGGAAGTATTAACAACGAAAGGATTCATTTATTTCCCTGTAGAGTGCGGGCCTATGTAAGCGAGCAAACAAAAAGCCAATCAGGAGCCGCACTCATGGACAGGAGGCTGCTGATTGGTCCGTCGTTAGGAGCACATATTGTCATAGTATCATCAAAAAGACGGATAAGAGCCATTAGAACAATATGTGAAAGTGTCCATTTTTTGAAAAGCCGTATATATTTCAGTGCAGTAAAAATAGTTTCACCCCTTCTTGAGAAAAGTCTTTCCATTTTACTGCCAAAAAATATGTTTTTGTGCACATTAGGTGTGAACGGAGCTAAAGTGAGTGGCCGCACTTCCTGAGGCTTCATTGAGCTAGCAGATTAGCATTAGCATTGTTCACAAAATACAGTCTATTGGTTGACTAAGGGCTGTTTTACCTGCAACGGTTTGGGCCCAGTGATTCTTTGGGAGGGAGTGCTGCTGAGTCCTGAGGGTAGGGGTGGCGGCGGAGGGGGCGGGACTTGTCCACCTAACGACGTCCTCTGATTGGGGGAGGAGAGGTCGGTGGGGAGGGGCTCCAAAGGCACAGAAGCAGCTGAGGGGGGTGGGCCTTGTAGCGTGAGAGCCACATAGGTTCCAGCTGTGAGAAGATCGTTAGAAAGAGAGAAATTAGAGGGAGAAAATAGTTTATCTGGCTTTTTACACATTCCAAATATCTAAAAAGGAAACATATTGTACAAAATAGACTTTAACGTTTTTGTTTTATCAAGAGGGTTTAGAATGGTTTTCCCTGATGATTTGCACAACCTCTTAAGGATCACCCTCCCTGTACAGGGAGGATTCAGTTATTTTTCATTTAACAGCATCAGTATTAGAATTCACTTGTGTCAATATAGTCAAGCTATATCTCTTTTGAAAGCTTATTCCCACCTCTATACACGTATTATGTTCAAATAAACATTAAATATAACCAAAAGTAAGAATAAGTAGTCAAACTGTATATATGTTTAAAATATATATTGTCGTTTCTTACCTTGTCATGCTAATATTCTGGGGCAAATCACGTCTAATCCACACATGTGTGCATTTGTTTTGTTTGTTACGGTCTAGAGAATAATTATATCCAGTTGTTTTTTCTTCAAAGTCATCCTTATAGTAGATATCCACTTGTAACAACATATTTGAGTATTGAAAGTTGCACAAACAAAAACAAAACCTGTTCTTTGCGCACTGTATGAAGAGGACATTTTACTGTTTAGCTAGCGTCACTGGGTATGTTCGTCTTCCTCTCAGTCTTCCCTTCAAAACAAGCCCATTCCCGGACTTTTCAGTGCTATGGTTTGGAAGGTAGAGTAAGTTGAGTAAAACAAGCGCACCTAGATTTAGCGCTCCAATCACATAGATATCTGTGCGTCATGACAGCATTGTCTTGACTACCATTGGCCTATTTGGATGTCAATCAAATCATCTTGTAGCCAATAATCTCAGGTTTCAGGCGATGTGTCGGACTTCTAGCTTCCTCCCACTGTTCCCGTCATGTTTGAATGCGTAAAGAGGAAGACGGAGCCTCTTTCACGGAGAACACGCGCTATAACTATATAAATAATAGCTTTTCTGCAAACATTTCAATATCAGGAAAAAATGCTATTTATAGCAAGAGTAATAGCCAAAAAATTATATAAATGGATTTTTGGTGTAAAAACATTGATAATTTGCATGTAAAACACTTTTGCACAGTTGGCACAAAAATGGACCACTTGTGCCGAATGTGCCCATTAGTTACAAAAAAGCCCCCAGCATCAAAATAGTTCCACCTAAAGGTTTAAAATTTCATACAGGTGTTGCCAACACCACAAACATCTGCTCTGGTGAGTTTGAACATCATACCATAAAGTATGTCTTCAGGAGAACCTTTTGAAATTGCCTTTTTTTTTTTCGAGACAAAAAAAACTAACTTTGACTCATGTTTGAGAAGCTGTAGTGCAGACTGTGTCCTTCCTAACAAACTGTAACATACATTTTCAGAAACTACAAGGTGTTACCTTTCAAATGAGGCATCATAACACAAAATCAGACACAAGATGTCCACACAATAAGCATTTCCATTTAAGTATCATAATTCGAGAAGGAGCAGGCGAAATTAGGTGATCCTTAAAGGGAAAAGTTGCAGCGATAAGTTTGTGTAAGCTCTCAGTCGTACAGGGATTAGTCAAAGCAAAGGAAGGTTTCTCACCCATCATCTGTACTTCTTAGCAAGTTTTCCCGACGTTTCGTCCTCAACCTAGCGGACTTCTTCAGGGAATAAATTCTCGGACCGCGCGTTGGAGATTTATAACCTATGGGTGTGGTTAGCCACACCCTAATCCTGATACTAACTCATAAACAATCTAAGGTCTGCTTGATGTAGAAGGGAGCAGGTCTAACGACCCTGCTGAGGCTAACGACCCTAAAGCCTAGAGTATACTTGCGCGGCGTGGCTTACGTTAGCGGTTGCGGTGGACCTACGTAAGCACAATTGATGTTATACTGGCGCGTTCCCCTTACAGAGTTTTGAGGAGAATGTTGTAATCCCACAACAAACCACATGAGGGCGATCACACAGGAGCGGCCCCATTTACGCTGCTACTTTGTCCTCTTCAGAACAACAATAACAAACAAAGCTGTTTGAGCTCATTACACGTGTTTCTACTGTAGGTTTATGTGATAGTTTTATGGATTCATTATTTTATAAGTCATTTCAACTGTGATGCTGTGAATAAAGACACAGTTCTTGTTGGAAACATAGTTATTATTAAATAGTTTTCAGCACAAACAGCAAAACAATAATAGTGGTAAATATCTGAGACAAACATGAACGATTTACGAGTGCAGGAGGAAAGCAACAAACGCAGCTACGATTCAAACAAAGACAGGAACAGTGCAAAACAAACGACTGCACAGTTTATAAGTTATATATATGTTAGATATAAGTTATATATATGTTAGATATAAGTTATATATATGTTAGATAGTCCACAGTCTCCTGTATATCAGGCTCTGAGCCCAAACTGCTTTTCCTTCGAAGCGTGAAGCTCTCTGCTCCATAGTGCCTCGTCCATGTCCCTGCTGCAGCCGCTTCATGCTTCCTTCCAATACACACACACGGACCAATCACAGCGGAGATTCCTTGCGGCGACCCTTACGTAGTTAGAAAATTTCGATGCTGCAGGGCAGGCGACGTAAGGGCCTTGCGGTGACCAACGCGTTGCGCAAGTGACGTCACGTCACCTCCGTAAGCTCCGCGCCGCGCGAGTATAAACTAGGCTTAACTCCTTAGCATGTCACAGACCTATTGTCTGCTGGGATGCTCAAGTGGAGTGCAGGTCTCACCCCTCCTAACTCATTAGCATGTCCCATGCTAATGAGTTAGGAGGGTCGTTAGATCTGCTCCCTTCTACATCAAGCAGACCGTAGATTGTTTATGAGTTAGTATCAGGATTAGGGTGTGGCTAACCACACCCATAGGTTATAAATCTCCAACGCGCGGTCCGAGAATTCATTCCCTGAAGAAGTCCGCTAGGTTGAGGACGAAACGTCGGGAAAACTTGCTAAGAAGTACAGATGATGTGTGAGAAACCTTCCTTTGCTTTATTAAAAGTTGCATTTAGAGTGAAGCAGAAAGTACAATCACATCAGTCCAGATTTTATCTTTACTCTTTTGATGTACTGTGGTTATTAATTATGTTAATGTGTTTTTATATTGTTTTGTTCAGTACTTTGAGTTACCGTGTGCATGAACTGTGCTATACAAATAAACTTGCCTTGCCATAATCTGGCCAAGATCTTGTTTCCTACAGAATTTACTAAATAAGTGCATGAATGGAACCAAATCTTTTGTGTGTATTGCCTTTAACTTAATGCTTGACGAGTTTTTATGACTTACACTTGATGAGTTTGACAACCTCCTGATGGGTCATGGAGGACACCAGCGAGCCGTTCACCTGACGAAATGTTCAGATGTTTTACGTTCATATAAAAGAAACATATTCACAATGAATGTGGTTTGAATGGAACACAATTCAGAATTTGATCATACCTTTATGATTCGATCTCCTTCTTGGACCCCAGCTTTGACTGCAGCGCCGCCTACAAACAAGAAACATCACACAACATGAAAAACAACTGAATACGGAAGTGCACGATATTGGAAAACATAGAGATATGTGATGTAAATATGTTTCAGGATTTTATTGGTTTCATTGGCTAAAACTGTCAGAGTGTGACCTCTTTACCAAAGATTGTTCTGTGTTCAGCTCAGAGTGAGTGCTCCTGGTGTCTGTTTCCCATAGACCATGGAATATCATCCTGTTGTTGGGGCCGGACCTCATTTGCGATGTTTTCTCAGGCTTCATTTTTTACACATAAATATTATTTTAATGTATATTATTTCATTATATATTGTGGCAGAGCGCGGAGTGTGAGTGCGGCTCCAGAGCTCTGCACGAAGCACAGAGCTCACAGCACAATTCAATTTATTCTTGTATAGCCCTAACTCAAAACAATAGTTATCTCGGAGGACCTTACACAATCATTGAATTCACCGACACAGATCAAAGAATCAAACAGTTCAAACACAATAAATAAAACAGCAAAGCCTTTGGTACTGGTATTTAGTCTTTATATATAAATAATCTACTGTACCTTATATGCTGTTAAAAAACAGCATGTGTGTGTCAAAGAAACACATGCTTTTCACACACAATACTTTTCCGATGGATTGTGTAGCCTCATTTCTTTGATAGCTCAATTTTGAGATTAAAAATACGGTAACACATTTATATGAATAAAGAGCCATGAGTGTCATTGATTATTATAGACATATGTTATAGACATGTTAGCATGCAGACCTTACATTAATTACAGCTTCATTTGACCCCACCACAGTACTGGAGCTTTTAGAAACCGAGTAACGTCATGACAGATGTGTTACCTGGCCGTACGTTCTGGACAAGCTTCACTCTCTCCCCACACACGGTGAAGCCAAAGCCCAGCTGGTCCTTCTGAACCACTACACATCTCTGAACCAGACCAGGACCTGAGGAAAAACAAACTGTCACATCTAGACATGTCTTTGTGTATTCTATACTAATACAAAATTGTATGATCATCTTTGAGACTTTGTGACTTTATGTTGTAAGACTAGAATATTAACAGAAAAAAGACCTATTCAACATTTTCTGTACATTTTCTGCTTGTTTCCTATACATCATTTGGAATATACTGTATGTTACAGCAATGCATTGCCTTCAGTGTCAGAAAGCTAAGCAGTGCAGCAGAATGACAGCCGACAAACTGACCATATGTCTACTAAAGAACTCTTCATATTAGGGCTGTAACAATTTAATCGCAACTATCCATCCATCCATTTTCTTCCCCTTAATCCATTTCTGGGTTGGGAGGTGGCGGTCAGAGCTTCATCTATTACACAGAGCACCAGCCCCTCACTGATCCTCCTGCAGGTGGTGAGTCCACAGGAGCCTTGATCTTTCAGCAGGGGCTTCAGGCAAAGCGGGGTTAAGTGTCTTGCCCAAGGACACAACGATAGCAGAAGTGGTTCTCATGGTGGGCTCAAACCTTCAGCCCTAAAGGCCAATGCTCTACCAACTGAGCCACTGTCGCCCCAACTAACTAACTAATTAATTATTAATAGCTGTCAACTATTTTACTAATCTATAAAAAATGTTTGACCTTACATGGATTAAAAACCTTTAGTGGCTCAGACATCTCTACAATGACTACGAAATTAAATTACCAAGTATATCTAATCAAACCCAAACCTCAAACTCAATGTGTATCACATCCTCTCTATAGATGTTCTCCAGGGGCATCACATGAGCTTTGTTTTGGTGTTTAAAGAATCCCATATTCACTGAGTTTTTGATAGAAATAATAATCAGACAAAGTTAAAGAGACTTGAGATGACACAACAAACACCAGTATCAAGTTTGGTTTGATAAATAAAGAGGTAAAACTATTTTTTAAGAGGTCTCAGTATTTATTGAACAATCACTGCATTTGATCGTAAATGTTTATTATTGGGAATTTTGCCCAAATATTGTAATGTGGTTTTGACTGCAAAGGCCAAATAAACTGAGTGCGATCTCAATCATCTCCATTTATGAGGGAAATGTGTGTAAGTGTGTGTTGTACAATAAGACTTGTGAAGTAGAGAGTTGAATAATTAATATCCATGTTTGATTGTGGACACTAAATGAGAACTCATGTCTGTGAATCTGCCATGTATTTGTTGCAGCTGAAGTAGAAAATATGTCCTTGAGATAACCCAGATTTATAGTTGTGGCATCGAGTAGTTTGAATATAACATTTACTGTCAAGGAATCCTGAACTTTAAAAAGTGTAGCGAGTTCATTACCCGCGCTTTCTGTGGGGATGTCAGTGCAGGGCTCCCTCTGGTGGGCAGCGGAGGACTTGCGTTCTGAGTCCCCGATGGTTAAACTGCTCAACCTGGTTAGAAACAAAAATAACATTAATACCACATTGAATAATTTGAATCAAGCTACATAGTTGTCGTCCATGAACTAAAAATGAGTTGCAAGAAACCAAGAGAAGGGGAAACAAAGAAAAAACCTATGAATATTGAATGGAAATATATAGGCTAATGCAGCGACGTGACGAGATACAAGTCGACAAGAAGACTCACCAAGCAGCGAAAGGGCTGAAGGCGAGGCATGATAGAAGGAAAGGAGAAGAAGTCTGAATGAAAAACCTGCCTTAAGGTAGTAATAGGACATAGAACGGACCAACAAGAAGCCACACCATGACGAGAAAACCTCCTACTTTCAAACGGACTGTAAACACTGTGACATCTGTGTGTATTTAACCATCTACGACACTAAAGGACACAGTGTTTCTAAAATTGGGATTACCGCGACCCTGAACAAACATGAAAATTAGACCGTAAAGCTGGGGTAGCTAACTTTCAAACTTCAGCCATGTGCTGTTTGTTTGCTTGTTTGTAGCTCTCATAACACTGGTTTTTACATGCATGTATTTTAGTCCTTTGAATTGAGAACCAACTTCACTCAGCCAACCAGCTATCAGTCCAAAGTGTCAAATAGTGACTCACAGGGCTCTTTCTTACTAATGTGAAAGATAATGTTTTCTAATTAGATGAAGACATTTTGTTGTCATCTGATTTTACTTTTCCTTGAATCTTGATGTTGTTGCTACTGTAACTAACGCAAGAATGTTGGGTACCCCAGATTAAATTAAAGATTCAATAGGACACAAAACCTAATCATACATTATAGAAAACAAAACAAAATGCATTGTCTGGGTTGAAGAGGCTCAATGCATTAAATAAAACAAGACAACCATAGAAAACAAGGTCTTATCATGCATTGTATCCATGCACTTCTTCAAGACAACTTTAGAGAAGTTTGAATTGTCATGAGGATTTTAAATGGCCCACATGAAACTTGGACTTCTCTGCAGGATACGTCGGCTTCTATAAACGTCTAAGGAAATGCAGCGTTTGTGACCTGCTGCGAGCACACTAAACATCCGCCACACAATTTCAACTTCACTTTGTTCAACGTAACTTCAAAGTTATTGTGTGTATCAGAGGAGGACCGACACGATAGTTACAAGTCGAGAAGCAGGCTGATAACCGACACACAGAGCCTATTCATTTTTAGTAAATGGGATATCGACAAAAAATAGCAAATGGAAAAATATGAGGGCTGGGTGATCCGGCAAAAGTTAAAAAAATTGTACCTCCTTTTAGGAAATTACGATTTTAGCCAAAGTCACTAAACTGTTTGATGAAAATGCTCAATATTGAAATTTCAAATAAATGTATTCATTTCCATCCCAAACAATCATAAAAGTATAGTACAGACGCTGACATCTTAAATATAATCAACATTGGGGCTTTTTTTTCCCGTAAACTGAACAACTTTTCACATTTCTCATATTTTTTTAAAGGGGTTGAACGAATAAATTATTTCCCATTCCTGGCTCCCACTTTATAGACAGGGACAGCAGAATTAGGAGCGGTAAAGGAGAGGTAAAAAATGGGGGGTTGGATCTCCCAGGTCACAATACTAAAGATAGTTTTTACTTAGATTTTGAAATAATCCAAAATACCGTCAGACGCCACTGGATTTAGGTAGATGGGACTGATTACAACATGACTCGCGGGCTGGCACAGCTGGTGTGTTTCACAGCAGACTAATAAATATTTGAGTTTATCTATTATACACACAGAGTTGTATCATTATGGTTTCGACCAGTGGGCACCGAATGTATGGAGGAATTTTCTTGAAGTAAAAAATATTGGTCAAATATCCATGCTGATAATTGGCCCATCTGACAATCCGTCGATGCATACAATTAAAATACATGCAGGGTTCTCACCAGGATTGGTCACAGCATAAGGGGAGCCTTAAGTGCAGACACACAACACCATTTACTGCATCCCAAATGTTGGGAAGTAAAGGAGTATATTTATCTTTTATTACAGATTTACGTACAAGTTACTATTTAATTTGGTGAGAACCCTGCTATGTACCAGACAACAGCAACATGCATTTGATTGATACGTGCAAAATGAATATTAAGCATCCCCAAAAATGCAATGTGTTATGATCCTCCAATAGGCTGCATTCACGTCCCATTAGTTTCAATTGTAGCAGGAGGACAGGTCAGACTTCTATGGTATTTTACTCTTTCAGTCAAACAGATTTTATGTGTGTTTTTAATTCACATCTATGCATTTACTGGGATTTCACAAGTTCAACGTTTATTTGACAGTATAAAAAATCAGGACTTAAATTTGAGGATTTTCTAGTTCAGGGGAAAAAACAGTATATCTAAGAGTTACACAAACCCCTGCCCTCCATCAGAAACAATGACATTAAATTCTAGACGATGTGATCTAACCAAGCCGACTGTCCTACCTTGTCAAATGGACGTTTTTCCTATTGGTGGCCCTGACGTCACATGACACACACACACACACAGTGGACAGTGGATGAAGGACGAGAGAAAATGAGCAGAAAAACAGATGAAGACAAAGATGGCATCACGTGTGAGCAAGCAGCGACAATGCTGATGAAAACATTTAGTAACAGGCAAAGTAAAGGGGTACCAGCTGTAAAACTAGCACTCAACACTGAAGATGTAGAAGAAAGGGAAATGATTGTCCCAAGAGCAACTAACAATAATCAAACAATATTTTATAATTAACTGCAATGATTTTCAACGAGTACATGTAAGTCAGTTTTTGTGCAGACAAATTCACTTCTATAAAACAGACATGCATTTATCAGAAGGGTCTAAAATCAAAGTCTTCATGAAAGCTTTAAGGGGAAAGAATGAATGTAATCAATTATAAGCGATATAATGCCAAAATACTGCTTAATGTCTAATATTTCAGGCAAATAAGTTAGACTTATATGAAGCAAGATTGTGGTATGTTTTAATAAACACAGATCGGTGTTATTATGTTATGTGTTGGGCTATTGTCAGCAGTTTGATTGTGATTTGTCCATTATTCAATCAATAAAAGTGTTTAATTAAAAAACTCTTAATTTATTTAAATTACTAGAATCAAACACTAAGGAGTCAGAATAAACTATAAATTCACCAGTTTAGTCAAATCAAAATCAGATCAATGAATACTGTATTAAGAAAGTATTTGTGATTTCATGCTTAAAGGCTTGTCTGATTTGTTTGGGTCTAATACGTAATACTATGAGACTCGTAATAATCATTTGAGTTGACAAAGAAAAGCAATAGCCAATTACAGAATACGCATGTAGCTTCATTTTCTGGCATCACATATAAACAGCCAGTTTGACCAGTTATTCAAGAGACAAGGCTGGACTTCAGTCAGAACTGGGCAAGTCTGTCATTTCAAGACATGACTTCAACCACACAAGTGTAGGAGCACAGGGAGATGAGTCAGCTGCAATGGTGTAGTATTAGTGGTTGTGGTGGGATGAGTGTAGTATTGTTACCTGTCCAGGGTAGAAGTGGGTTGGCGTAGGCTCATGTCTGCAGCCTGCCGGGCACTCCTCTTCTTCCGGATGCTGGTTCTATTCTGTCACTGCGCCACGGCTATCATCACCATCTTGTCTTGCCTCTTGAGTTTTCATTCCACACAAAGCGCTTCTCTGTCTGGCTCTGATCCAATCTTCAAGTTTTCATGTAGGAAGCCCCCATCATGTGCCCGAACGCCTTCAACAAAGTGCTGCTAAAGCTCACCCTGAATGTCACATCTGGCCTTTGTTAAGAGTAAAATGGTTATAATAAATGTTCAATCCAGCTATAAGAGGCACGTGGAGGGGAGTCAACAAAGATCATCAATCATGGATGATATGTCTCGTTATTTTCTTTGGGACATCAACTCTCTAACCACTCTGTCTGCTATTGTAAACAATGTAATACAATGCAAACTGTTTACCATGTAACGCACTGAGGGCAATGCATGCAGTGACTCACAAAACAGCTCAAAACTGCAACCCTCTGAGCTTCAACATTATTTAAAGCTGCATATTGGATTTACAGTAGTATGCATACAGTCACTGCATCCACCATGGTGAGAACCAGTTTGTAGAATTGGTGCATCCAATGAATGATCGGTCACAGTTTTTTAAGAGGTCAGCTCGTGAGCACAGGCTAGCAGGCAGACTGTAAACAACTAAACCAGATTATACTCCTGGCAATCTATTACATGCTAACGACATAGCTAATTAGCAGGACCACTTGTGTTTGTTGTCGAAGCTGGAGCATAGCAGCAGTGCTTTTATTATTGCGAGTTCAGTCATAAATCGAATATATATTCCAACAATCACACAGTCCTTTGATGGTCATTCACTGGTTATTACCCTCCAAGAAAGGCCGCAGTCAATCCCCGGCATCGCGTACGTGGCGAGTCGGAATGTGCAGTGAAGTTTGTGCGTGCTAGCAAGCTAACCAGCTAGCTAGCCACATCTGCGGAATAAATTGATAACAGCATGGCGAAATTGCACGTATCAAAATAATGATAGCTACAAATTATGATTTAGTTATACGAACATAGCCCACGTTGTTACATCCACACAGAATTGAGCTTCGGAAAGAAACTTGCACCAAAGCACTGCAGATAGATAGCCGGGGTTAGCTAGCTAAAGGGTTCTGTAAAGAGCCACCATCCAAAGGCGATCAGTGCAGCATCAATACCCGGTATATTTTAGATGCCAGTCAATTGAAATAAGGCTTTGGGTCAATTCTCTGCCAACTCGATGTATCGCCTCATAGTCCAATCCAAAATAATGATGTTTTCGTTTTCCCCAAGTTGTTATCGGACTGTCTGGTGTCCTCCTCTTGGACCATACAAACACAGCACACCACGCCCCCTTGTGGTCAATGTACAGCGCTGCAGCCGCACGAGAGAAAGTGCCTGGTTATGTAAACTCTTCAAAGGCCAAAGAAGGTAAGCCGCTAAATCAACTGTCTACGATGCAATACTTCTGTAGTTTGCGTTTTAATGGAGTGACCATGTATTTGAGTTCATTTTCCTACCACACATTCTATATTCAAGTCCACAGTCATTTTTCTATTTTCTATTTTTGTATTCCAAATGGCAGTAGTGTGATGTATGTATATTTCTATCTGAGATAGATAGAAGATATCTAAGGTAGGACACTTGGAGCTCTTTAGCAATGAGAGAACCATTATTTTTTTCAGCTGCATAAATCTGAAATATCATGTTTAATTCTGACTCTGAGCACCGGTGCTCAGAGTCAGAATGCTCCTCAGAGTCTGAGTTGGTTCATACGGCACTATATGTCTCGAATGACTTTAGGTCATGGAGAGGCCATGGAGAGACTCGTAAACAAGTAGAGTTGCTTTAAAGTCTTTTCTCAGGACTCGGACTGCAGCTGTTCTACAACGTCACTATTTGACATATTGGGCTGAGAATTGAGTGATTGACTTTAAAGCACAGACATACTACGTGCACTAGACAACGCTCGTCTCTTGTCCTCTCAACAGTAGAAACATATGTTCTGGAAAAGGCGCACAGAAATCCTCATGGGAGACACAATAGCAGGAATAGTATGACACGTTCACTGCCGCTTGAGGGGCCTCTACACTTTACCAAATATGGCCTGCGCGGGGCGTGCGTCCCACTGAAATGTGGAGGATGGAGAGATGCGTTGCCACCCGCTCAGTTCAGGAACTTGAAGAAAAGCACGCCTCTTTTTTGTGCAAACCCCAAACTGTTAACTGCTCCCGGTTTAAGGTAAGGTTAATTAAATGCTCCTTATATACAGTTTAATTGCTCAACGATCTCCTTCCCTTCCTTTGTCATCACAGTATATTTTGGGAACAAGGGAAAGAGGTGGGCGCGGTATGTCCGCTATGTGCATAGATAACAAACTTTACGCTTGATTTAGCGACCCCAACATGCTTTTGTGCGCACGGGGGTTGGAACTACTAGTTTTAGATACTGAGATATGCAAATTTAACAAACTGCAGATACACTTGCATTGAAAAAAACTATCGATATTCTATGCTATAGAAAACCGTCCACTAATAGTAAAAGCCGGGGTACCAAACTTTTATTGTTCATCAATTATCCATGTTGTTTGTCCCAACAGAAAGAGTCTTATAAAAGTAAACTATTGAGAACCAATCAAACCATAACATGCTGTCTTAATTTATTTGAAATGATATTTTGCATATATCTAAGAAGGAGGTCTGTGAATTGAGCTGGCGTTGGTCTGCTCGTTTTGACTTTTCCGTCTAAGAAATCTGATATAAAGATGTGACAGAGGCTCAAAAGACATGTCTATAACTAGTGATAGAGACAAACCTTTTTGAGAGCAAGGAACTTGAGGAAGTGACATGGATTTATTACATGGCTTCATAGTTTAGGAAGGTTCATCTGGTCTTCTGTTGACATACAAGTCTTTGGTTCTTCTATGGTATGGAAGAACCAAATACTTTTAGCTCCATTTTTATTCTTTGAAAGTTAGATGCCCCAGCTTTAATTTGTCCTCTTGCTCAACTTCTTCTACCATCTGTAGGCTCAATGTGACATAGGTGAAGACTTTTGGTTTAGTGGTACAAACCAAATTTCGAGTTAGTAACCACAAGGACAACCTAATCTGTTTCCTGTCTTTGGGTTCACCACAAATGCTCTCTGCATTGCATTTGCTCAAAACAAAGTACACACCTTCCAGCAGGGCTTCTGAAACATTTCCGTCAGGGCCACCAGATTTGCATGAACACAACTTACCCACTGAATAAAAAGTACTAATTTGACGTATTCAAGTGTTGTTTATTTGAGTCATAATTATAACGCTTTGATTTCAGCGCTATTTTGGACACTCAAAGTATATTAATTAACTCCATACACGGCGGTAAACTACTTCTCTAGCCACAGCTGGGGCACACTGACAGAAGTGAGCCAAACGGTATGTGCCATCGACCCCTCCGACCACCACCAACCAATCGCACACCAGACTCATACTCTGCAACGTGGATGAACACAACAGCAGTTTGACACTTTACTGCTGCGCCGCTGGGGACGGTCTCCCATCACGGTGCTAACTGAGTTCTGCCCTGCTTAGTTTCAGAGGTCTACTGGGATTTGGCTTTCACATACAGGTAGTGTCACCAAATGTTCAGTAGGGCTGTTATGAATTATTCGCAACATATCAAGTTTTATAATAATCAACAACTATTTTAATTACTTTAATAGTCAGTGTGAAATGTTTATCAAATCAGACACTGGCGAATCTAAAAACCTTCTGAGATAAGATAAGAGATACTTTACTCGTTCCGCAGTGGGGAGATTTCAATGTTGCGGCGCACATACAGGACAGCAGTAAGAGCACACAGGGAGCACACAAAACATACAGTATAAGTAGCTGCTATTTTTTCTTAGCTAGCTATAAATCGTTGTTAGTGACGGCCGAGAACAGGAAGATGGTGAATAAACATCCAGAGGTCGAGCCGACTTCAACAATTACATTACTCATCTTCTCAGTAACTTTGGGACTTTCTGTAATTTGAAGGGGGAAAAAAAATAGAGACACCACTGAGGGTAGAAAATAAGTAATGTCTGAACGCACAATTATTCAAATCATTTTATCTTGTTTTTAAAGGTGGCGTTGATTGTTGATTTTATCAGAGGTTGTACTGAAGTAAATGTATGAAGTAAACTTTAAAGATGCAGTCAAATGCATTTTTTTTTTAAATATATTTTTAGAAAACTTCCCTAAACCCTAAAAGTAGTCAAGTTATTATGTGTTTTCAAATAGTAATGGAATTTTCCAGATGCCTATAGTCTCCAAAAATGAATTCAACATATTTTGGATCGGACCGATAAAATAAACCAATAAGATTCGTTCATCCCCAACGAACCAATGGGATGCGTTTACCCCCTTCACCCTCTTCCTGTTTCTCGGGAGTGTGCGCACCTGAGTTATCGGATTATTTTCTAAAATCTGATTATTTTCTAAAACCTTAAATGGCTGAACAGAAAATGCCAATTTCACGTTTGCCACCCACTCTCCCTGTTGTGACAAAGAAAAGAAAATGCTGGATGTTTGGTTTGGTGGAGAGGCGAGGGGAGGGGGGAGTGGTTTCGAGTTGGTGCTACGGCTAAAATAGCGAAATCGCTTGGATTAGCAAGATCTATTTTAGTGCCATACAAATAAACTTTCACCTGTTCTTGAGCAAATTCTTTCAAATGTACTGCCAGTAACAAAACATGTTGAAGATTGTAGCAGGCGGACTAGAACTTTTTGACAATTTTTCAGAACTGAGACCTCTGTTTTTGCACATGAGCACTTCAAATATAAATATGTTGTCTGAAAATGATGATGAATGCTATATTTCCAAAAGTCGTCTATGAGCAAATTTCACTGAACTCTTCACCTCTGGGCATCAAGTTTGTGGAAAACCTCGCCCTAAGATTAGATTTAGATTGGATAAAAAGCAAATGATGATAAATGAAGCATAAGAATATTTGAAACATCACATCTTACAACCGCAAACATGCAACTCATTTTCTTTATCTCTTTTTCTTAGTAAATTTGCCTTCCAGTATTCTGCCCTTGTAATGATGAGTGCCTGGTCCCGCCCCCTGCTGTACATGCCTTGAGTGTTGCATAATTCCTGTTTTAAGTCTTCCTCTTTATAACAGGAAGGGCCTCAAACCTAATCCGAGGTAACGAGCGACATGTTTTTGTTTCAAGGCAGACGTATCGTGCAAACCTTCCTGGAGACGAGAGCACAATATTTTTATTTGATTTGCATTTATTGTGTAATCAGCAGCTCTTTATACAAATCCTAATGAGTGTAATTCAGAGGTTCTTAAACATTTGAGTCGAGGAATATGTGAAGCAGTGGTCAAAAAAAAGGGGAAATGCAATTAAAAGCTTGTAGAAATCATCTCACCAGCCCTTTGGGGAGCACTGGTATAATTTAAGTATAAAAGGTAAAGTATCTTACTATTGTGTGGATGGCTAAAGAGAATTCCCTCCCAGTAAATGTTTTTATTGGTTAATCAAATCAAAGAAGGCCTATACTATGATACGGGTGTGTACTTGATATATACATCAGCACTAGAGGGAGTCATTGGTTTTGGAGAGGATAAAATAACAGTCTTAAACCTGGGACTTTCCAAACTCGAGCATCACTTCCTTTGATAACGGATGCAGGCCTCAGCTTGATATATATATAGTTAAGGAGAGTCCCTGATATATTTTAACAATGCTTCTGCTAAAGGATCTGATAACAATTGAACAAGCCAAATTAAAGCTGTGGGAACCTAACTTTGTTGCTCAAAAAATAACACATATAGTTTGTTGCAACAGAAAAGGTCTCAAAAGAAAAATGTTGTGAACTAATCATACCGCAACACGCTGTCTTCATCATATTGGAAAGTCTCTTGTCCTGTGAGTTACTATTTGAAGCTTTGGGCTGAGAGCTGATTGGCTGAGTGAGGGTGGTCCACTCTTTAGAAGGTCCTTTATTCGTCCCACAATGGGGAAATTTCAGTTTGATGCATACACATATACATAAACACATACACATACACATATACATATACATAAACACATATACACATACACATATACATATACATAAACACATATACACATATACACATACACATATACACATACACATCAAGGCAAGCAACGAACATCACTTCCTCGCTCCTTATAGGCAAAGTGGGTTATAACTGTCTTGCCTGGTTTCTATCTAAAGCTGTGACATAACCCAAAACACATGCTACTAGTGATAGAACCAAACTGTTTTGAGAGTGAAGAACTACAGTATTAAATATAGCACTCCCGCTTCTCAGAAAGAAGGTCCTGGGTTCAAATCCCAGTCAGAACGGTTTCTTTCTGAGTGGTTTTTGCATGTTCTTTCAGTGTCTGTGTTTCTCTGTGTGCTCCGGTTTCCCCTACCACTAAAATCATGCACAATATGTCAAATCCTCCAGCTTCGGTAGTCCTGACCAAGAAGAGTATCAATAACTAGAGATAGGTGACCTACGGCGATCGCTGCTCCTGACAGAAGCCTTGGTGGCAATGAAGGATTGATCGAGTGCAGAGGACAAAGCTTAAGATAAATAAAATGCAAATTTACATTACATTGATCCATTTGTTGTTTGAACGACAGGTACCCCTGCATTTACAATATATTTGTTGTTTTACAGAACTTGTGATGCTCATCTGAGGCCATACTACTATTCACTTCCTCTATCTGCACCAGGTGAACTGAAGCGTATCCCATCATGCCTCTGGTCATCCTCCCCACCTCTCAGCTGCTCTGGGTGCGGCTGGTGGCCCTAGTTTTCACCTGCATCGCCTTCAGCGCGGTCGCCCATGGGGGGGCATTGTACAGTGGCGGAATGGCCGACTGGTGCATCTTCTGCTGGGCTTTCAGTTTCGCCTGCACCCTTCTCGTACTCTTGGTGGAACTCTTTGGCCTCCAGGTCCGTGCCCCCGTCTCGTGGACCAACTTCCCCATCACTGTCGCCTGCTACGCCGCCCTGCTCTGCCTCTGCGCATCCGTGATCTTCCCGCTTTATTTCCTAAAAGGCGCCAACATACACAGTGAAGCTAGGGACCATCGCATTGTCTCGACCGTTTTCTCCTGTCTGGCGGCGGTGGCGTACATGGCCGAAGTGAGCCTAAGCAAAGCCAGACCGGGAGAAGTGACTGGCTACATGGCGACCGCCCCTGGCCTGCTCAAAGTGTGCCAAACATTTGTGGCTTCCGTGATTTTTATTCTTGTCAGCAACCCGGTATCGTACGATTACCATGCTGGTTTGAAATGGTGCATGGCAGTCTACTGCATCTGCTTCATCCTCTCCATGGCGGTGGTGATACTGTGCGTTGGGGAGTTGACCGGCTGCCTCCCCATCCCGTTTTCAAAGTTTCTATCCATCTACGGGCTGCTGGCTGTTGTCATGTACTTGTCAGCCACGATCATTTGGCCCGTGTTTCAGTTTAATAAGCAGAACCAATACCGCGGCAACAGGACCAATCTGATCTCCGTGTCTGTCCTCACGGCCCTCAACTTTTTGTTGTATCTCGCAGATCTCGCCTACTCCGCCAGGCTCGTATTTGTAAGCGCATAAGCCATAGACTGTATATTGATAGACAATGATAAAACCATTATCTCCATGAAGCCTAAACGGGAAGTGCTCATGGGGGGAATTTTTGCTCTATTTTGCCAGTCACTTGGCTCCTTTAACCATAACCGTCTGTGTCACAATCGCCATTTTGGGAAAAACATCCATGGTTAAATGCTGTGTATGACCCTGGTTTTTATTGTTACGTTGTCATTGTAAGTCCAGTTATGAGCCCTTTCAACTGACCAATCAGCTCTCAGTTCCTGGATTCTGTTTGAGCTTGCTGCAGATAAGACCAGTACCACTCCTGATTGGTTACTAGGGCATTGCTACCTACGGGTCCAGATTCCCACCGATAGAGACTGCTTGAGTTAGCTCTAAATGTTTTTTTTGTTTTGTTGCAAATTCAGCCCAAGGGACATTTTTTAGTGGCGTCTGAACGGATTTTCCATTATCATGTTTTGCTGCATTGATGGTAAATTGCAGCATTGATGGTAAATTGATAACGTGGCTTCTGTGGCATGGTAAACCTAATTTTAAAGATACAATTATACACAACCATGTAATTTAATCTGTTCCAAAATTTTACCTCAACCTAAATCATTGGCAGTCAACAAATTAAAAGCCTTATTTATTTTTGGTCCAGTTTTTGTGCACTTTATTTTAAGTGCAGAAGGAACCAAATTCCACATTTAAAAAGAGCAAGCTGTGAATGTTGGACAATGCTGTACATGTGTGCATGGGATGGAGGACGAAGCATGGCTTTTCTGTCACAAACCGCGTTTTTATGTTAATTATGTGAATTTCACGGTTGCCAACGCTGTCTACTGATTTACAAGTGGTCTGTATTCACTGACAACTCAACACTTAAAGAATGACAGTGGGGAGTTTTGTTTATTACTGTAGTTAGGTTTTATAATATACTGCATGTTTGTTTTGGAAACAAATCTGTGAAAGAAATGTAAAAAATAAAGAAATCCACTCCACAAATACATATGTTGTGTACGTATATTTGATGTCTACAATGTTCCACTCGACTGTGCCATTATGTAAAATTCTTTATGATTTATACTAGGTTTATCTGACAAATATTCATTGTTGAGAGTAAAGTTACTTTTGTGATACGTTACAATTGTGAAACTCATTACAAAAGCGAAAATTGGTAATAGATTATGAGTAACTCAAGTAACATACATTATTGTATGTACACATTTGCTTTGATTTCTCACCGATTGCAATTCATTTGAGAACAAACATGATAAATTATAGTTCATTTAACTTGTGAGGAAAACAAGAGAGCTTTATACTACTTGATATATTACATTTATCATCCCAGTGATTTAAAGTAACTTACCCAACAGAAACACTTATGAAAATAGATTGACTGAACATTTCACTTTGAATAACTGTCTCTAACCACATGAGCCAGATAGTGATGGCAAACAAAATACTCGTCCATGAAGGGGTAGTGTGAAACCAGCCGGCAGGGGGCGCCTCTGTGACAAATAACTTTCTGGTCTGTCCACTCTGTCCCATAAACCGTAAATAAGTCGTGTATTATTGGTAATGTAATATTACATAATATAACAAATGGAGTGACTAGGGTAGGCTAAAGCTGCTTCTTCTTTGAATGCATTTACGCTTATTTAAATGTACAATCTGAACTCAAATGGGAAAGCAGAAGCCTGTAGAAAAAAGGCAGAACCCGAAAAGCTTCCGTGAAATGCAGCGCTTCCTGGAAACTGAAACTATTTCTCTGAGCATCTGTGCAAGACGCAACACACGACCTCCGACACACCCGAGACCTCCGACAGCTCCGAGACCCGAGAACCACCCGCTATGGCATCCGCTGGTGAGTGCATTCAATATTAGGCATTATTATCAACTTTTTTGTGTGCCAATGTCCTGTTATTTGTCTTTTAGGTTGATGCACTTTTGTTACCAGTTACCAGCATAATACCTAGATATTATGTATTTCTTTTAAACCAGAAATTACACTAACTTAAACACCTTCCCCATTCATGGGTCAAAAACACTTTCAGCTGCATGAAATAATCTATAAAGCATCCATGAAAAGAATATGAAGATTTTCCTGGGTTAGGGTTAGTACAGAGGAAGGTGTGCCATAGTTCTTTATTTGCGTTATAAGAAATAATTATATTAAAAGTATGTAAAAAAAAAAAAAAAAAAAAAAACAGAAAAACGATACTGCTAGTCTTATTTAGTTATTCATATTTATTTATTTTTGTTGTTTTTTAACTGTAAGTAATTATTATTACGGATGAGCCCCCACTTTATGCTAAAAAGTTGTTAAGGCCAGTTGTATTTGTCCACTCCAATGTTTGGTTTAAAGGGGCATTATGCAACTTTAGTGAAAAAAGTGTGTATTCTTGCATGTTAGACCTTGTAGTGACCCAGTGGCTGTTTGAGAGGTCAGCATGGTGCCTTGACCTTCCATCTCAGTGGTCTCTAGGATGCTGTAGGATCCATTGTTTGGAAGGTTGTCTCTGCAGACGGACCCTCTCTCCAGAAACAAACCTACACAACAGTTGATCCTGTAGATTTGAAAACTGCAGACACAGTCATGATCAAAAGCAAAGTCATCATGCGGACACGGGAAATGCAAGGATTTAAAACAAAAAACATAGATCCATTGGTCCATGAGGGGCAGATGATCATTATCCATACATGTTGATAAAGTCCATAAATGTCGGTGTTACTAGAAGGTCAAGAAAGCAAAAACATCACCTTTTTCACACAAATAAGATGAATAATTAAGGTTTGTGTTGAGTTGTATGCAAATAAACCATTAAAAACGTCATATATTTTGTTGTTGATGTATTTATTAATAAATGTAAAACCTGTACATTCAATAATGATAGTACAGACATATAATTTAATGAGTTCATAAGTATGGGAGTATTAACAGTTCACTAAACCTTTGGTCCTTTCTTTATTTTACCGAAACAGCAGAAGACAGGACGGTTGTGCTCCTCGGAAAGACCGGTTCTGGGAAGAGTAGTCTGGCCAACACCATATTTGGAGAACAATTATTTACAGTATGCCACTCTCCCACCTCTGGAACTGTATTATGTCAGTCTGAGGTCAGAAATCTGCACTGGAGAAGAGTCCAGCTGGTCGATACACCAGGGCTGTTTGACACCAACCAAGATTCCCCTGATTTTAAAAAAGAAATCCTCAAATCGATGATCAAGTGTTCTTCCGGAGTGCACGCATTTCTCCTGGTGCTTAAAGTGGAGAGGTTCACCAAGCACGAGTTATCTGTGGCTGAAATCATCTGCGAGCAATTCTCCAAAGAGGTTCTGAACCACAGCACAGTGGTCTTCACTCAAGGAGACCAGTTGGATGAGGGGGTGACTATAAAGGAATGGATCAAAGATAACAAAGCCCTGAAGAGGCTGGTTGAGTTGTGTGGAGGCCGCTGTCATGTGTTTGATAATAAATATTGGAAGTCTGGTGACAACACCTACAGAAGCAACAAGTACCAGGTCCAAGAGCTGCTCAAAACCATCGATCAGACGGTGGAAAAGAATGGAGGGAAATGCTACACCAATGAAAACCTTAAACAAGTGCAACGGAAACTGAAAGAAGAGAGAAAGGCAATCAGATCATCACCTCAGTACGCCCACCTGCCAGAGGAGGAGAAAGACCAGAAAGCTGAAGAAAACACTTTTAGTTTTTTTTGGCCCATGGTGACTGCTTTGAGTGTGGTGGGAGCACTTCTTGGGTTTGTGGTTATGAGGTCTTAGGCAGACGAGAGCAGCTTAATCTACTGATCCGTCTATTAAAGCTGGGCTTCCTAACTTTCAATCCACAAACAATAAAACTATTTATTATATGACTTGGACCGTACGCACGCTCTGATTGGCTGATTTGCGTTCTGATATTTTCCCATCTCGGACCGTTTCCATGACAATTGGTCCAAACAGCGCGTATCACATTTGATATCGTTCCTCGGACCGTTACCATGACAATCTGTCCGCAGCGCGTATCACACAAAACCAAGTAGGACATGAACATACTTCACAAATTTCTCAAAAGCATTGGTAAAGACACAGACGAGAGTCATATAATAAAACATTAACTTCGCTTGCTCGGTCTGTACAGAGAAATATCAGACCTTGGCCTTTTTGCACAGACCTCGCCACGGCTCGGTCTGTACATTAAGGCAGCGGTCTGATATTTCTCCATACAGACCTCGCGCTCGGTTAATAAGCCGTTAATACACATTCATATAATTCATTTAACCAGGGCCTCAAAACACTTTGCTTCTATCACCAGTTTTCACTTTCTTGTATTTTTTGCCTCTGTTGCATCTTTAAATCAGCTTTTTCAGAAAGAAAAGAGAAAAACAGGGGACCACCCTCCCTCAGCCAATCAGCTCTCAGCCCAATAACGCCAAACGACTTGCACAGCAAAAAAAATCTTTATGAGATAAGCCAGCATTATGTGGTCTGATGTGTTTGTAAACTGCAAATTGTAATATTCAATACTATCTCTGGACAAATGTATTATTTCTGAAGAAACAAAGTTAGCTTAAATAGTAACTAGAATCCAAATGGCAAATGTAGTGTTTCTTTATTTGTTGTCGCAGTTATTATAAACATAAAAACATACCACACACAGGTCCAGGACAACAACAAGCCTTATTGTAAAGCTCTTTCTATTTCTAACCCTGTTTGTGACTCTTAATCACGTGTATTTGAAATATTATACCATGTTTTATTTGTAATGGGATCTTTTGCAGAAATGTTGATTTATTTTACAATGTTTTTGATTTCTCCTAAACAACTATTTAATTATACTTCAATAGTTGTTGAATTTTTATCCAATATGTAATCACTTTATTTTCCATTTTAAGTTTGGTGTTATTTGAAATGTGATCCACCCCTGACGCTGTGATTAAGCTGCATATACAAATAAAAGATTCAAGGACATTCTGTGATGTTACTGTATCTCTTTCCTTCCATTCCCTGCAGGCCGCCCCCAACATAATAACTCACTCCAGACATGGCACCAATTCATTTAACGCAAACACATCAGGTTTCTGTTGGTACATTATACAACTGTAAGATCACACTAAGTGAATTTAAACAGCATTTAGCTTTACATCTGTTAGAAGTAAAAGTTTTAGGCATGTGTTTGATGGTTTCCTCCCACATGTGTTTGATGGTCTCCTCCCACATATGTTTGATGGTCTCCTCCCACATGTGTTTGATGGTCTCCTCCCACATGTGTTTGATGGTCTCCTCCCACATATGTTTGATGGTCTCCTCCCACATATGTTTGATGGTCTCCTCCCACATATGTTTGATGGTCTCCTCCCACATGTGTTTGATGGTCTCCTCCCACATGTGTTTGATGGTCTCCTCCCACATGTGTGCGAGGGTCTCCTCCTGGTGCCTGGTGCCTGACTGCACCAGGCTCCTCCTGGTGCCTGGTGCAGTCAGGAAGATCCCGTGATTAATCAGGGAGGAACCTAACGAGTCAGATGCAGAGACGGGAAACTGATACGAGGAAGAACGTACGGCTCACTCCGCTGTTTAGTTTTGGAATGTGTAAACTTCCTGACTGTCTTCTATTCCCCACATTTTGTTGCTTGTCCTAACGCCCCTTCCGTTTTGAGAGCTACTCTTATAAAACAAAAAGAGCTACAGTGCAATTTTCAGTAGTCACAAAAAACCTTTACAATACAATGCCAACTGTTTTCTGGCTGTTCAGTTGAAACCAGCATTTGGAGTACAGCCTCACATAGAAATGAGCGACATGGCAAAAAAGGGAATTCTCACATTTTTGATTATTATTATTATTTGGATGATTACGATTCAATATGTGTAACCAAAGTCACTATAATGTTTAGTAAAAAAAGCTTGATATTTGAATTTGATATATTTCTTATTTCCATTAATAGCCTACAGACGCTCACATCTGAAATGTAATCGATGCCTTTTCTGCTCTCTCCAGACCTCCCAGAAGCAAAGGCATTGGCTGCATCTCCTGACACTTATTCCACGATGTTTTTTCACATCTTTGATTAGATTTTAATTTTACAAATTCCATGTATTATCAATAAAGCATCACATACTGTAGCCTTATTGTTGCATTCATGTTGTAGTGTTTAGTTGAAGGGCAGGTGCCAATACAACACTAGGGAAAGAAGTGAAAGAAGAAATGTTTGAAAGAAATGTTCAAAAATAAAATACAAACTTTTTCCCATATTATTATTGAAATTACAGGCCTCCTCCATCTTTTTAAGTGGACAAACTTGCACAATTGGTGGCTGAATAAATACTTTTTTGCCCCACTGTAGCCGTCGTCCTCATGCTGGATATTGAACTATTCAACTTCATAAACTTCTGTCTCTTTCTTCCTCCAGGTGAAGACAGAAGGATTGTGATTCTTGGAAAAACAGGCTCAGGTAAAAGCAGCCTGGCCAACACAATTCTTGGGGTTAAAAATGTGTTCAAAGTGTCTCACAAGTCAATCTCTGAGACACACACATGTGACTCCGAAACTCGATTTGTCCACGGCAGAAACATCACCCTGATCGATACTCCAGGGGTCTTTGACACGGACCCCAGAAGCACCGAGGAGGTCCCTGAGCTCCTCAGGTGCATTCTGGCATGTTCCCCTGGCCCTCATGCCTTTCTCCTGGTCCTCAAAATGGAGAGGTACACGACACAGGAGCAGGCCGTGGTAAATGTTATACTGAAGTATTTCTCTGAAGAGGCTCTGAAGTACACCACGGTGGTCTTCACTCACGGCGATGAGCTTCCAGAGGGACTCACACTTCGTCGGTGGGTAGACCAGAATAAATCTTTGAGCGCTTTGGTTCGGAAATGTGGAGGCCGCTGTCACGTGTTTGATAATAGGCGATGGAAACGTGGCATTCACCCATTCAGGAACAACCAGCTCCAGCTCTCAGACCTGCTCGACACCATCGACTCAACCGTGCGAAATAACAACGGGAGACATTACACCAACGACATGTTGATAAAGTTCCGTGATGATCTGCAAAAAGAGGTGAAACGCATTCAACGTAGATTCCCACAGTACACTTATCAAGAAGTTGTTCAGGAAGCTAAAAATGTGGTGTGCAGTACCCTGGTGACAAACATGAAAGGTGCAGTGGTGGGAATGGTTATCGGGGCGTGGTTGGGATCAGGAGCGATGGTGAAGGTCATGGTGATGCCTTCTCCAGATTTGCTTCAGTACGCGGCTGCCTCAGGGGCAGCGCTCATGATGTTACCCTCAGGGGCCATGGCGGGTGCACTGCTGTCGGACAAATATGTCTCCCTCACAGAGGCGGCTCGAGACACCAGAGAATTGCTAGACGAGATAGTCCTCATTTGGAACAATATACAGTCTTTAGGCCTACGTTAATTAAAGCATGTGACAGAATGATTTTTACTAAAATGCCTTCATTCACCCGATAGACCAGAATAAAACTGTGGAATCAACTCAAATATGAAATTAAAAGTTCTGCAAATATCCACATGTTTAAGGAAACAACAATGAAATCATATCCATCCATCCATTTTCTTCCGCTTCATCTGTTGCCGGATCGCGGGGGCAGCAGTCTAAGCAGAGACGCCCAGACTTCCCTATCCACACACACTTCCTCCAGCTCCAGACCCCAAGGCGTTCCCAGGCCAGCTGAGAGACATAGTCCCTCCAGCGTGTCCTGGGTCTTCCCCGGGGCCTCCTCCCGGTGGGATGTGCCCGAAACACCTCCCCAGGGAGGCGTCCAGGAGACACCTGGAACAGATGCCCAAGCCACCTCAACTGGTTCCTTTCGACGTGAAGGAGCAGCGGCTCTACTCCGAGCTCCTCCCGTGTGACCGAGCTCCTCACCCTATCTCTAAGGGAGCACCCAGCCACTCTGCGGAGGAAGCTCATTTCGACCGCTTGTATCCGCGATCTCGTTCTTTCGGTCATTACCCAAAGCTCATGACCATAGGTGAGGGAGGGAACGAAGATTGACCGGTAAATCGAGAGCTTTGCCTTTCGGCTCAGCTCCCTCTTTACCACAACGGTCCGATACAGCGACCGCATCACTGCGCACGCTGCACCGATCCGCCTGTCAATCTCACGCTCCATCCTTCCCTCACTCATGAACAAGACCCCGAGATACTTGAACTCCTCCACTTGAGGAAGGACCTGTCCACCCACCTGGAGAGGGCAAAGCACCTTTTTCCGGTCGAGCACCATGGCCTCGGATTTGGAGGTGCTGATTCTCATCCCAGCCGCTTCACACTCGGCTGCCAACCGTCCCAGTGCATGCTGCAGGTTCCCACATGGGCGTTGAAGGACTCCAAGAAGGCCGGGTACTCTGCACTTCTGTTAGGCCAGTAGGCCGTCACAACAGTGAGAGACTTGTCCCCCACCCGGAGGCGGAGGGACGCGACCCTCTCATTCACTGGGGAGAACTCCAACACATGGCGGCTGAGATGGGGGGCAATGAGAATGGCCACCCCAGCTCGCCTCCTCTCCCCGCGGGAAACACCAGAAAAGTAGAGTGTCTAACCCCTCTCAAGGAGTCGGGTTCCAGAGCCCAAGCTGTGTGTGGAGGTGAGGCCGACTATCTCTAGTCGGTATCTCTCAACCTCCCCCACGAGCTCGGGCTCCTTCCCCCCCAGTGAGGTGACGTTCCACGTCCTAACAGCCAGATTCTGTGCGCGTGGACCGGGTTGCCGAGGTCTAAGCCTTCAACTGCCGCCCAGTGAATAATTAGGAAAAAACTATATATAATTTTGAAAACAAAACAAAACAAAACAGTTGGAAGGAGTGCTGCAGTCTATCACCAATTTTTTTTTAGGAACAACGGTATTTTTTTTACAATACCGTTGTTCCTGAGGAAACTCAGGAACAACGGTATTGGACTAATGTAAATATGCTGGATTATAGCCACAGATACAGGGCCTATTTTTTATTAAATACACAAAGGCAAGTTTTACCGCATCATAAACTGTATTCATTATCAGCTTTACTTTTACTATTCAACTTTTTATACTTTTGTAATCGTTATAACTAAATACAATGTATTTTTATACCATGGAAATATTTACTTTGATATCATTTTAACTGTATCTGTTTCATATGAAGACTGTCCTCAAGATATGATGCAAATCCAAATATAAGTTAAATATTCTATTGCAGGGGTCACATCTTTACTATGTAACTTTCTTTTCAACATATTATACTTTTGTAATTACTTATAAACCAAGGACCATTTTCTTTTTATCTGTCACTGTTTCATTTATGTTTTGTTTTTATGAAGAGTGTCTTCAAAATAATGCAAATCTTGATTAAAAAAAAAGTTATTGTTACGTTAATTATTTTGTTAAATGTGTATATTTGAGTAGGGACAGCACACATGAACATGTAGATGACATGGTGTCATTTATAAGCAATTTCTAATATTCTGGGCCAAACATACTTTATGTACTGCTGTGTATTCTATGGGGGGTTGCATTTTAATACTACTACTATTGTTAGCTGTATACTTTTAAAATTATCTACTTATGGATGTCTTTCCGCTGCTACAGGACACCTGAATTTCTTCTATGGGGAATCAATGAATTATCTATCTATCCATGTATTTGTTTAAAAAACTAAAGGCGGTCACATGCTTTAAACAATGGAGGTCACGTCCCATGTCTACATTTGGCTTTGACTGGAACACTGTTTAGGACACTGCTCCCTTCTTCAAACACTTGAGATACCAACCACCAGATACATTTGAACTCTGTACATTTAACTTCAACTTAACACCACTTTCTACATTAAGTCTAAGTCTAAGTAGGATTTGATCACTCTGCACTGTGTCATGGTGGAGTCACTGGGATCGCAGGGTTTTTGGAGATTACATTTCCGTCCTTCAGTTGCGCCTGGTGCCCTGCTCTCCACTGCTCCCTCAGCTCTGAAAAAGGGTTCTCCTGGCTGACACTTCTCACATCCACAAAAGAGAGAAAGTGACATCTTTGTGAGTTGTTGTTGTGCAGACACGTTATCTGTCCTGCAAGTGCGTGTGTTAAAAATATAGTGCGAGAGAGCGACTGTGTTGTAGTCTACAGGAGCGAGGCAGCCATTTGGAGGCGTGGGCAGTGCGCTGACTTCCTGTAAAACAAAAGTGAAAGAAGTAATCGCAAGAATCCAGGCTGTAACCTTATTGCTCTCTGCACACTTCACTTATTTTTCAAGACTCGTCTCAGTATAAATCCCCGAACACCATGGAAGGTAAGTCCACTGAGGCGACAGAGGCCGACAAGGGTCCTATATATTTATGCGCACTTGTCGCTCCATAGATCTTCATTATAATACCGTGTCGATAGGTTCAAAGTTCGTGGATATAGTGTGGATATCAAAACTCCAAATGGAAGTGTAAAGAGACATCCTTTGTAAGACTGCCGCTTTATCTGCTCAATTTAACCCTTTTGTTTAAATGTTAGACTGTATCAAACAAGACCACCCTGTCTCCTTCACATTTTCAGTGGTTTTCGTGGCTTAATAGTTCAGGGTATAATATATGTCGTTTCACAGTTTCCCTGTGACTCTCTGATAACATGGTAATAACGAATAAGCAGAGATACTTTTTTATGAATTTGGACGCATCCCTGTCAGTTCTGTCACGTTTGTTTGTGTTGTTCGCGCGCCCTCTAGTGTTCATTTTGGTAAACAGCACGTATGTGGGAGATCTCGCACTGTTGTCTGTCGTTTCGTAAATGTTTAACTTTTGATATTGAGCAGGAAACAAATATAGAAAATAGAAATTTTGATCAAAGTCCTCATATTAGAGGAACTGTTGTTTTTTTAAATTGCACTGAAAATGCATTGAAACTTGAGGTGTGCTCAATAGCAATAAATAATAAGTGATTCATGACAGTAGCAAGGGCATTCATTAATCACATATGTTATTGCAACAGTGTGCAACCAATTCAATAATACAACAATCTACACTCACCCTTGTATATTATATACTATTTCAAACACAAATTTTGTTAGAACATTTGCTAAAAAATCTGCTGTAGAAGCCATTTTTAAAGAAATATTGAATGAATAATAAATTGTTCTAATGTTTTCCCAGAATGTTATATGATACTGATTAGATTCACAAAATTGCATTATATTCTTATGTCTGCAAGTCCTTACTACTGGCCAGTGGCCAACATCATGCATATGTATTTGTATTATATTTGATATATCTTTATGACAAACCTGAAGACCATAGATAATGCAGTATGTGCTGACAAAAGAGATGGATTTGGATTTTCCAAGGATTTACAGAGAAAGGATCCATAACCTAAGACCATAGTTACCAGTGTGGCTTTAACAAGTTTATCTATATGATCTATATTCTATTCTATTATATACTTTAGTAATCAGTTAATTGTCTTTTGAAACTTACATAGACTTTTAAACATACTGAGAAGATGTTTTATTTCTGAGATAATTATAGAATGAAATATAATATGGTTACAAAATATTTTTAATCAAACAACCTCATGTGTCACCTCGAAGATGATCACTGGGCTTTGTTTTGGTCAAATATACAAAAAATCCCATCTTCACTGACGTTTCAAGGATCAAAACAATTCATCCAAAGAATCAATCAAGTAGAGTGAGTCTGGTGTGTGCGTGAATGGTTGGTGGTGGTCAGAGAGGTGATGGCACATGCTGGTTGCCTCGCTTCTGTCTGTGTGCCCCAGGGCAGCTGTGGCTACAGTACTAGTTTATTACCACCATGTTGGGAGTGAAAGTGCTGTTAGACTGTACAATAAGTCACTTGGACTGAAAAACCTGCACTGCTTTTTATTGTACATAATATATCCTGAACAGACTATATTTTTAGTAGATAGAATTTTTAGTGATTCTATCTACTCCAAGAGACATGTACATTTCTCCAGGGTGAGACCAATAAAGTCCATCTCATCTTATCTTCTCTTATGACATGTGAAGCATCTTTGAGTGTCCAGAAAAGCTCTATATGAAACTAATGCATGATTATTATTATTAATATTAACTAATTGAAGAAAATGACAAAGTATGGAATTGTGTCTTTAATCCAGACAGAAGACATGTTTTATTGTCGATGGTAGAGACAGCACGAACAAAGATGTCACAGAAAGCATGTGATATTATACAGCATGGAGGAATGGAGACCTCATATCAGCTTTTGTCACGGTGCCAGTAGCTTCAACCTTGAGATGACCAAAACAAGTAGAGGAAAAGTACAGCCTCGTGCATATTGTTATAATGATGAGCTTAACTTTTACCACAGTTGCTCCAAAAGTGCCATGAATTATCCAAATAATGTCAATGCAAGTTATTACAGTGTATCTGATCTATTCATTTTTGCTCTACATTTCAGATTTAAACACAAGACGAGTGATTCTGATGGGGAAAAGCGGCAGCGGTAAAAGCAGCCTGGCCAACACCATATTTAGGGCTCCCGTTTTCCAAGTGAACCACAGCAGCGACGCAAAGGCCACCTTCTCCGAGGCCCAGACGAGATATCTGAACGGATGGAACTTGACGCTGATCGACACTCCTGGTATTTTCAACGCAGACCGCTCCAAGGATGAAGTGGCGCGTGATATATTCAGCTGTTTGACCCAGAGTGCGCCCGGACCCCATGCTGTTCTGATTGTGCTTCTTATTGAGAAGTTTACGGAGCAAGAGCAAGCCATCATCGATCATATCCAGCTGCATTTTGGTGAGGAGATCTTCAAATTCGCCACCGTGGTTTTCACTCGTGGAGACCAGCTACCAGAAGGGATGGAGATGACCGAGTATATCAATCAAAATATTGGACTTAGCAATCTCGTCCAGAAATGTGGGAACCGCTGTCACGTCGTTGACAACAAATACTGGAAAGACACCAATGAAAATGAGTATCGAAGCAACATGTTTCAGCTGAAAGCCATCCTCAACTCGATAGAAGATACGTTTAATAGTAACAACAAAGCCTGCTTCATCAATATTGCTTTCAGGGAAGTTGAAAAGAATATCCAGAAGGAGCAAGATCGCATTCACAAGTCAGAAGGTTTGTCTTTGGAGGAGAGCAGAGACAAAGCTAAAAAAGTCGTCCTTGACAATTTCAGCAGAAGACAACAGCGAAAACAGATCCTTAAAAAAATGTTATTCAGCGCTGGGTTCTTGCTTATCTCCTATTGGCTGTGGGGAAAATCAGTCAGTTTTTTTAGGGAGAGAGCAGTGCCAGGGTCCGGTTCAGGTGTGAATGAAGTGCTGCCCGCTTCAGTGGTTGTGGTGGTGCAGGATGCAGTGGCACCTGTGAAAAGCACCTTTGATTACATTATAGAGACCATTGAAGCTGCGTTCAAGAGAGGCCGATGGGGTCTTTCCAACACGACTCAAAGTATGTAAGAAAAAGACAAATACTTTTCAAAATATCACAATTCATGTTTATTTCAAGACTTCAAACAGACATATTATGTAGATACGAAATCATAGCTTTTATCCATCACATATTGTTTCCTCATCAGAAACAGACCAGAAGTTGTTTTTAGATCCATCCATGGTAATATTAGCTGGCCCAGCTAACACCAGACTACATTACATAAGTGACATGTCGTCTGGGAAGTGATATGTCGTCGTAGGAGAGGTGCGGTTATAGCCTGGTCATACCACATCATAGTATAAAATACATTTCATACTAAGGTCTGATGATGCTCCATTGAGCTCCGTTAACAGGTGGGAGGGGTTAGCTCCCTTTGCAGATTGAAACGATTCCATTCGAAAATGTTGAAAGGAGTCCAGAAAGATTGCACACAGCAGCTTTTTGACAGCTTCCGTCTAAAACCTCCTGTCTTAGTCTTGCAATAGTGTGATGTTATTGCCCTTAAATTGTTTCTCAGACCTTTTTACTCTTCAAACTTGTTTCCATTGTATATTTTCATACATTACATTAAAATATTTTGTTATTGAAAATGTCAATGTAAACAGTCTCAAAATTGTGACATTGTCTATGGCCAAAAATAATGCATAATATTTCTCTTTTAACTGATGCCGTCCTTAGAATAAGGGCTGAGAAAAGTTCATAGATTTATCACCGTGTAAATGATTTCAAATGTAGTTGTAACATGTGACACAAATTGTAATAATAGCTTTCTGTCTTTACACACACTCTGAAACATGAACAGTGCAGATTTTTTATTTTTTATTTGGCGCAATAGAATGTTGTTTCAATGAAAAATGTTTTGATTACAGCAGGATAATCCCAGTAAACCTTTTTTAAGTAGTCATTGTCATTAAAGGCTGAATCTGAAATCTAACGTCAAATTTAAACACAGTGGTCACAATCACAGCGTTCTTTGTGTTTGTTCCTCATCACAGAAAGCCGCACTGGATCCACATGCGCTGGTTAAAATAAAGATTATTAAATGCTTTTGGTCTCCACTTTATTTGTTTTTAATCTTCTAGCCTACAGGGGGAGTTCTGCACATTGGAGAAGGTAAAGCTTTATCTTTGTGGCTTATTTGTATAGCACAATTCATACAACTCAAAGTGCTGAACAGAAAAGAATCACACAAGGCATTAAAATCATAACGAATCACAGGATAGTAAAACGAGTAAAGATAAAACCTGGATTTGAACATTGTTAGAGAAGAAGCCTGTCTCACATCTTCAGGAAGATTGTTCCAGATTTTAGCAGCATGAATCTGAAATGCTTTCTCCCCAGGTACCTCCTCTTGTAACTTTCGGTCACCTCACATACCCTGCCTTTCTCTATGAAGATCAATGAGATTTATAACATACTCTGGAAGAACATATGGATGCGTTTATTTTCTTTTTGTCATGAATGTTCTTGTTGTGAGTGTTAGAAATTACATTTTTGTGAATAAGTATGAGTTTGTACTTTCCTCAATCAATCCTTAGCAGAAGAGTTAATAATGCATCAGTTTTATAAAACACTTTCTTGGACACTTAATGATGCTCCACATGTCATTATTTCTTAACTCTTTACACTGTGGTGATAAACTACTGTTGTTGCCTCAGCTGCCCTGGGGCACACTGACAGAAGCAAGGCAACCAGTATGTGCCATCGGCCCCCTGACCACCACCAACACACACCAGACTCATTCTAGACAATCTGGGTGAAGTGTCCTGTCTCCCAAGGACACAATGACAGCAGATATCAGTGGAGAAAGTATCGAGGTGGGCTCGAACCCACGACCTTCAGGCTCAAAAGCCAGTGCTCTACCGACTGAGCCACTCTGTCGTCCACAGACTGGTACAGACTGGTACAGTGTGTCCCTTTAGTCTGTTCTCATACTGATAATTCCATTTGTTCAGGAGAGATCATTGCTCTGGTCGGACCAGTTTCTTGGACACAGACAATGAGACGATAAAAGCCTGGCTGGAAATCACGTGATTTCATTTGTTTTGTTATAAAGAGCTGCCTTAATCATCACAGTCGAGTTGAAATGTTCATGGTTGCAAATAACTAATCATAACGACTGCAGTTACTAAAGGTATTTGCAAACAAAAAAGGAACAACATTTAATCAAAAAGCAGTTCATCTTGATTGAGTGTATTTTGAAGATTTGTCAGTGGAAAAGTTTCTGGCCTTTGCATTAGTTTCTCATTCCAACTCAGACATCATATCGTTTACATGATTTAATCTATCGACATGTCTTGCACAACTCAGGTCTGACAAAGAATTGTGTAACGCGTTTATGTATATTTAACATTACTTTGTTGTGAATCTTTTCTTGCGACCAGATTGAAAAAAATTGCTGTAGTATAGGTTAGAACTAATAAATATTTTCTGAAATGTGTGAGGAACCGCTCAGCCCAAAGAATCAAATAGTGACTCGTGGGGCTCTTACAAGTACGCAAAATATTAGATCAAAAGCAAGTTGTGGTCTGACTTGTTCAAGGTCAAGACTCTTTTGTTTGTGAAGAAAAAAATAAAACATGTATTTGAATTGTCCATTATTTCACACGGCTTCCTCCTGACCTGCATCTAACTTAGTATTTCTGTTACTTTTTCTTAAGAAATCAAATATTATTTATTGGAACAAGCAGGTGGGCTCTGCTGAAGACCAATTCCTCAATAATTTTGTTGAAGATTCTTTTTTTTACAATGCTGGTATCTGAGAGACCAATGCTGCTGATGTAAAGTATTAATAATCCTGAGCTATAGGCTCTGTGAAGGGAAACATGAGGCATACAAAACAAACTGTCTGTGTTTTTGGTTGTTTACCCTTTGAGAGGCAAACTATCCAATAAATGCATTTGTTAAGAGCAAGGTTGTTTAGTTGGAAATGTGAGAACAACCACATTTGCAAAGAACGAAACGCATTTGTGGTCGAAATGCATCGACAGCTATAACTTACTGCTGCAACTTCCTGTTTCAGAATGTCCTTATTCACAGTCCATTATTATCAGTTCTGCTCGTGTGACCGGTGTGTCTGGCCGTTTGCTCGATGACTCACAGAGGCGGCTGAGTTTGATGTGACAGTAAGTTTCTCATTTCTGAACAGATGAAGTGTAAAACAGACGTGATGAACCAGTCCAGCACATACGTACGTCCTTGTAGTGGCGATTTGTCCATAACTGAAAGTAAACCTTCAACAAAAACAAATCAAAAGGCCACTGAAGGCGTTGGCAGAAAATGGCAAATATGCAACAGCAGCCTCTCCTCATGCTCCCACTATAGCCCTATTTAACCTTGTGACCTAAATTAAATTAAATAAGCAATAATTAATGCAAAATTGTCTCAAACAAATGAACATAGAAAATGACAAGAACTAAATTATATTCTCAGAACTAAAATCTATAAATGGACAAATAGCTCCAACAACCATAACCATCATTATTATGATTATTATATATTGTTTGAATATTTCATATGTAAAAAGGTTTGAGAAAATATCATAAGTCATACAATTTCAAACTCTTAAACTTTGACTAACATTTTCTGTATCAACTAGAACTTCCAGAGCAGTCATTTTGACAGCTTCCATTTAAAAGTACCTAAAAGTTGTGACCATATTAAAAAAAAACATATGCATGATGTTGGCCAGCAGAAAAGACTTTCAGACACAACAACAATAATAATATTAACAATAATAACAATGGCAGTAATAATAAAAACATGGCGAGTTTAAGAATCTACTCAATAATCTGGGAAAACATCTGAACATTTATTTTTTTCTTGTTTTTTACATTTACACACATTTAATAAGTGCTAAAACTCATCACTATATCTTCAAATACAGCAACGTACTTTGGTAAAAAACCACCAAATGATAACTGATGCAAGTAAATAGTGTGTTGCTATGGTAACCAGCTCTGGTTTTTTGCTGGTAGAAAACCAAAACCAGCCTCGAACCAGAGATTCAACTTTGGAATGTTAGCTGCTGAGCGACCAAAACTGACTACATTTGCTCTTTACTCAAATGAATGGTATGTATCAGAGCTCTCTGGTGGAGATCTGTCCCGTTTCTTCTTTGTTTTTGCTTTTATGCTTTTAGGCTGACGGGCAGAGGAAAACTTGTGGGTGTTGCTCGTCGTAGTTTTTGAAAGTGAAACTCAAAGAGCACATGACGCAGTTAGATTTTCACAGAGCAAACTCTTGCAGCAGAGTCAATCCAGAGAGACTAATGGAAGGTAAGTGCCACATTATTCCTACTGGTTTATGGTTGACATAATCCTGCAAACTCTGAACTGAGGGGTCACGCTGTCTTCGTTGTCGTCTGGTTTTTCCTCTCACAATGTGACAGATGTGTGCACTCTCTTTGTTCACATTGGCACAGACATTGCTATGGCCCTAAACGCTGCATGGCAACCCTAACCCACATCACACTTGACCTCAACTAATACCAACTGCAACTAATACCAACTTCAAAGGTCCTGTCAAACCTCTGAAGCTAAGCAGGGAAGGGCCTGGTTAGAACTGGGATGGGAGACCTCTGGGTACACTGAGGCAGCTCTGGCCGTAAAGTGCCATATTGTTGTTGTGTCCTTTGGTAAGGCACTTCACCCACATTAACTAGAATTAATCTGGTGAGTGTGTGTGAATGGTTGGTCAGAGGGGCCGATGGCACAGACGGGTCGCTTCTGTCAGTCTGCTCCAAGGCCACTGTATATTGAATGCACAATGCCAAGTAAGATGTCTTTCGGGTGTCCAAAAAAGCACAAAATAATCATTATTAATGGTTTACCTATTTCCAGTGTTTGACTGATTATAGCATGATTCTGTCTTCCTCCAGGAAAGGACAGAAGGATTGTGATTCTTGGAAAAGAAGGTTCAGGAAAGAGCAGCCTGGCCAACACAATTTTTGGGGTTCAAAATGTGTTCCCAGTGTGCAGTAAGTCAGTCTCTAATACAAACACATGTAAGTCCGAAACTCGACAAATCTTTGACAGAAACATCATTTTGATCGACACTCCAGGGGTCCTTGCAACTGACCCCAGAAGCACCGAGCACAACCCTCAGCTCCTTCAGATTATCCAGGAGTGTTCCCCTGGACCTCATGCCTTTCTGCTCGTCCTCAAAATGGAGAGGTTTACTAAACAGGAGCAGGCCATGGTAGATTTAATACTCAAGTATTTCTCTGAAGAGGCTCTGAAGTACACCACTGTGGTCTTCACTCACGGCGATGAGCTTCCAGAGGACATGGAGATTAAAGAATGGATCCGTGAAAACAAAGCTCTGAACACTCTGGTTCAGAAATGTGGAGGCCGCTGCCATGTGTTTGATAATAAACGCTGGAACAACGACCAAGACCAGTTCAGGAACAACCAGCACCAGGTCCAAGAGCTGCTCCGTACCATCGACCAAACTGTGGCGAAGAATGGAGGGAAATGCTACACCAACGAGATGCTGACAATGATCGATGATCAAATACAGCTCGAGGTGAAGAATATGTCTCGTCAAAGCAACTTGACCCTGGCTGACATTCTTGCAAAAGCGAAACAAGTGGTGTACTCCAAACTCATGGAAAACATGGGAGGAGCTTTAGCTGGAGTTCTGGTGGGGGCTTTTCTGGGGGCAGGAGTAATGGTGGCACTTGTGTTGATGTGCTCTCCAGGTCTGTTATGTTGTGTGGGCGCAGGTGTGACTGGGGCAGCAGTCGTGGGGCCCACAGGAGCCCTGGTGGGGGCCTGGGCGTCTGAGAAGTGGTGCTCACCGTCAGATGCAGTGGAAGATGCAGTAGAATTCATCCAAAAAGTATCTCCTCTGGTTGAATTTGTGAATCAAACTGGTGCTCTAAAAGTTTTGCCAAGTCTGCAATGAGCCAATAGGTTGTGTTTATGTGACATCACAACATCATAAAGAGCCTATAGTTTAACATTGTGGTGGAGGGCAGCAGAAAAATCTTACTATGTTCTTACTGGTATGTGTCCAAGGTTTTCCCTATAATGGTCTCTATGGTCTAAATATTTTCTCCTTAAGGTGTCTAGGAGTGGTGACAATAACTAAAAACATATGCATGATGTCGGCCAGTACAAAGGATTTCAGACATGACAATAATAATAATAATAATAATAATAACAGTAATAACAATAATATAATTCCAATATTTCTTTCAAAAAAAGCCTCTCTCTCATAGAGGCGAATTGGCACCAAACCCTCCAACATAAATATACATCTAGAACATGAACGCAACCTATTAGATTGTGCTAGAATCCTCATCAGAGAATATGAAAACACCAATGCTAACAAATATCTACACATTTCTATGCAAGGATTTTTGTGTTTTGTTTACGCTTAAGAAAACATGTTCTAATGCTGTTATAACAACAAATGTTGTAAAATAGTCGTTATACATTCTTTGTGCATTGTGTAAAGAAAATATCTTCAAAGGCTGTAAAACATGAAAGGATGCTCTCATTTACTTCCAATTGTACTTTTTGTAAATCGCAAATCAAATCTGTTTATGGCCAATCATTATTTTACGTTACTTTTCATTTGATACAAAACTGTTCTTGTTCTGGTTGATGAAATAAAAAACATATTGGTGTGTCTTGTTTGGCTTCTCAAACGGCTGCACATTGTTCCCTATGAGTTGAGTTAAAAATGTGTTTGTATATTCACAATGACTTATTTATACACAGACCATACACATGTATAGTGACGGTCAGATGATACTAGACTGGGGCCACAGCTGCTGTGGCCCTATGGCAACTTTGAAGTGGCTGCCAATCTATGCACTGAGAAGCTGACTGCGCCTTCAACAAACAAACCCAGGGCCATCGTTTTCATATCTATTAATAGTATCTATGTTTATGTTTTTATATGCTTTTTTTGCACGCACAACTAGATCATGATCAAAGCAGGTTTTTACTCTTTTAAAATCAACCCTTCAAAGCTGAACTTTTTTAGTTTAATAAATACTGGTAAATGTTTTTTATTTATTTTTAAAATCCCAACAGAAAGAGTTTAATTATAAGCAATATTTTGTGAACAAATCAGTCCACACTATTATGTCTTCATCTAATTAGAAAACATGTAGCTGATTGGCTGAGTGACGGCTGGTTCTGTCTGGAGAAAAAGGCTTAAGGCTCAAAAGAGGTCAAAAATACAGACATGAGATAACAATAGAGACTGAGTCAACTAGAGGGGAGGAACTATAGTTACATGGGATTGTATGACATAGTTTTTTGGTTTCAAAGTTTGGTACATTAAATAATATTTAGACTAGTCCTGATTTGTGAACAGAAAATTAAGACAATTAATGTATTCAATATTATTAACACATTACTTATTAAATCGTAGTTTACAATATTTACATTTCTTTGTTTATGGAGAGACCTTTCTATTTGCATTAATTTATAGTCTTTTGCACTTTTTAATAAACCTTGTGTTTATGAAATGTGCTATATATTGAAAGTGGATATGATTTTGGTACAGTTTACACACACACGCACACGCACATACACATGCGCACACATCTACACGTATACATACAACTGCATTCACCATTTCAATATGGGTTATGTTTACAATTTCAATATAAATAGCCTATATACTGTATAAGGAACTTTATACACAGTTTATCGGCTCAAAATGGAGGAAGGAAAACAGACACTCCCACTCCTCTAGACCATAGACTGGATCTCTAGACTTGTCAAACGTTGAACCATTATGACGTGATCTGTTTTGAAGTTAGAGGTGGTATTCCCCTGCCATCCTGTAGAAAATAACTGGATGCGGAAGACGTGGTCACGCAGAGCAGCGACGCCGGGAGCGTGAGCGCGTCTGCCCTGGTCTGTGGGAGTTTAACACTGTCTTTCAGGCTGTAAATGCACAGTGTTGCTCATGGAGGACCACCCGGTGTTTTTCCTGTGTCCCGAGCTGCTCCCACAGCAAGAACGAAGCGTGGAGAGGTATTTTCGGAACAGACGCAGATCCGGCGGCTGAGACGGGGTCCGCTGCGTAAAGACCACACCGGGGTCTACAGCCTGTCGTTCAGGAGTCAAAAAGGTACAATCCTGCACTAACTAACACAATCACAGCAAAGCTAACAGTTGATAAACATAAACAGCTTTGTGTGTGTTAGTAAGTATTAGGATCTGCGTTTATGAAACTAGAAGCGCAGACTGTTTACAGGGAAACTTCTTACATTTTCGTTTTCGCGGAAAGTGAAACTACAGTCTACTTTATTTGTAGACATTTTCCTACACAAAGTAATAAAAAGTGCTTCACAGCCCATGTCACCCAAGGCATTCAATCATACACGTTTAAAATCACATAATTATGGCTTAAAAATCATAAAAATGCAGCTCGCGGAAATTCAATTTGGAAGACGTCAGCCAAAAGCTACCCCCTCCAGGCCAGCCTCGCATCCCCAGCCTATCGCACAGCAAACGCCCCCTTCCAATCATCCGTGCCGGCCAGGCCAGCCGCTTAAAAGCGGAGAAACTCCCACTTCACGGCCTCTCGAAGCCTTGCAGTGTATGTTAGCTACCCGCGCCTGTACAACATGCAAACTTCACCAACTGTCCGCGCGCCCGCGTCTCCCAACGACTCGGCGCCTGACTCCCCTTCCATCCTCCTCCGCAACGTCTCGCCTATGCCCCCCAGCCCTAGTAAGAGCGTGCGTCTGGCTTCCAGGGACGCAGGGTCGGTGCGCACTTACCTCGCAGCGCGGGGTGTCATGCCCGGCCCTGATCACGTCGTCGCTCCAGCTCCAGAGCCTCTTCGACCAGCTGTCGGCGGGCTCTACCTCGCCCCTCCGGGATTCGGTTCCCCCTCCCCGCAAACGTCAATCCAAGACAAAGCACACCCAGGCGAAACGCGCCTGCCTCCCGCGGCCTCCCCTCGCGGATTCCGGGCCTTCCCCTGGATCCTCGGGCTCTTCTGCTGCGCCCCCCCGGGCTCCTCCACGCGCTCGTGGGCCCCGCTCCGCTTGCGCACCTACGGCGGCCTCGGCGTTTCCACAGGTCGTTCCTCCCGTGGCTGCTCCCCTGGCTGGTCCCGTGGACGCCTCCGCTGCGGCCCAGGACCGCGCTCTTCTCTGCGCACGCACGGACGCCATTCTGTCCGCTGTCTCCTCTCTCCAGCGCACCGTGGCTTCGGTGTCCACGCGGCTTCGTGCCGTCGAGTACCGAGCTCCCGCCGCTGTCCCGGCGGTTTCTCCTGCCGTTGTCCCGGTGCCCTCTCCTACTGCGGCGTTTCCCGTGGACTCCCACGAGGCCGGCTTCTCCCTCGGCACCGCTGTCTCCGCTCCAGCGCCCGGTAGGCCCTACATACATACTTTCTCCAATGTGTCTCCGCGCCTCCGTTCCAAGATTCTTTTGGGGCGCTATGTCAACCTGGTCTCTCTTATTCTCCCCTCTCCCGAGTGCGACCGGCAGGTGGCCGCTTCGGACCTCATCACCGCGGTCGTGAAAACTGCGGATCCCCGTTTGACCCGTGAGCTGAACATTGGGGAATTCCTCGTCGCTTTCGGGGTCTACCGCGACGTGATATGCTCTGTGTATCCCGAGCGGAGGCCTGAGCTGGACTCCTGCCTATGTCTGATGGGGGACCTGTCCCTCCGGTACGGAGGCAGCATTTTTTATCGCTACCACAGGGCCTTCGCTGCCAAGGCCGCGGCCCTCATCACCCAGGCGAACTACAGAGTGGACTGGGCGACGCTGGACACCGAGGTGCTGCTCCTGTCCATCGGCGGTACCCCCGAAGTTTCCTGCTCCCGGTGCGGCGCTTCGGGACACACGTCCCCCCTCTGCCCGGGCATCCCCTTCGGACACGGCGGGGGCGAGACGTCCTGACCTCAAGGGCCGCCTTCCCGTGCGTTCGGAGCTGGCGCCACCCCGTATGTACTAAATTCAACATGAGTGTGTGCACCTTTTATCCGTGCTCTTACCTCCACGTGTGCAGTCTGTGCAGGGAGGCCCACCCCCGCTTTCTGTGTCCGCGGCGCGGCCCGCAAGGCCGCTTCGAGGGGCCTTCTTCCAGGCGCTGATCAGGGCCCACCTCTCAACCCCGGTCTCCGTGCACGGGCTCGCCCGCGCGCTCGAGCTCCATCCTGACCGGGTCTTCGTCCATTTCCTCCTGTCTGGTCTGGCCCACGGCTTTCTCGTGGGCATCGAGGCCCTCCCCTCGGCGTCTCTCGTGTCCCGCAACCTCCTCTCAGCTCTCCGTGAGCCCCAGGTTGTTACGCGGCTTCTGGCGCGGGAGGTGTCCCTGGGCTACGTCATCGGCCCCTTTTCCAGGCCCCCCTTCTCTCTGTTTCGCTCCAACCCGCTAGGCATCGCCACCCGTAAGTACTCTGGGAAGAAGCGTCTTATATTCGACCTCTCCTGTCCCCGCTCCGGGCCCACCCCGAGCATCAACAGTCTCATCCCTCTAGCGCCCTTCTCCCTGCAGTACGCTACCGTGGACCATGCGATCAGGCTGATAAAGACTTTCGGCCCCGGCTCCTGGCTTTCCAAGGCCGACATCACGGACGCGTTCAAGCTGCTGCCCATCCACCCCGACCACTTTACCACTTCGGGGTAAAGTGGCGTTCAGAGTTTTTCTTCGCCGTGCGCCTCACTTTTGGCTGCCGGAGTAGTCCCTCTCTGTTTAATAATCTTTCGGAGGCGCTGTGCTGGATCCTGCTTAATTATGTACGGCTCCCCTCCGTCCTACATCTCCTCAATGACTTTCTCGTGGTAGACCCACCCTCGGACGGCTCCGGGAGCTCTCTCCACAAACTCAAGCTCGCTTTCTTCGCCCTAGGAGTCCCTCTCTCCGAGGAGAAGACCACAGGCCCCGCCACCGCTCTGGAGTTTCTCGGCATCCGCCTCGACACACGCGCCATGGAGGCCTCCCTCCCGCTGGACAAACTCGAGTGCATCCGCGCTTTCTCCCGGTCTGCCCTGTCCTCCCCGTCACTTTCAAAGCGTCAGTTGCTCTCCCTCCTCGGGCATCTTAATTATGCCATCCGCATCATTCCTCAGGGTCGTTCTTTCATTTCCAGACTCCTCTCCCTCGCTGGCTCCGTCTCCTCCCTCAATGACGCGGTCTGCCTGGACGCGGGGTGCCGCTCCGACCTGGCGTTCTGGTCCCGCCTGCTGAGCCGCTGGAATGGTGTCTCCTTTTTCTACAGTGACGTCGTCCTGTCCTCGGATGCCCTGCGGTTCTTCACGGACGCAGCCCCGTCCGTGGGTTTTGGGGTTTTTTTCCAGGACCAGTGGTTTGCCGGGCCCTGGCCCGACGCCTTCCCTCAAAGCATCTCCTCCGCGCTCCACGAGATATATCCCGTGACCGTAGCCTGCGTGCTGCGGAACCATACGTGGCATAGGAAAAGGATTTCCGTGATGTGCGACAACCTCGACGTGGTCGAAATAATCAACAGAGGTCGTTCATCCTCTCCCCAAATCATGTCTTTTCTTAGACGCATCACATGGCTCTCAGTCCTGAACAATTTTATCATCACTGCTCGTCACGTCCCTGGTCACCTTAACTGTATTGCTGACTCTCTCTCTCGTTTTAAATTCCAGGAGTTCCGACGCCTTTGCCCTTCTGCCAATCCATCGCCATGCCAGATCCCCTGCATGGAATCCCTCGCCCCGGCCTAGTCCCTCCGTCTCTTCACCTCCTCCTCTCCTCCGCTGCATCCTACATGAAGATGGGCCTCTCACCTTCCACACTGAAATCATACAGTTTTGCTTGGAAAGTCTACTCCAGCTTCTGTCACGCCCACTGCATTCCACTCATTCCGCCCTCTGCTGTCACCGTCTGCGCCTTCATAGTTCACTGCGCGGATAATCTCCACTATAAAATCACCTACATTCGCTCTCTACTCGCCGGGATACAATTCCAGGCCCGCTGTCACAACCCCGCTTTCTCCTCTCTATTCTCTGATCCATCAATCAAACTCGTCATCAAAGGCATTCACAACTGCACCCCGCATTCCTCGGACCACAGGCGCCCCATCACACTGTCCATTCTCCACCAGCTCTGCGCCGCACTTAGCTCCAGCCCGCTCTCAAAGTACGCCATCGCCCTTCTGTCCAGCGTCTTCCTCCTTGCCTTTTACGGCTTCTTACGCATAAGCGAATTCACTAACCCCCATGCCACCTTTAATACATCCCAAGACATTGCCTTCTCCGACCTGTCTTATTATCCCGACTACTTCAACCTCCACCTCAAGCATTCCAAACGCAAAGGCGGTTGCAATATAGTCATAGCTCGGTCTGACACTTCTCCCTGTCCCTACAGATCCATGATGCATTACACTCGCCTCCGCTCTCGGAAAGGAGATCTCAACGGACCGTTATTTCTCACTCCCGATAACCTCCCATGTCATCCAACTGGTTCAGAGCCCAACTCAAGTCTGTACTGCTGCTTTGTAACCTGTCTCCCCATCTCTACACAGCTCACTCCTTTCGGATAGGCGCGGCCACGCGCGCCGCGTCCCTGGGTCTCCCCCATTCTGCCCTCCAGCAGCTGGGCCGCTGGTCATCATCGGCCCTCTCCTCATACATCAGGCTTGACACTTCGACTATTCTGGCAGCCCAGCGTCTCTTGGCATCTCCATAAAACACTCGCAAAACTTCCTGGTGGCGGCAGCAGCTGAGTATCTGTAGATAGCGGTCACAGTATATAGCGGTCACAGTATATAGCGGTCACAGTATATAGCGGTCACAGTATATAGCGGTCACGACATCTGTCCCCTGCAACCAGGCCTGCAAAAGTCCATCAACACACAGCCTTTTTGGGGATTGTGCGCGCACTCTCGCAGGAGCCTCGCCGACTGAACGCCGCACCGGGGCCTAGGGCGCCAAACTACCTTTCAATAAAATACTCAAAAGCATTCTTGTTTCCTCGTCTCTCCAAATTGAAATGCAGCTCGCGGAAATTCAATTTGGAAGACGTCAGCCAAAAGCTACCCCCTCCAGGCCGGCCTCGCATCCCCAGCCTATCGCACAGCAAACGCCCCTTCCAATCATCCGTGCCGGCCAGGCCAGCCGCTTAAAAGCGGAGAAACTCCCACTTCACGGCCTCCCAAAGCTTGCAACCACCGCCTCCCCTCCTCCTCCTCTTCACCCTGCCTCCAATCTGCCTCCAATCTGCTTCCTGCTGCCAAATGCCGCCACCAGTGCCTAGGTCCCGGGGGATTGTGCGCGCTCCATCGCAGGAGCCTCTCCGATCTGAACGCCGCACCGGGGCCTAGGGCGCCAAACCACCTCTCAATAAAATACTCAAAAGCATTCTTGTTTCCTCGTCTCTCCAAATTGAAATACTGTCATCTCTTGTAATATATTCATGTTTTGGAACTCATTATGCACATTTTATTATTTGGACCCTTTTGTGTGTCTGAATTAAAGATTATATAATTCTCACCATTTAGTAAAGACATCACCATAGTTAACATAAGTGTCTGTGTCTGTGTCCTGAAACAGAACTTAGTCCAATGTCAGTGAACTCTGTGTGATTTCAGTGTTCTGGACCAACAGTAGATAGTGACATACATATAATGCTGTTTTAGACTAACTTACCCAATACTTATATCATATTGGCCTTTGACCTCTTGTTTACAGTCGGGGAAAGTGTGATTTTTGACCCTGATTGTAAAAAAAGGAGTGTATATTTTACAGGAAAGTAAAGAAACTCTTCTATGGGGTTTTCTTGAGATGATGATGATATGGTGATGTTATTTCATATTATTTATTGATTTTATTTCATCATTTGAATAGTGTGTCATCTCCTTTCTTTCTGACACGCCTTAGATCCTGCCAAAAGAACAAAGATAAAGGGGAATCACACGGCTAAATACGTGACTGCCACAATAATACAGTGAATGTATTTGTCTTTTGAATGATTATGAATACAGTAATGAAGGAAATCATTTGAACATCTGAAAGTAGTGGTTGTTAAAATAGAATACATCTGGATTTAAGTTCACAAAAACTGAAAACTGGTTATTTGTTGTTAGTCATTTGAACTGATAACACAACCTTTAAATGTAAAATTGTATTCATCTAATGACTCAATGAAAGACAACTACAAGGTTTGTGCAGTTGATACATAATATATTGTGTAGGTTTAAAATGTGAGATGAAATGATTTGAACTGATTGTTGTTGAAATGATTGAAAGTTTGTTAGAGTTAGAATTGTAACAACAATTTTACTGTTTTCTCAAATAGATCAACATGAAGTTCTCAGGAAGAAAAAACACGTGGTGGAGGTTGGAGACTGTTCCCTGGAAATCATGGTCACAGAAGTGTCTCCTGAACACGGCAGATCCCAGACGGACTGTGCAACTGCAAAGGTACAACTTATGATGTCCTTAAGACATACTTTGCTGAGATTGTAGATTTATTATGTGAATTGTATTAATATTCATAATATAAGATAATTATAAAAGTCATGTTTAAATGATGGATTCCCTTAAAGCTGGGAAACCTAACTTTAAAACCACACACTATGGAACTATGTAATGAAATCCATTTAATAATTTCCTCGTCTCAAAACAGTTCCACCATAGTTTTCACATGTATTTTTGGCCTCTTATCGTCACATATTTAGATCAACCTTCTCTCAGCCCAAAACATCAACCAGTGACTAACAGGGCTCATAGTGCGCTAAAGATAACGATAACTAAAGATGTGTTATAATGAAAGAAGAAGAGTGTAAGATGAAGAGAGCATGTTGAGACCCTTCATTATTCACAAAATGTTACTTTAAAGAGACTCTTTATGTTGGCCCAAACAACACGTATTATTTATAAGCATAAAAGTACAATACCCTAGTTTTAATGTGAGAATTTCACAATTTGGCATGAATCTGTTTTTCCTCCTTGAAACATTTTTGAACCTACTGATATATAATAAGTGAGCTGTAAGAAAAAGATTTATATCGACTATTCTTTTTAATACCTATAATATGGCCATGATGCATTTTTTTCTAAATTTCTAATTTATGCTATGTGACTTGGGTGGTATCTCAGGTATGTCCTGTTAATCGATCCATTTAAAAGTGTGCCAAATGAGATAATAATTTGGATAATAAGAATTAAGATAAGAATTCCTTCTGGTAATGGATTAGTTACTTAATTATTCTTTTGATTAGACCTGGAAAGGTCAAACTGGAAGTCCCTGGAAGGTTCAAAAAAGCTATTTATCAATTACTACATTAATCGAGTAACTTGTTTCAGTCCTAATCTCAGTACTTTCCTTGAGGTTGAGGTTTATTAGTCCTTATCTTAACCTCATTATTACAATTGAGTTTAGACCTCACTTTGGCCTAAAATTGCATTAATTTAAAAAAGTAATTACCCACAAACTCAAAAATACTAACCGTGTGGTATATATCAATGACATATTCCCCCATTTACATGTATGGTTTGTTCTTTCTGACGCAGACTTGCAGAAGCTCACCCCTTCCCTCTAGTGGCGACCATCATGAACTACACATGGATCGTTACCTCCTCTTTTACCTGAAAGACTGTGAAAAAGCTGAACACTGACTTCTCAAACAGTTATCACTGTTGCACTGCAGGGCTGAGTTGTACCCAGAAAATGAGAGCGTTGTGGTGAAGAGGTTAGAGACTAGTGAGAAAACTGGGGCTGGTGATAACTGGAAACAAGACATCGAAGCATTTTTTAAGAAAGTCAAAAGTCAATACACTTGTCACTTTGAAACAGATCCACGTAAAGTGAAATCTTTGCTGGAATCGAGCTGCTGTCTGACTGAGGTGAAAGTGTACAGTGATATTGGTTTGGCTGTTGTAGTTGGAGAAAGTTCTCACGTGCTACGAGATTAGATTCACAAACTTGCATTATATTCTTATGTCTGCAAGTCCTTACTACTGGCCAACATCATGCATATGTATTTGTATTATATTTGATATATCTTTATGATAAACCTGAAGACCATAGATGATGCAGTATGTGCTGACAAAAGAGATGGATTTGGATTTTCCAAGGATTTACAGAGAAAGGATCCATAACCTAAGACCATAGTTACCAGTGTGGCTTTAACAAGTTTATCTATTCTGTATGATATATATTCTATTCTATTATATACTTTAGTAATCAGTTAATTGTCTTTTGAAACTTACATAGACTTTTAAACATGCTGAGATGTTTTATTTCTGAGATAATTATAGAATGAAATATAATTTGGTTACAAAATATTTTTAATCAAACAACCTCATGTGTCACCTCGAAGATGATCACTGGGCTTTGTTTTGGTCAAATATACAAAAAATCCCATCTTCACTGACGTTTCAAGGATCAAAACAATTCATCCAAAGAATCAATCAAGTAGAGTGAGTCTGGTGTGTGCGTGAATGGTTGGTGGTGGTCAGAGAGGTGATGGCCCATGCTGGTTGCCTCGCTTCTGTCTGTGTGCCCCAGGGCAGCTGTGGCTACAGTACTAGTTTATTACCACCATGTTGGGAGTGAAAGTGCTGTCAGACTGTACAATAAGTCACTTGGACTGAAAAACCTGCACTGCTTTTTATTGTACATAATATATCCTGAACAGACTATATTTTTAGTAGATAGAATTTTTAGTGATTCTGTCTACTCCAAGAGACATGTACATTTCTCCAGGGTGAGATCAATAAAGTCCATCTCATCTTATCTTCTCTTATGACATGTGAAGCATCTTTGAGTGTCCAGAAAAGCTCTATATGAAACTAATGCATTATTAATGTTAACTAATTGAAGAAAATGACAAAGTATGGAATCGTGTCTTTAATCCAGACAGAAGACATGTTTTATTGTCGATGGTAGAGACAGCACGAACAAAGATGTCACAGAAAGCATGTGATATTATACAGCATGGAGGAATGGAGACCTCATATCAGCTCTTGTCACGGTGCCAGTATCTTCAACCTTGAGATGACCAAAACAAGTAGAGGAAAAGTACAGCCTCGTGCATATTGTTATAATGATGAGCTTAACTTTTACCACAGTTGCTCCAAAAGTGCCATGAATTATCCAAATAATGTCAATGCAAGTTATTACAGTGTATCTGATCTATTCATTTTTGCTCTACATTTCAGATTTAAACACAAGAAGAGTGATTCTGATGGGGAAAAGCGGCAGCGGTAAAAGCAGCCTGGCCAACACCATATTTAGGGCTCCCGTTTTCCAAGTGAACCACAGCAGCGACGCAAAGGCCACCTTCTCCGAGGCCCAGACGAGATATCTGAACGGATGGAACTTGACGCTGATCGACACTCCTGGTATTTTCAACGCAGACCGCTCCAAGGATGAAGTGGCGCGTGATATATTCAGCTGTTTGACCCAGAGTGCGCCCGGACCCCATGCTGTTCTGATTGTGCTTCTTATTGAGAAGTTTACGGAGCAAGAGCAAGCCATCATCGATCATATCCAGCTGCATTTTGGTGAGGAGATCTTCAAATTCGCCACCGTCGTTTTCACTCGTGGAGACCAGCTACCAGAAGGGATGGAGAAGACCGAGTATGTCAATCAAAATATTGGACTTAGCAATCTCGTCCAGAAATGTGGGAACCGCTGTCACGTCGTTGACAACAAATACTGGAAAGACACCAATGAAAATGAGTATCGAAGCAACATGTTTCAGCTGAAAGCCATCCTCAACTCGATAGAAGATACGTTTAATAGTAACAACAAAGCCTGCTTCATCAATATTGCTTTCAGGGAAGTTGAAAAGAATATCCAGAAGGAGCAAGATCGCATTCACAAGTCAGAAGGTTTGTCTTTGGAGGAGAGCAGAGACAAAGCTAAAAAAGTCGTCCTTGACAATTTCAGCAGAAGACAACAGCGAAAACAGATCCTTAAAAAAATGTTATTCAGCGCTGGGTTCTTGCTTATCTCCTATTGGCTGTGGGGAAAATCAGTCAGTTTTTTTAGGGAGAGAGCAGTGCCAGGGTCCGGTTCAGGTGTGAATGAAGTGCTGCCCGCTTCAGTGGTTGTGGTGGTGCAGGATGCAGTGGCACCTGTGAAAAGCACCTTTGATTACATTATAGAGACCATTGAAGCTGCGTTCAAGGGAGGCCGATGGGGTCTTTCCAACACGACTCAAAGTATGTAAGAAAAAGACAAATACTTTTCAAAATATCACAATTCATGTTTATTTCAAGACTTCAAACAGACATATTATGTAGATACGAAATCATAGCTTTTATCCATCACACATTGTTTCCTCATCAGAAACAGACCAGAAGTTGTTTTTAGATCCATCCATGGTAATATTAGCTGGCCCAGCTAACACCAGACTACATTACATAAGTGACATGTCGTCTGGGAAGGTGCGGATATAGCCTGGTCATACCACATCATAGTATAAAATACATTTCATACTAAGGTCTGATGATGCTCCATTGAGCTCCGTTAACAGGAGGGAGGGGTTAGCTCCCTTTGGAGATTGAAACGATTCCATTTGAAAATGTTGAAAGGAGTCCAGAAAGATTGGAGTGCACACAGCAGCTTATTGACAGCTTCCGTCTAAAACCTCCTGTCTTAGTCTTGCAATAGTGTGATGTTATTGCCCTTAAATTGTTTCTCAGACCTTTTTACTCTTCAAACTTGTTTCCATTGTATATTTTCATACGTTACATTAAAATATTTTGTTATTGAAAATGTCAATGTAAACAGTCTCAAAATTGTGACGTTGTCTATGGCCAAAAATAATGCATAATATTTCTCTGATTTTAACTGATGCCGTCCTTAGAATAAGGGCTGAGAAAAGTTCATAGATGTATCACCGTGTAAATGATTTCAAATGTAGGTGTAACATATAACACAAATTGTAATAATAGCTATCTGTCTTTACACACACTCTGAAACATGAACAGTGCAGATTTTTGATTTTTTTATTTGGCGCAATAGAATGTTGTTTCAATGAAAAATGTTTTGATTACAGCAGGATAATCCCAGTAAACCTTTTTTAAGTAGTCATTGTCATTAAAGGCTGAATCTGAAATCTAACGTCAAATTTAAACACAGTGGTCACAATCACAGCGTTCTTTGTGTTTGTTCCTCATCACAGAAAGCCGCACTGGATCCACATGCGCTGGTTAAAATAAAGATTATTAAATGCTTTTGGTCTCCACTTTATTTGTTTTTAATCTTCTAGCCTACAGGGGGAGTTCTGCACATTGGAGAAGGTAAAGCTTTATCTTTGTGGCTTATTTGTATAGCACAATTCATACAACTCAAAGTGCTGAACAGAAAAGAATCACACAAGGCATTAAAATCATAACGAATCACAGGATAGTAAAACGAGTAAAGAAAAAACCTGGATTTGAACATTGTTAGAGAAGAAGCCTGTCTCACATCTTCAGGAAGATTGTTCCAGAATTTAGCAGCATGAATCTGAAATGCTTTCTCCCCAGGTACCTCCTCTTGTAACTTTCAGTCACCTCACATACCCTGCCTTTCTCTATGAAGATCAATGAGATTTATAACATACTCTGGAAGAACATATGGATGCGTTTATTTTCTTTTTGTCATGAATGTTCTTGTTGTGAGTGTTAGAAATATTTTTTTTTTAATAAGTAGTTTGTACTTTCCTCAATCAATCCTTAGCAGAAGAGTTAATAATGCATCAGTTTTATAAAGCACTTTCTTGGACACTCAATGATGCTCCACATGTCATTATTTCTTAACTCTGTACACTGTGGCGATAAACTACTGTTGTTGCCTCAGCTGCCCTGGGGCACACTGACAGAAGCAAGGCAACCAGTATGTGCCATCGGCCCCCTGACCACCACCAACACACACCAGACTCATTCTAGACAATTTGGGTGAAGTGTCCTGTCTCCCAAGGACACAATGACAGCAGATATCAGTGGAGAAAGTATCGTGGTGGGCTCGAACCCACGACCTTCAGGCTCAAAGACCAGTGCTCTACCGACTGAGCCACTCTGTCGTCCACAGACTGGTACAGACTGGTACAGTGTGTCCCTTTAGTCTGTTCTCATACTGATAATTCCATTTGTTCAGGAGAGATCATTGCTCTGGTCGGACCAGTTTCTTGGACACAGACAATGAGACGACAAAAGCCTGGCTGGAAATCACGTGATTTCATTTGTTTTGTTATAAAGAGCTGCCTTAATCATCACAGTCGAGTTGAAATGTTCATGGTTGCAAATAACTAATCATAAAGACTGCAGTTACTAAAGGTATTTGCAAACAAAAAAGGAACAACATTTAATCAAAAAGCAGTTCATCTTGATTGAGTGTATTTTGAAGATTTGTCAGTGGAAAAGTTTCTGGCCTTTGCATTAGTTTCTCATTCCAACTCAGACATCATATCGTTTACATGATTTAATCTATCGACATGTCTTGCACAACTCAGGTCAGACTAAGAATTGTGTAACGCGTTTATGTATATTTAACATTACTTTGTTGTGAATCTTTTCTTGTGACCAGACTGAAAAAAATGGCTGTAGTATAGGTTAGAACTAATAAATATTTTCTGAAATGTGTGAGAATTGTGTATCGGCTCAGGAACCGCTCAGCCCAAAGAATCAAATAGTGACTCGTGGGGCTCTTACAAGTACGCAAAATATTAGATCAAAAGCAAGTTGTGGTCTGACTTGTCTTGAACAAGTCAGACAAGTCAAGACTCTTTTGTTTGTGAAGAAAAAAATAAAACATGTATTTGTTATTTGAATTGTCTATTATTTCACACGGTTTCCTCCTGACCTGCATCTAACTTAGTATTTCTGTTACTTTTTCTTAAGAAATCAAATATTATTTATTGGAACAAGCAGGTGGGCTCTGCTGAAGACCTTTTCCTCAATAATTTTGTTGAAGAAATTTACTATAATGCTGGTATCTGAGAGACCAATGCTGCTAATGTAAAGTATTAATAATCCTGAACTATAGGCTCTGTGAAGGGAAACATGAGGCATACAAAACAAACTGTCTGTGTTTTTGGTTGTTTACCCTTTGAGAGGCAAACTATCCAATAAATGCATTTGTTAAGAGCAAGGTTGTTTAGTTGGAAATGTGAGAACAACCACATTTTCAAAGAACGAAACGCATTTGTGGTCGAAATGCATTGACAGCTGTAACTTACTGCTGCAACTTCCTGTTTCAGAATGTCCTTATTCACAGTCCATTATTATCAGTTCTGCTCGTGTGACCGGTGTGTCTGGCCGTTTGCTCGATGACTCACGGAGGCGGCTGAGTTTGATGTGACAGTAAGTTTCTCATTTCTGAACAGATGATGTGTAAAACAGACGTGATGAACCAGTCTAGCACATACGTACGTCCTTGTAGTGGCAATTTGTCTATAACTGAAAGTAAACCTTCAACAAAAACAAATCAAAAGGCCACTGAAGGCGTTGGCAGAAAATGGCAAATATGCAACAGCAGCCTCTCCTCATGCTCCCACTGTAGCCCTATTTAACCTTGTGACCTAAATTAAATTAAATAAGCAATAATTAATGCAAAATTGTCTCAAGCAAATGAACGTAGAAAATGATAAGAACTAAATTATATTCTCAGAACTAAAATCTATAAATGGACAAATAGCTCCAACAACTATAAAGATTATTATTATCATTATTACATATTGTTTGAATATTTCATATGTAAAAATGTTTGAGAAAATATCATAAGTCATACAATTTCAAAATCTTAAACTTTGACTCCCATTTTCTGTATCAACTAGAACTTCCAGAGCAGTCATTTTGACAGCTTCCATTTAAAAGTACCTAAAAGTTGTGACCATATTCAAAAAAAACATATGCATGATGTTGGCCAGCAGAAAAGACTTTCAGACACAACAACAATAATAATATTAACAATAATAACAATAGCAGTAATAATAAAAACATGGCGAGTTTAAGAATCTACTCAATAATCTGGGAAAACATCTGAACATTTATTTTTTTCTTGTTTTTTACATTTACACACATTTAATAAGTGCTAAAACTCATCACTATATCTTCAAATACAGCAACGTACTTTGGTAAAAAGCTACCAAATGATAACTGATGCAAGTAAATAGTGTGTTGCTATGGTAACTAGCTCTGGTTTTTTGCTGGTAGAAAACCAAAACCAGCCCAGAACCAGCCCCCCCCCCCCCCCCCCCCCCCCTTTTTTTTTTTTTTAGAGATTCAACTTTGGAATGTTAGCTGCTGAGCGACCAAAACTGACTACATTTGATCTTTACTCAAATGAATGGTAAGTATCAGAGCTCTCTGGTGGAGATCTGTCCCGTTTCTTCTTAGTTTTTGCTTTTATGCTTTTAGGCTGACGGGCAGAGGAAAACTTGTGGGTGTTGCTCGTCGTAGTCTTTGAAAGTGAAACTCAAAGAGCACATGACGCAGTTGGATTTTCACAGAGCAAACTCTTGCAGCAGAGTCAATCCAGAGAGACTAATGGAAGGTAAGTGCCACATTATTCCTACTGGTTTATGATTGACATAATCCTGCAAACTCTGAACTGAGGGGTCACGCTGTCTTCGTTGTCGTCTGGTTTTTCCTCTCACAATGTGACAGATGTGTGTACTCTCTTTGTTCACATTGGCACAGACATTGCTATGGCCCTAAACGCTGCATGGCAACCCTAACCCACATCACACTTGACCTCAACTAATACCAACTGCAACTAATACCAACTTCAAAGGTCCTGTCAAACCTCTGAAGCTAAGCAGGGAAGGGCCTGGTTAGAACTGGGATGGGAGACCTCTGGGTACATAGTGAGGCAGCTCTGGCCGTAAAGTGCCACATTGTTGTTGTGTCCTTAGGTAAGGCACTTCACCCACATTAACTAGAATGAATCTGGTGAGTGTGTGTGAATGGTTGGTCAGAGGGGCCGATGGCACAGACGGGTCGCTTCTGTCAGTCTGCCCCAAGGTTGTAGCTAAACGCCACTGTATATTGAATGTACAATGCCAAGTAAGATGTCTTTCGAGTGTCCTATTTACCTATTTCCAGTGTTTGACTGATTATAGCATGATTCTGTCTTCCTCCAGGAAAGGACAGAAGGATTGTGATTCTTGGAAAAGAAGGTTCAGGAAAGAGCAGCCTGGCCAACACATTTTTGGGGTTCAAAATGTGTTCCCAGTGTGCAGTAAGTCAGTCTCTAATACAAACACATGTAAGTCCGAAACTCGACAAATCTTCGACAGAAACATCATTTTGATCGACACTCCAGGGGTCCTTGCAACTGACCCCAGAAGCACCGAGCACAACCCTCAGCTCCTTCAGATTATCCAGGAGTGTTCCCCTGGACCTCATGCCTTTCTGCTCGTCCTCAAAATGGAGAGGTTTACTAAACAGAGCAGGCCATGGTAGATTTAATACTCAAGTATTTCTCTGAAGAGGCTCTGAAGTACACCACTGTGGTCTTCACTCACGGCGATGAGCTTCCAGAGGACATGGAGATTAAAGAATGGATCCGTGAAAACAAAGCTCTGAACACTCTGGTTCAGAAATGTGGAGGCCGCTGCCATGTGTTTGATAATAAACGGCTAACAACGCTGGAAACAACGACCAATCGACCAGTTCAGGAACAACCAAATACCAGGTGGAGATATGTCTCGTCAAACTTGAGGCTGACATTCTTGCTCCGTACCCATCGGACCAAGGAGCTTTGGCTGGACTGGTGGGGGCTTTTTCTGGGCATGGGGGGGAGGAGTAATGGTGGCACTTGTGTTGACCGTTCCTCTCCAGGTCTGTTATGTTGTGTGGCCACAGGTGTGACTGGGGCAGCAGTCGGGGGGCCCACAGGCGCCTGGTGGGGGCTGGGGCGTCTGAGAAGTGGTGCTCACCGTCCAGATGCGTGGAAGATGCAGTAAATTCATCCAACAAGTATCTCCTCTGGTTGACTTTGTGAATCAAACTGGTGTTCTAAAAGTCTTTACCAAGTCTGCATGAGCCAATAGGTTGTGTTATGTGACATCACAACATCATAAAGAGCCTATAGTTTAACATTGTGGTGGAGGGCAGCAGAAAATCTTACTGGTTCTTACTGGTATGTGTCCAAAGATTTCCCTATAATGGTCTCTATGGTCTAAATATTTCTCCTTAAGGTGTCTAGGAGTGGTGACCAATAACTAAAACCTATAGCATGATGTCGGCCAGTACAAATGATTTCCAGACATGACAATAATAATAATAATAATAAATTAAACAGTAATCCATAATAATAACAATAATATAATTACAATATTTTCTTTCAAAAAAAGCCGTCTCTTCTCATAGAGGCGAATTGGCACCAACCCTCCAACATAAATATACATCTCGAACATGAACGCAACCTATTAGAATTGTGCTAGAATCTCAACAGAGAATAATGAAAACACCAATGTCGACAAATATCTACAATTTTTGTGTTTTGTTTACGCTTAAGAAAACATGTTCCAATGCAGTTTATAACAACAAATGTTGTAAAATAGTCGTTATACATTCTTGTGTGCATTGTGTAAAAGAAATATCTTCAAAGGCTGTAAACCATGACAGGATGCTTCACTTTACCTTCCAATTGTACTTTTTGTAAATCGCAAATCAAATCTGAAATTTTTTTTTAAATCATTAATTCATTTTACGTTACCTTTTCATTTCATACAAACTGTTCCTGTTCTGGTTGGATGAAATAAAAAACATATTGGTGAGTCTTGTGGTTGGATTCTCAAACGGCTGCACATTGTTCCTATGAGTTAGAGTTAAAAATGTGTTTGTATATTCACAATGACATATTTTACCCAGCGAGCCAGTACAACATGTATAGTGGAACGGTCTAGATGATACTAGACTGGGGCCACAGCTAGCCCTATGGCAACTTTGAAGTGGTCTACCAATCTATGCACTGAGAAGCTGACTGCACCTTCAACAAACAAACCCAGGGCCATCGTTTCCATATCTATTAATAGTTTATCTATCCTTTATGTTTTTTATATGCTTTTTTTGCACGCACAACTAGATCATGATCAAAGCAGGTTTTTTACTCTTTTAAAATCAACCCTTCAAAGCTGAACTTTTTTAGTTTAATAAATACTGGTAAATGTTTTTATTTATTTTTAAAATCCAACAGAAAGAGTTTAATTATAAGCAATATTTTGTGAACAAATCAGTCCACACTATTATGTCTTCATCTAATTAGAAAACATGTAGCTGATTGGCTGAGTGACGGCTGGTTCTGTCTGGAGAAAAAAGCTTAAGGCTCAAAAGAGGTCAAAAATACAGACACGAGATAAGAATAGAGACTGAATCAACTAGAGGGGAGGAACTATAGTTACATGGGATTGTATGACATAGTTTTTTGGTTTCAAAGTTTGGTACATTTAATAATATTTAGACTAGTCCTGATTTGTGAACAGAAAATTAAGACAATTAATGTATTCAATATTATTAACACATTACTTATTAAATTATTAACACATTACTTATTAAATCGTAGTTTACAATATTTACATTTATTTGTTTATGGAGAGACCTTTCTATTTGCATTATTTTATAGTCTTTTGCACTTTTTAATAAACCTTGTGTTTATGGAATGTGCTATATATTGAAAGTGGATATGATTTTGGTACAGTTTACACACACACGCACACGCACATACACATGCGCACACATCTACACGTATACATACAACTGCATTCACCATTTCAATATGGGTTATGTTTACAATTTCAATATAAATAGCCTATATACTGTATAAGGAACTTTATACACAGTTTATCGGCTCAAAATGGAGGAAGGAAAACAGACACTCCCACTCCTCTAGACCATATACTGGATCTCTAGACTTGTCAAACATGGAACCATTATGACGTGATCTGTTTTGAAGTTAGAGGTGGTATTCCCCTGCCATCAAAAAAAAAAAAAAAAAAAAAAATTCCCCTGCCATCCTGTAGAAAATAACTGGATGCGGAAGACGTGGTCACGCAGAGCAGCGGCGCCGGGAGCGTGAGCGCGTCTGCCCTGGTCTGTGGGAGTTTAACAGTGTCTTTCAGGCTGTAAATGCACAGTGTTGCTCATGGAGGACCACCCGGTGTTTTTCCTGTGTCCCGAGCTGCTCCCACAGCAAGAACGAAGCGTGGAGAGGTATTTTCGGAACAGACGCAGATCCGGCGGCGGAGACGGGGGTCCGCTGCGTAAAGACCACACCGGGGTCTACAGCCTGTCGTTCAGGAGTCAAAAAGGTACAATCCTGCACTAACTAACACAATCACAGCAAAACTAACAGTTGATAAACATAAACAGCTTTGTGTGTTTTAGTAAGTATTAGGATCTGCGTTTATGAAACTAGAAGCGCAGACTGTTTACAGGGAAACTTCTTACTTTCGTTTTCGCGGAAAGTGAAACTATACAGTCTACTTTATTTGTAGACATTTTCCTACACAAAGTAATAAAAAGTGCTTCACAGCCCATGTCACCCAAGGCATTCAATCATACACGTTTAAAATAACATAATTATGGCTTAAAAATCATAAAAATACTGTCATCTCTTGTAATATATTCATGTTGTGGAACTCATTATGCACATTTTATTATTTGGACCATTTTGTGTGTCTGAATTAAAGATTATATAATTATCACCATTTAGTAAAGACATCACCATAGTTAACATAAGTGTCTGTGTCTGTGTCCTGAAACAGAACTTAGTCCAATGTCACTGAACTCTGTGTGATTTTAGTGTTCTGGACCAACAGTAGATAGTGACATACATATAATGCTGTTTTAGACTAACTTACCCAATACTTATATCATATTGGCCCTTGACCTCTTGTTTACAGTCGGGGAAAGTGTGATTTTTGACCCTGATTGTAAAAAAAGGAGTGTATATTTTACAGGAAAGCATAAAGAAACTGTAACATCAGCATTGTTGACACTTCTATGGTGTTTTCTTGAGATGATGATGATATGGTGATGTTATTTCATATTATTTATTGATTTTATTTCATCATTTGAATAGTGTGTCATCTCCTTTCTTTCTGACACGCCTTAGATCCTGCCAAAAGAACAAAGATAAAGGGGAATCACACGGCTAAATATGTGACTGCCAGAAGAAATAAGAAATGACAATAATACAATGAATGTATTTGTCTTTTGAATGATTATGAATACAGTAATGAAGGAAATCATTTGAACATCTGAAAGTAGTGGTTGTTAAAATAGAATACATCTGGATTTAAGTTCACAAAAACAGCAAGACTAAACCAAAATTAGTGCATGTCTATTGCTGAAAACTGGTTATTTGTTGTTAGTCATTTGAACTGATAACACAACCTTTAAATGTAAAATTATATTCATCTAATGACTCAATGAAAGACAACTACAAGGTTTGTGCAGTTGATACATAATATATTCTGTAGGTTTAAAATGTGAGATGAAATGATTTGAACTGATGTTGAAATAATTGAAAGTTTGTTAGAGTTAGAATTGTAACAACAATTTTACTGTTTTCTCAAATAGATCAACATGAAGTTCTCAGGAAGAAAAAACATGTGGTGGAGGTTGGAGACTGTTCCCTGGAAATCATGGTCACAGAAGTGTCTCCTGAACACGGCAGATCCCAGACGGACTGTGCAACTGCAAAGGTACAACTTATGATGTCCTTAAGACATACTTTGCTGAGATTGTAGATTTATTATGTAAATTGTATTCATATTCATAATATAATTATAAAAGTCATGTTTAAATGATGGATTCCCTTAAAGCTGGGAAACCTAACTTTAAAACCACACACTATGGAACTATGTAATGAAATCCATTTAATAATTTCCTCGTCTCAAAACAGTTCCATCATAGTTTTCACATGTATTTTTGGCCTCTTATCGTCACATATTTAGATCAACCTTCTCTCAGCCCAAAACATCAACTAGTGACTAACAAGGCTCATAGTGCGCTAAAGATAACGATAACTAAAGATGTGTTATAATGAAAGAAGAAGAGTGTAAGATGAAGAGAGCATGTTGTGACCCTTCATTATTCACAAAATGTTACTTTAAAGAGACTCTTTATGTTGGCGCAAACAACACGTATTATTTATGAGCATAAAAGTACAATACCCTAGTTTTAATGTGAGAATTACACAATTTGGCATGAATCTGTTTTTCCACCTTGAAACATTTTTGAACCTGCTGATATATAATAAGTGAGCTGTAAGAAAAAGATTTATATCGACTATTCTTTTTAATACCTATAATATGGCCATGATGCATTTTTTTCTAAAGGTCTAAATTATGCTATGTGACTTGGGTGGTATCTCAGGTATGTCCTGTTAATCGATCCATTTAAAAGTGTGCCAAGTGAGATAATAATTTGGATAATAAGAATTCCTTTATTCGTCCCACAGTGGGGAAATTTCGTAATGGATTAGTTACTTAATTATTCTTTTGATTAGACCTGGAAAGGTCAAACTGGAAGTCCCTGGAAGGTTCAAAAAAGCTATACTACATTAATCGAGTAACTTGTTTCAGTCCTAATCTCAGTACTTTCCTTGAGGTTGAGGTTTATTAGTCCTTATCTTAACCTCATTATTACAATTGAGTTTAGACCTCACTTTGGCCTAAAATTGCATTAATTTGAAAAAGTAATTACCCACAAACTCAAAAATACTAACCGTGTGGTATACATCAATGACATATTCCCCCATTTACATGTATGGTTTGTTCTTTCTGACGCAGACTTGCAGAAGCTCACCCCTTCCCTCTAGTGGCGACCATCATGAACTACACGTGGATCGTTACCTCCTCTTTTACCTGAAAGACTGTGAAAAAGCTGAACACTGGCTTCTCAAACAGTTATCACTGTTGCACTGCAGGGCTGAGTTGTACCCAGAAAATGAGAGCGTTGTGGTGAAGAGGTTAGAGACTAGTGAGAAAACTGGGGCTGGTGATAACTGGAAACAAGACATCGAAGCATTTTTTAAGAAAGTCAAAAGTCAATACACTTGTCACTTTGAAACAGATCCACGTAAAGTGAAATCTTTGCTGGAATCGAGCTGCTGTCTGACTGAGGTGAAAGTGTACAGTGATATTGGTTTGGCTGTTGTAGTTGGAGAAAGTTCTCACGTTAACTCTGTATTGGATTCACTAACAGAAAAATGCGATTCAAAGGCACATCGAATTGTCTGGCGGCTTAGCGAGGCAAAGTTAAGACTTATCAGGAACTGGCTTGAACAAGATAAATTCCCAAAAGTGAATGTGTTTCAGGAAGAGGGAGGGTGTTTGGTACTTGAAGGCAAAGCAGCTGAAGTGCTACGAGCTGACGAATATATTGCAGAGCTCGACAAGACGGTAATAGACCGGACAATATCAGATTTCAACCCATGTTTTTTGGTGTTTTGGAAAAAAACGTTTGGCACACCAGGAGTTTTTGATGATTTGTCAGATATGGGAGTTGAAATGGACATAGGAACTACTGATTTAAAACTGTTTTCCTTTTCTTCTACAAGTCTGGATGACTTTGAGCAGGCTTTACGCACCAATTTCCACCTACAGGAAGTTCCTATTGCAGATGTGAAGGCCATATGTTCGCTGCAAGTGAAAATCAAACCAATTTTGACAAAAATCAACTGTGAGGGACGTAGGGTTGAGGCGTTGGCTTCACTTGATAATGTTATTTACCTTGTGGGCCACGCCAAAGAAGTTAAAGAGCTTTATGAAATTGTCACACGGATTGTTGAGGATTTGGATGAAGAAATGGAACAAGGCAGGTCCTTGAAGGCATCACATAGTCTGGACTTGAATGTGTTTTGTCCAAATGCTTCAAAATCCTCCTTCATGTCACTCCAGGAAAACCGTTCTAAGCATCCACCGCAAACGTGTCCTTCGCTTCTCGATCAAGACGCGATTGTCGTGGCTCGATATTTCCCGCAGGAAGACCTAGAGGTGTTGGTTTGTTTGGGCGACATCATCAAACAGGAAGCGGACGCGCTGGTGAACGCGGCTAACAAAGATTTGAAACACGAGAGCGGCTCGGCTTTGGCTCTGTGCAAAGCCGGTGGGCGGGAAATTCAAATGGAATGCAACGCTTTGGTGGAAAATTACGGGAAAATTTGCACGGGAGAAGCAGTGGTGACAGGCGGGGGCGCGCTGAAATGCAAAAAGCTGATACATGCGGTCGCTCCGGTGAATGGCAGAGTGGATGGAAGAGAAAAGGCGTTGATACAGAAAGCCGTCACCTGTGCTTTGGATCTGTGTGAGATCATGGAGTTCACATCAGTAGCGTTGCCCTGCGTAGGCTCAGGAGTGTTTGTGGTGCCTGCGTCTGTGTGCGCCGAGGCTATCGCAAGCGCGGTTCGGGGTTTCAGCGCGATCGGGCAGCGGAGTTTGAAGAAAATTACTCTGATAGACGATAGAAAGAAGGTGGTGAAGTCTTTAAAGGCTGCGTGTGATCGGGTACTGCGAGATATGCCGGTGAGGGAAAGTCTAGATGTAGAAGTTGAGGAAACATGGGAGGAGCAAACAGAAGGGCCGCTCAAAAGGCCGTCAGCGCCGTTAGAAGTGGCATCCAAAGACAGCGGCGGGACGGCTATCAAAGTGGACATCATACAAGGCACGATTGAAAAGCAACAGGTGAGCCACGAACCCAAGGCTTCAAGGTGATGTCTGCAACTCTTCTTTGATAATATCCCGCAATAATCTACACACACACACACACACACACCCCAAAATGCATTAAATCAGGTTAGAGCCTCCCCTCCCTCCCCTTTTATGCCTTATCTTTATACATTTCCTGTAAATATTGATTTGCATTGTGTCTGTATTATGCAAATTCTCACTTTCGTTCTTTATGCTTCCAATAAAGATTATGGGAAAAACACAAATATGTATTTGATCACATGCCCCTGTAGCAATGTATCTTGTAAAATATTTAAAAAAAACAATATATGTAATAAAACAATATAAGTGGAATGAACATATTTTCTGATGAGTGTTGTTGAGCTTTCTGTGTTTGGTGATGAAAGTGACCAGTTACGGCCCCGTTTTAGGTGGATGCGGTGGTGTCGCCGATGTGCGGTGGGGGTCCTCTGTCCACTCGTGTTGGGAAGTGCTTGTATGAGACGGTTGGGCCTCAGCTAACGGACATTTACTCCAAACAAGAGCAAGGAGAGACGCCTGGAGACTGCGTGATGGTGGACGGTCTGAGTGGAGCCATGTTTAAAGCTATTTTCTTTGTACATCTCCTACAATGGGACAATGACCCGGATGGAACTGCAGTTGAGGTAAATTATAGATGAGTGGGATAAGATAAGATAAGGATGTATAGTATGGTTTTTATAGCCAAGTGCACAATATTTCTTGTTTATGGAAAAGAAAATAGTTAGCTACCGCAGCTTTAATGTGTAAATAGTGTTTCTGGGCGTTTGGGAGTAGTTTTTGTGTAGTTTGTGACCAAGTCTAGGTTGAAGTTCAACACTTATTTTGCCTACCTCTATTTATAAACTTCATATCTGTCATTTGCTCACACTCTGGTTTGTTTATATCAAACCAACTCACAGTTCAACTACACAACCACAATCAAACGTTGGAAATCAGTTCATAAAGTCTTGCCAAAAACACTGTTTACAATACATTTAGTGCTAGGTTAAGTGCTGTGTGTATGTCTGTGTGTGTGTGTGTGTGTGTGTGCGCGTGTGCATGTGGAGCTGATCTAGAGCCAAGGACAGCTGGCAAAAACATGTTTCCCATGTGTTTTGACTGGGAGACGTATTATTGCGCGAACAAATTTAGAAATGCATTCTATTTTTGGCGCTGCCTCGCATCAATACGTCCGTCGAGCTGTTGTATTTCTTGTACATTTCTTTCTTTCTTTACTGACATACAGTTTGTTTTGCTCAGGTCTTGAGGCTGGTGGTCAGTGAGGTCTTAACCTCGTGTGAAAACCAGGGCTTTACTTCCATCGCTTTCCCCATTCTCGGAGCTGGAGTGGCCCTCGGCTTTCCCGGGGACGTTGTGGCACAGGTTTTTCTCGAAGAAATTCACAATTTTGGCCAAAGACGGCACCAAACGGCTCCTTTCGCGGTCAGCATCGTCTGCCCGCCAAGTGACGAGGATTTCACCGAGGTAAAAGAGAAGGACTTCAGACTTTGATAGAAAATCGAAACCAATTATTTTGTGTGCCTCTTTTTTTATCTGTAGACGCTGAAATCTATGCAGGATTCATTGGAGGAACCGGTTTTGCAAGGTAAATATGCTTTTCCATTCTGAAATATTGTGGTTGTTATTTTTCTCTGGTCACAGCTATAACGTGAACTGGAGAGAGCAGATACTGATTATTGTTGTATTGTTCTGAAGTTTCTAATACGAAAATACAGCGTGTTTGAAAATGATTTCATTTTAATTCTGTCTTTTTGAGCAGAAGTAGTTACATTCATAAAGGTTTCGCTTACATTTTACGTGCAAAGACATAAATACACACACACACACACACACATACACATACACATACAGATACATAGATACACATACAGAGACATAAACATACACATTCATATACAGAGACATAAACATACACACACATAGATATACATACACATTCACATACACATCATACATATACACAAACACATTCATTCATTCATTCACATATACAAATGCAGAGACATAAACATAAAAGTGAAAAAGAGAGGACCACACAAAACCACTTGAAAACATGTGAGCAATTTCTTCATGTTTCAGAGCCAAAGCGAATCATCCTCTTGGGGAAAACCGGATCCGGGAAGAGCAGCTTGGGAAACACCATTTTGGAAGAACCGTTTTTTGAGACTGACGACACTCCCAACTCCGGGACAAAGAAATGCCAATCCAAAACCCAAACGAGGAACGGAAGCAGCTTCACCCTGATCGACACTCCCGGTTTATTCGATTCAGAGCGTCCCGAAGAGGAGCTCATGCCGCAGATCCTCAGCTGTCTCACCGAAAGCACACCGGGACCACACGCTTTCCTCATTGTGCTAAAAGTCGAAAAATTCACGACGCAAGAGCAATCCGTCATCAACAAAATATGCCAATACTTTTCCGAAGAAGCCTTACAATACGCCACCGTGGTCTTCACCCACGGCAACCAGCTACCGCCTGGCACAACGATTGAAACCTTTATCAGCCAAAGTAAAGATTTGAGCAAGCTCGTAGAAAAATGCGGTAACCGTTGCCACGTTCTCGATAACACATATTGGAACGACGCACAACCAGACCAGTACAGATCTAACCGATTCCAAGTCGAGGCTTTGCTTGACACCGTTGACCACATGGTGAAAAGCAATAACTGCGGGTTTTACACAAATAATGCGTTCAAAGTTCTGGAGGAAGACATAGAGGAAGAAATTATCCAAATCAAAGACGTCGATGTATACAAGCCTCCGGATATCGTTAGAAAAGAGGCGACAAAACGCGTGTTGGACAGGTGGCTGATCAGTCTGGCAGGGATAGGCACAGGCGCAGTGCTAGGAGCGATTTTTGGCATTGAAGCGATGGTGAAGATGGTTCTTCTCGCCGTTCAAAAGACGGTGTTTGTTAACGGAGCGCGAAAGCTTATATCTGCCACAGGGTGTGCTCCGTCAGGGAAGGGGCTGGCGATTGCGACTGGGGTAGCGATTGGTGTGGCTGCGTTGGTTGGAGGCGCTAGCGGTGCGGCGATCGGAGGAAAGGAAGCCGATGAATCCGACTCGGTGGGAGAAGTTGTGGCGAAGACGAAAAAGGCAATATGCGGCACAAGGGAGCAGGGTCTGAAAGCCATCCAAGACGTGGCAAAACGGTGTTGAACGATGATGTTGTTGAATTTTGTTAATGTTCTCATCTTAATTGCACATAGGGCTGTGCAATTAAAAAAATATGTGATTTAGGTGTAAGGTTTTCTGTTCATATTCACAACTATGGGTGTTTTAAAAGTAGGGCTGTCAAACGATTAACATTTTTTTGTTGATTAATAGCACAGAAATGGTGAGTTAACTCACGATTAATCGCATTTTTAACATTCTATTTCAAATCCACTCCAATTGAAGTTAAATGAGATTATCAAATATAATGACACATTGTCATTCATACCAAATGTACTTAAATCTGTTTGCTTTTGGGCAAAACCAACATGAGCTGTTAATGAAAGGGGGAAATTTACATACCCCAGCTTTAATTCAGCGTTTCAGTTTAGTTTAGTTTCAGGAGGAGACAGGGACACTCCTTACGCACAGGTTGCAAAGACACGAACACAACATGCAGACAATAGTTCTGTGGCGTGTTTAGTCTTATGACCATGTTACCGCGGCGCCACTCACTCACAGCCGCTCACAGCCGTGTTGTTGTGAGCGGCTCACAGTCAGAGCGGCCACGGAGGAGGCGGACTTCAGTTCACAGCAAACAACAGCCCCGCGGTGGCGCGCGTATTCTTTTAAAACATGAATCCCCAGAGGGCCTACCTGCTCTGATGCCATCTCACACGCAGCATTCTGAGTGATAATGGATAAATGGGCGGATCATTCGGACGTGCGTTAATGCGTTAATATTTTTTTTAACGCGTTAATGAAAAATTTAATTAACGTGAGTTAACGCGATAATTTTGACAGCCCTATTTAAAAGTCAATAATATATGTTTGAACCATAGACTGTATATTAACAGTGGACTGACAGAGTGCTGATGTCACAAAGTGTTTTAATAGCATTGCACCGTAACAGGGGCAGACATGTTGCTAAGACGATTGCTAAGACAAGGTGGCGTTTTACCCGCAAATGAAGGCAACTCATTGGTCAATCATTATATGGCTTGTATCTGGATTTTCAGCGAAATGCGAATACATACAGGATCATAGAGAAACCGCGAATTTTAGAAGCCCAAATGGTGAGCGTGACAAAAGGTTACTCATTTTTTTATATGTAAACCAATAGGAGCCAGGGTGAGTTGGAGCAAAACTTTGTCCATGAGCACTTCCCTATTGGGCTTCATTGTGCTAGCGTGTTAGCATTCTCCATCTAAATACAGTCTATGGTTTTGACCACTTCATGTACCTATGGGGTTATACTGTTGCTTTAATGGCATGTTGAATGTAAAGAATGAATAAGAATAAGAATGTTATGTCTTATCTGCACTTTAAATTGTTGTCTATAATGAAAAGTGGTGACGGTATTTTTGTTCAAATGTGTCACTCTTCTAAAACACATATAGCAAATATTTTAAATGACAAAACTATTTTACATGTGCATAATACCTTTTTATTTGTTCACTTGGAGACGATGCAATTGTTGTCAAACTGTAATCGGTGCTTATGGGAAAATGTTGTCAAATTCTTTTTAAAGAAAAAGGTTTTCTTAAATATTTTTAATGTTTGTTTTGGGAAATAAAGGTGACAGTTTGTTCTTATCTATCGTCTTTTTGTTCCATGTATGACCACAAGAGGGCGCCCTGTCTCCAAAATGGAAACACTGCCCAGAGTTCTATCAAGTCACTTTGAAAAAGAATTAACGCAAGCACTGATGAACAGTAGTTTTTCTAATGTTTTAAAAGTTGAGTAGAAAGTACTAAACGTGTAACTGTAATCTCCATCCAAGCAGAATTAGTTCCATTCATGTGTTCATCATATTTACTTACTGTACATAGTTTATACATGCACAGATACATACTTACATACATAAACAATATTAAGCAGCATTCACCACGCTGTCAATATAATACAAATACATTAACAAATGTATTTACAGTTTATCTTCTTGAAATGCGTGAAGAACCTTTTATAAATGAATACGGATGAATTACAATCGTTTCAGTCAAACCCAGTTTCATATATTGTATATAGATATATTATAGTTTAAAAAAACCCTGATATCATGCCGAGCAACCATGTAATAAACTGGATCAAAACATCTTTAAAGTATTTAAATGTTTTAAATATATTATTTTTAACGTTAATGAGTTGAGTGAATTATTGAAAATGCGAAAAATGCCAAAGTCCGTCTATCCTTCTGTGATGTCATTAGTTCTGCTCTACTTTCTGGAAACTAACGTAGTTTTATGTTTTTTTTGTGTAAAACTATCATCTATATTTGAATCCGGTGTCCTTCGTCCAAGACTTTAATGACAAATTTATGACAATATAAAAACCTGTGATACGGACTTTACCATCTGTGAAAATATACAGTTGAGTTTCCTCCTGATGACCTCACAGCAATAAAACTCAGCATGATACAAATGCTCCATAAATTATTTTCTAAACAGCAGTCGCATGGAGTCAGTCAGTGTGGTAATGGTCTTCAACACGCCTCTCTGGGTGTGTGTGTGTGTGTGTGTGTGTGTGTGTGTGTGTGTGTGTGTGTGTGTGTGTGTGTGTATGTGTGTGTGTGTGTGTGTGCGCCTCTTTCCTTGTGTGAGCGCATGTTTTGGCAGGTTTGACAGACCTGCTGCTGCTGTGGGTGGGGACCAGGCTGAATAGAAGTCCCAAACACGCGACACACCTTCACTTTTGAGAGCTGCTTCTGTATGGACTCACAGCTACAGCTTTGGTGAGTGTGAATACTATCTTTATCACTGCACATCTACATTTGAACCCTGAGGTGGAGTCCAGATATTTTGATTTACTGCCTTTGTCTGTGGGAATCTGGCTTTATTCTGCCATTTGTTGAAGCCAATGTATTTGTCAACAAAGAGTAGGACTATAAAAATTCTTTAAAAATATAAATGTCTTTGCCTTGAATGTTCCATAGTGTGACATTTCACTTACCAATCTTATATTCTTTTATTGGTATAATTATTTTATGACATCTCAAAAATCATCTAAACGCATCTAAGCTGATATATTGTTACCGTCTCCAAGGAGATAGTTTTTATAATGTGTGTCTATGTCTATCATTACAGTAAGATGATTATTTAGGGGTGGACCTTCCACTCAACCACAAATGTCAATATAATTCTAAATCAGTTTACAAGCTTAAAATATGTGCTGTTATTTCAATTCGATCTATTATCTACTATTTTCCTGGTATGGCTTCCTCTGACTCGAACTTGATCGTCAAATACGCTGATGACACCACCATCATCGGTCTCATCAGTGATAAGGATGAATCCTCTTACAGAGCAGAGATCGAACATATTTTCCGTGCAGTAAAGTAAACAATCTCCAGCCGAACACAGCAATAACATGTGATCTTGTTTTGGATTTCAGTCGCAACAGTTCTCACACTCCTGTTGTTATTGACAACTCCCAGGTGCAGATGGTAGAGGAGGCAAGTTTCTATGGGTTTAACTCTGTCTAACGACCTGAAATGGGACAAAAACACTAACCGGGTCGTTAAGAAAGCTCGTCAGTGGCTCTTCTTTTTACGGAAACGTAGAGAATTTTCCAATAACTCTAAGATTCTGCTTCACTTTTATCGCTGCACCATTGGGAGTTTACTTGTTGGTTCTGTGACTGTGTGGTTTGGTGACATCTCAGATAAAGAAAGGAGAGCTCTAAACAAGGTGCCCCGCTCTGAAAGAGGACTGTGGGCTGTGAGCTTCCTGTTCTGGAGGTTCTTTATAAATACAGACTCTTAAACCAAGCTCTAAGAATAATCAATGACTCTTCTTGCCACCCTGGTAAAGCCATGTTCCAGCTTCTTCCCTCGGGCAGAAGATATCGGTCGCTGAGATGCAAGACATCTCGCTATGCTAACAGCTTCTTTCCACAAGCTGTTAGGTGTCTAAACAGAGCACTTTAATTGTTGCTTTTACCCCATGTATCGGGTTTTTTTGTCAATCGGTGCCACAGTGTCAGCTGTTTTTATTTATGTTCAGTGTTTGTGTATTACATTGCATCGTGCTCTTTACTCTGTTGGTGCACACAGAGTACCTTTTTTTGCAAATATTGCAAGTATTTCAATGTGGTTTTTATACTGCACATGTCTAATAAAAAGAATCTGAACCTGAATCTAACCATGGCAACGGTTTCTTTCTGTAATTTCTTGGCCAACAAAAACTGTCACAAAAGTCATGTTTATGTTGTCAGCACATATCAACTATGGTCTGATTATTTTCTAATAAAGAAGTCTAGAAGAAGTGACAATATTCAAAAACATGCATGATGTTTGCGGCTTATCTGGGGAAACATTTGAACATATTCATTTTCAACATTTCTTTCAAAAATAGTTGTATTGACAGCTGCGCTCCAACTGAAAGAAAAACCAACAACATGAATTGATTCTTTTTACTAAATATTTTTTACTCAAGCGATTAATTTCATGTTATAACGTGAGCTCATTTCACAGGGACAGGAATAACTCAGCAAAGACAGAGCTGTTTTTGAATAACATATCTTGAGATGCAATAACAAATGTTGAACCGTCTTGTTTCAGCTACACTTCCTTCTCCTCCTGTCACACTGTCCATCCCTGTGGCCTCTGCTGCTCCGACTAAAACCCACATCAATTCAGAATCATTCCTTTTCAGTTTAGTTTATTTATTAATATCAGAAATATCAGACAATGCTGACGATTTCAGGCACTTGGCGACAAGATATAAAAGTACATACAGTCTGAAGAAGCAATAGGCAGAAGATAAAGCGTATAAAAGCCTACCTTTCAGGACACATGTTGAACTCAAACTGCTGATATTAATAAGACATAAATAATTCACTGCCAGTTCATTCCAATACTTTATTTTACATTTGCACTAATAATGTTTTTTTTTTTTTTACACATTGTGAATAACAATGTACAAACTACATTTAAAACAGCAAGTCAAACTGACAGTGAGAAATAGTTCTATTCCCCCTGCAGCCCGTGGATGTGACGAGTTAAAAGGCAGCTTAAAGCTTTGGACAAGACTCTGGACTCTTGCAAAAGCTGATCTTGAAACCTGTTTTTATAACCAAAAAATCAAGGTTTGATTCTGAATCGAAGACATAGGGCTCTATGTGATGTGACAGACGCCATTCTTGGGCATAAGTGTACCTGAATCCCCATGATGTGTGTTTACAACGAAGTCAGCGTGAGGTTAGGTCACAGAGTGTGAGGGAGGAGGGGGCTGTTATCTGGTGCTACCTCAGTGCGCTGGTGGGGACGCAGGCTAACAGGCAGTTTCAATTGACATCACCTTTATGCAAAAGATTGCTTTAATTTCAAACGTTTTGAGTGTCGTCTGTGAAACCTGCAGAAGAGTGTTATATGGGACCTTTAAGGTGCTTTCACAACATACAGTATGTGGGTGTTTAAGTGTGTGTGCATTAAAAACAGTTCCTCTGAATCATGAAGGGGAAATTGTTCTTCCTTTTTAATATTCTTTATCTTTGAATTGAATTGAATTTTTTATTTATTTCAAAACATGCACAAGAAACACATTTTACAAATGCAATTTTAGCATAAATTGTGCAGTTCTAAAGTATAGAAAGGATTTTTTTGCGGGGGCAAAGTGTATTTGTTTGATCCCTAGATTTAACTTTATTTATAATTACCATTGCCTTTTTCGAATCAAACTTGATCTGTGTTAGTTTGATATATGTTTCTCCATAGCTCTAAAGCAGGTACTACTACTACTGCTACTACTGCTACTACTGCTACTACTGCTACAACTACCAGCTCTACTCTTTCGTGTGTCGCAATTGTCTTTGAAGCTCTGAGTCACTGTGCACACACGCCTTCAGGACTCACAGTGAAGTAACTGCATATTTTACCAACACACCACATTAACAATAAGAAAAATGGCTAGAATCCCTGCATCAAAGAGGTTTCATACCTGTCACTGTTGAAATCTTTACCCTTCTGGTGTTTCATGTTGATTTTAGGTCATATTTTATGTTTTCAATCTAAAATATGACGTAAAATCATTTGAGGATGCCACATGTGGGTAACACACTGTTGTTGTTGTTTTTTTTTTGCTTTGTTTTTTCAATGGAGGTCAATAGGATTTATGATCAGCAGTCTAGTCTCTGCTTTTTGTTCTATTGAATTTCCAAATCAAAAGCAAAAGTCAGTTCATCAATGAAAGAACACATTTTTAGCTTGAATTTAGATACTTCAAATGAAAAAACATGTTGAGTACTGGTTTGGAAGCTGATTATATAATTTATCATCCTTTGGCAGCACAGTGGCAAAGTAAGCAGAATTATAATATCAGAATTGTTTTCACTGCCATTGGAAGTAACAGGAAGTCACAAACTAGTACATTTACAGAAATTCATTTCAAAGACAAGATGAGCATTCCTAAGCTCCAGATAAGTTTCCCCCACAGGGAAAAGGACAACTGATGCCAGGAAAGGATGACATTGTGTGCGTTTACAAATGACATTTTTATTTTTAAGTCACGTCTATTTCCTTGTGGAGCATTCAGTCTTTCGTGTTTGTACAGGAATCTTTTCACCTTGTTTAACCACACATTCTTACCCACTTCTGCCCAACACCTCACAATGTCTTTAGATTTTGTTTCTAGAGTTGATTTGCACTTTTCCGATCAAAACACGCTAATCTCAAAAGTATCGAAAATCACATATTCATATGCCAACAGCTAGTAACAAAACTAGACACTAATTTTAGATCGAATTGTTAAAAAAACAGGACATTATACATGTTTCTTTATTTTGTGATTCTTCTTTTCTTATAATTCTACTTACTTTGCCACTGTGATGCCAAAGGATGAAACATTATATAATCAGCTTACAAACCTGTACTCAAAATGTTTTTCTCATTTAAAGTATTTAAATTCAAGCCAAAAAAGTGTTCTTTCATTTTCTGAGCTGAATTTGAAAGATTTTGATTAGAACCCATGTCAAATCCTGTGTGATTTAGCAAATATAAATAATGTTGTGGTTAATAACTGGCTTATTCATTCCTAAGAAAAAATGTCAACACCAAGAAATGTAGTTGCCGTTGGAGTAGTATATTTTGCGATAATCATAGATATCCATTTGAATTAGGACAATGTTCAACACCAAATAACCGCATATTTGTTTTTTTCTTATAAAAAGCAGTTTTTCAGTCTTTTCATTGAGTTATTTAGTTGTGGTCTCTGTCACATGATCACCAACATAAGGGCAACCTATTAAATTGTAGGATATTATTAGGATTTTTTTTTTTAGGTTAATTCACAGCCGTTAGAATCAAATCAAGAAGGTCCTGGGTTCGATTCCTTCTCCACATATCGCCTTTCTGTGTGGAGTTTGCTTGTTCTCCCATCGTCTGCATAGCTTTCTCCTACCACTGAAAATATGTACAATACAGGTCTGAATGTAATGAGAAAGTGGTGATGGTCGGGGGCGCCAGGTCTCGCTGTGTGGAGTGAAAGTAATTTACCGAATGACCATTACACCAACATGTAAGACGCCTTGTGACCTTGGTCTGTGAAATAAGCAATAAAAACAACGCTACCTCTTCTGCAAGATGACATTGCTTGACATTTATGGTGACATATACAGTATATTTTATCCAAGAATACTGTAGATTAATTTCATTCCGCTCATTAAGATTATAACTAATTTGACATCCGCTGTATGCACTGGGTACCTGCCTTTAATTAATCATGTGATACAAACCAAAACATGTATTTTTGGCCAGCTTTCTCAGACCGAAAAGTGAAAAATAGAGGACCACCTTCTTACAGCCAATCAGCTCTCAGCTCAAAGCATCAAATAGTGACTCACAGGGCACAGTATGCAAGAGATTACATGTTTTTTTCCCCCTTATACTTAAACAGCATCAGATCTTATGATTAAAGAGAGAAAACAGCTTTGTAAAAGTTTTCTAATCTGTAATTATTATAGTTATGAAAACGACTCCACAACTCACTCACGAATATTGTTTTTTTTTTCTTTGGGTGTATTCCCCGCTCTGATTTATTTTTACAACTACTAAATACTTTATTGCAGAGTTGGGCAATTATTTAGAATGCTGTCATATTGTGAATGGACTGATCCGTCTTTTTAATTTACCCAAAAAAAATAATGGAGGGAGAAAGAAACATGGAGCCAAAATACCCCAGCATTAATATTTTCTTGTGTGGCTGAATTGTGAAATCCGATAAGTTTTTCCCTCTTTTTTTCCACATTTATAGCGTGTATCAGATGCATGTGCCTAAATGTTGTTGTGGAATCGGAAACTGGTCGGTTTTGGGTGTGTGTTTGTGATTGAGCTGCATACTTTCACTGGATGACAGGGCGTGGACTGGGACCAGCGTGCGGCGACAAGTCCAATGCCCTAAACTTTCAATGGCGTCAAATGACAAGTGGTACATTACATATATAATTACGACCTCTTCTGCTTAATGGTTGTGTAGCCGTGAGGAAAGGTGGGCATCGGCTCAACTTTGTGATTTTAATAAAGATACAGATGAAAGTGGTAGTTTGTGAATGCAGACCTGCCCACTTGTTTATGCTTGTGGCGTTCTATAATTGTTTTGTGTCTGAGTGACAATATTTTTAAGGTTATTGAGACCAACCCACCACTTCAATTAAAATAGGAAAATCTAATATGCAGCCAAACACATCATAATCACTAAATTGATAGAAAAAAACAGTATGGGTAAGTATCTGGTTCAGTAAAAAAGAAAAAATAATGTTCAAAATAAATAAATATATTGTAGTTTCCTCACTGTGGGACAATAACGGATTAATCTAAACAGACACAGTTAATACCACAACATTCAAGCATACTTTTGTTCTTCAAATGCAAACCACCAGAATTCCCTCTTAAAGACATTCCATGGTCTGGGATGTTGATTTTTTAATGAAAAATCGCAAAAAGAAAACAAAACGTTATCATTTATTTAAGCATTTCTCAGTTGAAGTTTGTGATCAGAAAAGTTTGTCGCTAAAACAGATGATAAACAGGTAAAGAATATACCATTGTTGACATTTTTATATAGATAGATTACTTTAGGACGGGAGAAGAGAGGGGCGGAGCTGTCAACCGATCATCACCTGGTCGTGAGTTGGATCCGCTGGCAGGGGAAGAAGCCGGTCAGACCTGGCAGACCCAAGCGTATAGTGAGGGTCTGCTGGGAACGTGTCGCTGAGCCCCCTGTCAGACGGACTTTCAACTCACACCTCCGGGAGAGTTTCTCCCAGGTCCCGGCGGAGGAGGGGGACATGGAGTCCGAGTGGACCATGTGCTCTGCCTCAATCAATCGCCAATGCGGCGGCTCGTAGCTGTGGTCGCAAGGTCTCTGGTGCTGGTCCCGGCGGCAACCCCCGAACCCGGTGGTGGACACCGGCAGTAAGGGATGCTGTCAGGCTGAAGAAGGAGTCCTATCGAGCCATGATAGTTCGGGGGACTCCTGAGGCAGCTGTCCAGTACCGGCAGGCCAAGCGTGCCGCGGCCCGGGCTGTTGCAGAGGCAAAAACCCGGGACTGGGAGGAGTTCGGAGAGTCCATGGAGCATGACTATCGGTCGGCCTCGAAGAGATTCTGGCAAACCGTCCGGCGCCTCAGGAGGGGGAAGCAGTTCTTTGCCAACACCATGTACGGTGCGGGTGGAGGGCTGCTGACCTCGACTGGGGATATTGTCGGGCGGTGGAAGGAATACTTTGAGGTTCTCCTCAATCCCCCCGTCACGTCCTCTGTTACAGAGGCAGAGGCTGAGGATGTTGGGGCGGATACATCCATCTCCCTGGCTGAGGTCACCAAGGTGGTTGGCAGCCTCCATGGTGGCAAGGCTCCGGGTGCGGATGAGATCCGCCCTGATTATCTAAAGTCTCTGGATGTTGTAGGACTGTCTTGGCTGACACGTCTCTGCAACATCGCGTGGCGATCGGGGGCAGTGCCAATGGAGTGGCAGACCGGGGTGGTGGTCCCTCTCTACAAGAAGGGGGACCGGAGGGTGTGTTCCAATTATCGTGGGATCACACTCCTCAGCCTCCCCGGTAAGGTCTACTCCAAGGTACTGGAGAGGAGGCTACGGCCGATGGTCGAATCTCGGATCCAGGAGGAGCAGTGTGGTTTTCGTCCCGGTCGCGGAACACTGGACCAGCTCTATACTCTCCATCGGATACTCGAGGGTTCATGGGAGTTCGCCCAACCTGTCCACATGTGCTTTGTGGATTTGGAGAAGGCGTTCGGCTGTGTTCCCCGGGGTGTCCTTTGGGGGGTTCTCCGGGAGTACGGGGTCGGAGGTCCTCTGCTGAGGGCCATCCGATCCCTGTATGACCGGAGCCAGAGCTGTGTTTGCATTGCCGGCAGTAAGTCAGACCTGTTCCCGGTGAATGTTGGCCTCCGACAGGGCTGCCCTTTGTCACCGGTTCTGTTCACTGTATTTATGGACAGAAGTTCTAGGCGCAGCCAGGGGTCGGAGGGGGTCCGGTTCGGAGACCACAGGATTTCATCTCTGCTGTTTGCGGACGATGTTGTCCTGTTGGCTCCAACAAACCAGGACCTGCAACATGCACTGGGGCGGTTTGCAGCCGAGTGTGAAGCGGCTGGGATGAGAATCAGCACCTCCAAATCCGAGGCCATGGTGCTCGACCGGAAAAAGGTGCCTTGCCCTCTGCAGGTGGGTGGAGAGGTCCTTCCTCAAGTGGAGGAGTTCAAGTATCTCGGGGTCTTGTTCACGAGTGAGGGAAGAATGGAGCGTGAGATTGACAGGCGGATCGGTGCAGCGTGCACAGTGATGCGGTCGCTGTATCGGACCGTTGTGGTGAAGAGGGAGCTGAGCCGAAAGGCAAAGCTCTCGATTTACCGGTCAATCTTCGTTCCCTCCCTCACCTATGGTCATGAGCTTTGGGTAATGACCGAAAGAACGAGATCGCGGATACAAGCGGTCGAAATGAGCTTCCTCCGCAGAGTGGCTGGGCGCTCCCTTAGAGATAGGGTGAGGAGCTCAGTCACACGGGAGGAGCTCGGAGTAGAGCCGCTGCTTCTCCACGTCGAGAGGAACCAGTTGAGGTGGCTCGGGCATCTGTTCCGGATGCCTCCTGGACGCCTCCCTGGGGAGGTGTTCCGGGCACGTCCCACCGGGAGGAGGCCCCGCGGAAGACCTAGGACACGCTGGAGGGACTATGTCTCTCAGCTGGCCTGGGAACGACTTGGGGTCCCCCCGGACGAGCTGGAGGAAGTGTGTGTGGATAGCTTAGACTGCTGCCCCCGCGACCCGGCAACGGATAAAGCGGAAGAAAATGGATGGATGGATGGGAGAAGATTTCAATAATTTGCTGTTATTTTCTCCAATATCAAAACCCAGTAGCTCCCTCTGTCACAGTGAGATAGTAGACTGAGTATTGCGTTACTTATAACATGGAAATGCCTAATTGTTAGAGCAATAGAAACCAGCTCCTCATGTCTGGTCCTGTGCAAGTGGAATTAAAGACTACAGGTTTAAACATGTTACACTTTCGCCACACTGTATGCACACGCACACACACACACACACACACGCACACACACACAGGAAAATATGAATCCATCATTCCAGATGTCAAGAGACGCTGAGGTCACAAGAGGAAGGTGGGAGACAAAATAGTGATATTCAAGAGTCTAATTTTGGGCTACTGTGTTCAACTCAATACAAACTAAAGTATTAGAGTGATTCATATAGAATATATATAGAAACCAAACCTCAATGCATGTGAAAACTAGTGACAGAACCACATTTTACTTGATTTTGTTTACTAATGACCACAAGTTCAGACTTTATTGTATGTAATATTTAATTTCATAGCACAATTCACAGTTCAAATCTATTCAATTCTTTTACTTTTTGTATTGGCCCTAAATCACAACAGTAGTTATCTCAGAGGAATTTACAAAATCGTCGTTTCGCCCAAGAAATGCAATGATAAAAAAAAACACATAGAGCCATTGGTCCAAATGGGGCAGATTACCAATGTCCATAAATGTCCATATGGATCATCACCACTGTCCTCGGACCCTCCTGCAGGCAAAGAAAAGACAAAGCAATTTTGGTGTACCAGTAATGGCACAGTTATGGACCCACAAGGATGAGGCCGATACTTGTTATTGAGCACATTACGAGAAATTAAACCATATATATAGATCCTTTATAGTTAACATTTCTCCTTCTCTTTCCAACACTGTTTTTTCCAGGTTCCAGGATGCTCCCAAACACCAACAAATCTCTGAATTCCACCCAGGAGACCATCGTGGACAGCACCGCCTCCACCACCATGGGAGCTCTCATCTTGTCTTTAGTTTTCCTCCTGGGATTCCCTGGCAACATCTTCATCATCTGGAGCGTTCTGGCCCGCGCCCGGAAACAAAACGTCACCACGCTGCTGATTTTAAACCTGGCTATAGCCGACGGATCTCTCATGGCTCTCACCCCTTTCTTCATCATCTACCTCATTTTCAAGAACTGGATTTTTGGAAACGTCATGTGCAAAGTGCTCTTCTACCTGTGTCTGTTGAACATGTACGCATCTATTTACCTGATCACCATCATGAGTTTGTACCGGGTGCTGGCGATACGGTGGCCTCACAGGGTCAGGGCGATCACAGGGAAGAGGACGGTGATGCAGGTCTTGGCGGTGACGTGGGTTTTGGTGATGCTGGCCTCGATCCCCGCCCTGCTCTACAGAGACACCAGGAGCAGTGGCGAGAGGGCGGCCTGCGATTCTTATCACGCCACTGACAAAGACGTGAGTATCTAAAGAGAACCGTTAAGAAAAATAAGTGTTTTAATTCAATTCGATGTATTCTTGTATTGGCCCTAAATTACAACAGTAGCTATCTCTCGCAGGACTTTACACAACCAACGAACAAAAACAAGAAATGCAATGCTAAAACACATAGAGCCATTGATCCATTGGGAGCAGAGACCAATGTCCATAATTGTTCATTGAATGTCGAGTGTCCTGGAAATCATCACCACTGTCCTTAGACCCTCCTGCACCGGCAAAAGGAAAAACTCTAATAAAAACCCAATGGGAGAAAAATGAGAAACCTTGGGAAGGCCTACATTGAGAGACGGATCTGCTCCTATGGACAGGCAATAGATCCAGGACTCAGGCTGTAGAACGAGGACTGAGACCACACGATGCAGGACTGAGGCTTTATTGTAAGTAAGTAATAAAGCCTCAAACTATTATGCATTATTTTTGGCCATTAGAAAATATAATCATACATTTCTGCATCTTAGGTTGAAGATCTAAAGTCTAGACAATATGTGGTGAAACAAGAATGGAGGATAAAACTGATTTACGTCTGTAACTCTTCTACCACCAGAGGGAAACTTTTTATCTTAAAATGAATGACTGCAACGCCCACAATGTGAATGTACGGTGGCTAGGTGGATACGATAGCACTTTAGTTTCTCAGCAAGAAGGTCCTGGGTTTGAATCCCAGCTGGAACTTTCTGAGTGGAGTTTGCGTGTTCTCCCCGTGTCTGCGTGCGGAGGTTTCCTCCAGGTTCCCCGGTTTCCCCTACCGCTAAAAACATGCATAACTGATAAATTGCTAAAACAAATATATGTGCAGTACTTTTATAAGGCAGAAGGTTATGTCTCTTTCCTTGAAGAGTGGCACAATTACACTATACTTTTATAGGACTGATCCTGCGTTCATGCCATTTATGAAACTTCTGAAAACTGCTCAAGTTGGAAATTCACTTCTGAAACTCAGGCTGAAAGTTTTCAAGTCCACGTCACTGCGTTGAGTGTAAGGTTAAAATTGGATGAAAGAATAAAGAAAAACTGATTTGTTTTATATCACACTGATGATTTTACTTCATGTTTAAGCCAAAAATCTACTTAAAACTATTAATTAATTTACGAGCATAAACGCTTCGCAGAAATAGATGTATATGTATAAGCAGTTTCTATTATAAGAAACTACATTTTTGCTCCTGTATTCCTCATACCAGCAAAAAGAATCCAGGTACAGAACGATGCTGCACATCTGGGTGTCAGGACACAGGGATTACTATTACAATACCTCATCAGTTCAATAGAAGTCGTATGGCAAAACTCACCTCTACTTCCTGCCCACGTCCTCTGTAAGCGGGTGACTAATCCAACACTTCCAGGTGAATTCTGCCTCACAATGATAGGAAGATCCGACCTCGAAGCTTTTCCATAATACTCCCCGTGTCTGGGTGGGTTTCCTCTGGGCACTCTGCTTTCCGAGCCTGGACTAACCATTTCCTCCTTCTGTGATCTAAATTTATCACAAAGTAATTGCCTATAGATGCAATACTGGGAGGTTAGAAAAAATGTAATTTCCCTCATCACCCAAAACATGCACCAGGCCAAAATCCTCCAGCTCAAGTCCTGACTAAGACGCGGAGATAGAGGACACATTTTTCCACCAGTTACAATAAAGTAAACAAAGAAACTATTAGAAACTAACTAGAAACTAAACTGATTGATTTTACTTCTAAATAGCCTTCGACCTGCATGACATAGGTAGAGTTCCATTTCAGAATTCTGCGTTACTTCCTGTATATTAATAAAAGCTCATTTTCTTTCATCCTGTCACTTGATTGATGTGAAACTAAGATAAGTATTCATCTTCCACCAAGAAAAGTCACACACATTTTATAGCGTAAAATGACCTGGAGGCTGCTCTTCACTAACTTCTGCTCTTGACTTTGTTCGTCGAGGAAGTTTTGAATCTGTGATAAGGGTGATTGTGCAATGTTGATAAGGTCTATGAAATATACAACATTTGTGCAATGAAATGTGCTACATAAAGGCGCATGAGAATTAGTATTTTATTGATTTTTTTCACCAGTGTCAAATTTAATGCTGATTTGATGAAAAAGCACTTAAAATCCAGATCCACTGAAAAATGTGCAGAATATTGTTTTGTTACTTCACTAATAGCAAAAAAGAAAATTATTTCAAGATTTTCTTTGTACTTGATTCCACTCTGTTGTTTTGTTCATTAAACATTAAGGGTCACATTTAGTAAGCAAAAATTTATGTATATGTTTACCTGGTGTGTAAATAAATAAAACAAATAAAAATAAAAAAAGGAAGCATTAACCTACATTTTCAAGGCACCAATCCTCCATCAACATATTCATACTCACTCTAAATGAAAACCACTGGATTTCAATAATTTGCTGTTTATTTTAGACCTCCAGTGAACAGAATGTGCCAACAAATCAGATCATGCCCATGTTGTTTATACCTATTAAAAAACATTTTATCTTGTTCGTACTGCGAGCTGATTGGCTGAAAGAAGGCTGGCACTACTCTACTCTATAGTTACATTGATGTTGTTACATAGTTCATTTTTGTGATTTAAAAGTTAGGTAGTATAGCTTTAAATCCATTCCCATCCTCATTGACACTGAGGATTTTAACTTCACAACATACAGCGCTGGTTTTTCTTGCACGGCCTGATGTCTGTGTTCCTGCTGTGGTTGAAGGTGGTGATCCAGTACATGTTGGAGTTGGTGGTTGGCTTCTGCTTCCCGTACACTGTCATCGTGGTCAGCTACATCTGCATCCTCAAGAGAATCAGACAGACCAAGTTCCGGAGGAGGATCCGCAGCGAGAAGCTCATTCTGGCCATAGTCGTGACCTTCTGCCTCTTCTGGCTGCCCTACCACGTCGTCAACATGGTGCAGGTAGGGGAGCTGTAAAATTTCACATTCACATGACAATAGAATAATAATTGGAAGATTTATTTTAAGTTACATGTTTTCTGTGATTTAAAAAAATCACTACAATCACACTTTTGTTGCCAGAATCTTTGGCCCCTCATGGACAGATTACTGATGCAATCCACCTGTTGGGTTTAGCTAGAAAGGGTAACATCTCTGTAGAGAATTCTTATTTTTGAATCAGCTTTCATCGAAACAAATTGGTGTTAAACATTTGTCTGTTAAAAAAGTAAATAATGTATATTTATATAGTGCATTTTACAGACCAATGTCAACCAAAGCACTTTACAATGTTCAGAGTAAAGCGATGGTTATGGTGCTATCAAACCACCAGCTAAGTGGCAACCCAAATGAAGGGTGCTTTCTGCTCTCTGATTGGATGACATAGTTTTTGTTATAACTTCTATGTGATTTTATATTCAGAAAAGGTCAAATATGAGCTGTGCATGTTGACCTGTTATGTAAAAGATGTAAAAAGGAAAATATTACATACTGTTCCTTTAAATACTATCTTTCCTTTGTGGAAAAAATAACTGGATTTTTTTTTTTGCATCAGGCCATACTTATTCTTCTGTCCTTTCTGTCAGGTACTCCTTGCATTTATCGAGTAGGCATTCAGTAAAATTTCCCCACTGTGGATCTCTTAATCTTAATCTATTCAAGAGTGTGTTTGTCATCACAATAAGTGTATTCTGGAAAACAACAGTTCTACCTTTGTCCACATTGAGTATACTTTGTTCAACTGATTAAATGAATTACATGTCTATAAATGCACACTCTATGAATATACGTATGCAGTAAATAGGGATTACTCTGCACTGTGTGTTCAAATCGTAAAACCGCACTGTTTTGTTGATTGTTAAAAATTAGGGCTGCACTTGATTAAAAAAAAAATCTAATTAATTAGAGGCTTTGTGATTAATTAATCACAATTAATCGCATGTAAATATTTGTCCTGAGAACAGTGAGAAGTAATTTTTTTCACGTGGATTTTTAGTTTACCATTGAATAATGACTGAATACATTAGCTTAAACAACACATGTATAACCAAAATCCACTGCACTCGAAGTGAGCACTAAAGCTTATAATACATTTGTGCATTCGAACTAAAACATCAACAATAGCAGCTCTTACACCTGTGTCGCTGCTGCTCCTCCTCCTCCGCCGCCTCCTCCTCCTCCTCCTTCTCTGAGGAGTCGCTTGTTGCTGCTCCTCCTCACACACCATAGCTCCATACACAGTGCTCTTTCCCGTCTCTTACCATGGATCTAATTCACTCAGATTTAGACACCGCTGAAGTTGGTCTATGCTTGTTATTAGGGGTGGGCGATATGGCCTAAAATTCATATTGCGGTATAATTTGGGACACAGACGGTAGATGGTATATATTGCGGTATAATTTGGTGTGTGAATTTCAATATAGGTCTAGCAGGTTCTTGATTGAAATAGTCAAGATTGTTACTTATTTGAATGTATTGTGCAAAACTGCAATTATACAGAACATTATAAAACTTTAACTTCCAAGCAGCATTCAATCACATAACCAAAAGGGGGTGGGACATGTGTCCGTAGTACAGGAAGTATTTTTCTCCTATTAAAAAGAATGGGCAATGCTGGATAACGCAGACATAGGAGCTTTTCGCGGCTTAGTATCACTCTTATTATGAGTGAAAACTATTTTAATGCAGCGTATAATAGTGTTTGAATGAGTCCATTTTTTTCAACAATGAGAAAGATTAAGCCTGTTATAGTGACGACAGTGGAGTCACTCTGGTGTCAACAGAAACACGTCTGAGATGATAGTTCTGATCAATAACACAATAAATATGGCACAAATGTTACTTTAGACAGCATTTGAAGCGAGAAATCTGACTCTTTGTCATTTCGGTGATTTGTTGAGCTGTAAATAACCAAGTACCGCTATCAGCTTAACTCCGTAGCGTTAAGCTAATAGCATTAAGCTAACAGCAGTGGCTGCAATTAGAAAATGTATTTAACAGTTCTTTCTTTCTGTTGCCTCAGCTACTACAACCGTATACCACACAACAATTCTGCATTGTATCTATGAAAGTAAGCGAAGTAAAGACTGCGGACTGTCAGCTATCTCTGTGGCCGCAGATGCTATGCAAGCTAATGCTAATGCTAGCACATTTCCCCCGTTCCTTATTAGGCATTTTGCTAAAAATTGACACCCGTTAGAGAAATAATTTTTAGCAAAGTAGAGACTCCATAGGCTCCCCACTTGATATGAGCATTTGCCACAACTGTACACGCCACAGAAAAAGAGGATTTTAACTCGGAATCAGTGAATGTTTACATTGTTCTTAGTGGGGAAATGTACTTCCTGTCCCTCGGAGCACTTTCGTCACGTGCAACCCAGCAATTTGATGACATAATGACCTATCGCAATATGCCGGTGTAACAAAAATCTCTACCGTTGGCCAAATTCTTCTTCTTCTTCATTTATTTCCGGCAGGCTGTACACTATAGAAGTGTAATGCTGCCCTCTTCCGTTTAGGTTGATACTACATTATTACACTCGTTGGTACAAACTGGTGGAGAGAAGGAAGGATACAACTGCTTTGTCGATCAAACGCGAATTCTTTACCGAGGAAAATACTGCTAATCCAAGATCTGACAGCTGCTTGTACATAATCTGCCTTTCTGTTGAGTATAGAGCACAAAACAATAACATATGAGGCACCGTTTCAGGTTGACTACACTGACATAATCCATCACAATGCTTGCCAATGATTTTCGAATATGCTGCTAGCCCACAATGCCCCACCCGCCATCTAACATTCCGATTTGCCCGGCTAGATATCAACACAGGCCTAATATTTTGCACCAGAGGCTGAGAATTAAAATACAGTAATGCCTCCCCCTTTTCTCTTTCTCCCACACTTTTTGCCACTGTTTTTGCACAAAACTTTTTATGATACTTATACACTCTAATTTTCCCAAACAGATTTTATACTCTATTTCCTCACACCGAAGAGACTGCTTAGCCAGTGTATCAGCTCTCTCATTCCCCACTATACCTGAATGAGATGGGATCCAGCAAAATACTACACTAGATCCCCTTGCTTCAAGCCGACGGAGGCAACACAAAATCTCCAAGATTATATCAGCTCGGGCCCCAGACAGGCCAGCAGATATAGCCTGTAAAGCAGACATTGAATCTGAATAAACATAAGAGGATTCAAAATGATTCCTCTCTACGCAATCAAGAGCCCACCAGATGGCTAGCAACTCATTGTGAACACAGATACTTGATCTGACACACGCATACTCTTAACTAATTTCATTATTAATCACGGCCCTTCCCGAGCCCGGATTCTTTGACCCATCTGTAAAAACATGATACTACTGATCCTTTTTAAAATCCACAAAATCATTTATTTGGGCACTTGCTCGGCTCTTGTCCATTCCCACCAGATCTAGCCGACTTCAGGCTCTGGTAAAAGCCAGAATGGAGATGGGGACCACCCTAGTCCAACCACACTTCCATTCTCCAAACCCACGTTGCTAGTAATCTGACATACGGATCTTAAGAATGTGGCTTTATCTTCCCTCTTTTCAAACTCCCAACAGTCTTCCAGGAGGCACTTAGCTGCTGAGTTGTGCTTGAAACCAGCTAATCTAACCCAATACTGGAGACCCAATTTTTGCCTCCTAAGATTCAGAGGAGTCTCCCCCATCTCAACTAATGGAGCAGGAATAGAAGTAGTTGTAAAGGCTCCACTGCAGACTCTAAGGGCTTTCGCCTGTACCACATCCAATTTCCTTAAGACAGTTTTTGCCGCTCCACCAAATACAAAACAGCCATAATCCAATATTGACCTTATCATTGCCCTATAAATCATATGCAGCATTGACCTGTCTGCTCCCCAATCACTGCCGGCCAAACTGTGCAGAACATTAATTACTTTCTCACATTTACAAATAGTTTTATCAACGTGCATTTTCCAAGTTAGCTTTTCATCCAGCCACATACCAAGGAATCTGAACACGTTAACTTTCACTAATTGTTGCCCATATAATTGCAAATTCAGATTAGGAACTTTCTTTTTAAGACCAAAAATCATATAGTTACTTTTTGATATGGAAATCTTAAAACCCCATGTGTTTGCCCAGTGTTCTAGACCTAAGGCCCTCTGTGTTTTCCTAATTAAAAATTCAATATTTTTGCCTTTGTGCCAAATGGCTCCATCGTCCGCAAAAAGAGATTTTCCGAACCCTGCACTAACCCTTTTAAAAATATAATTTATCATTACATTAAATAACACAGGACTAATTACTGAGCCTTGAGGCGTGCCATTCAAAATACTTGCTGTCTCTGAGATTTCATTACCTATTCTCACCTGAATTATTCGCTCATTAAGAAAATTCTTAATCCAAAGGAACATTCTACCCCTAATTCCAGCATCAAAGAGTTTAAAAAGCAAACCCTGCCGCCACATGCTGTCATAGGCTTTCTCAATATCAAGGAACACCGCCACCACAGCTTCATTATTAATTATTGCTCTCCGAATATCTCGATATAACACCGCAACCGAGTCCATAGTATTCCTGCCAATTCTAAACCCATTTTGATAATTCACAAAAAAATCATTACCCTCTAAAAAGTATACCAGTCTATTCATAAACCATCCTCTCCATCACCTTGCAAAGCACCGCAGTTAAAGCTATGGGTCTGTAAGACAATGGGGAAGACGGATCCTTTCCTGGTTTAAAAATAGGAATCACCCGTGCATGTTTCCAAGCCCTTGGAAGTGAACTAGCCTCCCAAATGTAATTAAACAGAACAAGGATCTCTTCTAGCACTGGGTCATCCAAATGCTGCAGAAGGGAGTAACTTATCTGATCTTGACCTGGCGTGGTGTTTGCTCCAGCCTCTATAGCATCGTTAACTTCCAACTATGCTCTTGCAGAACTTCTTTTCTAATTCTAAGACTATTTT